ACAGCGTACTTGGTCTAACGTGTGGTATGATTGTATAATGTAACAGCGTACTTGGTCTAACGCGTGGTATGATTGTATAATGTAACAGGGTACTTGGTCTAACGTGTGGTATGATTGTATGGTTTCACAGTGTACTTGGTCTAACGTGTGGTATGATTGTATATTGTAACAGCATACTTGGTCTAACGTGTGGTATGATTGTATAATGTAACAGCGTACTTGGTCTAACGTGTGTTATCATTGCATTTAGTATTGAAGTATATATTGGAACAGCGTGTGGTATGATTGTATATAGTATTGCAGTATATATTGATATAGCGTGTGTTATGATTGTATATAGTATTGAAGTATATATTGGAATAGCGTGTGGTATGATTGTATTTAGTATTGAAGTATATATTGGAATAGCGTGTGGTATGATTGTTTGAAGTATTGAAGTATATATTGGTATAGCGTGTGGTATGATATTGTATATAGTATTGCAGTATATATTGGTATAGCGTGTGGTATAATTGTATATAGTATTGCAGTATGTATTGGTATACCGTGTGGTATGATTGTATATATAGTATTGAAGTATATATTGGAATAGCGTGTGGTATGATATTGTATATATAGTATTGAAGTATATATTGGTTTAGCGTGTGGTCTGATTGTATATAGTATTGAAGTATATATTGGTATAGCGTGTGGTCTGATTGTATATAGTATTGAAGTATATAGTGGTATTATTGTATCATGATAAATCAAGAATAGTTGATGATGGTTCAATACTGACTAAACGTTGTAACAAGGAGAAATATAATACCTGGAGCCAGAGAGTCCAGTATTCGGGTCCTAGATTTAGGGCCAAGTACCTATGAGAGATAGGGGCAGGAGTATCTAGAGTTACGGACGGGTGTACCTAGAGTTAGGGCCGGGTGTCCTTACTCCTTGGATTAGAGCCGGGTACCTAGAGTTAGGGGCAAATACATAGAGTTAGAGCCAATGTTACCTAAAGTTAGGGCTGGGGGGGGGGGGGGTTCAGGCCAGGTACTAAGAGAGTTAGGTTATGTAACCTAGAGTGAGGGGCGGGAGGGGTACCTATGGTTAGGGTCAGGTGCCTAAAGTAAGGGGACGATTACCTATAATTAGAGTTGGGTACCTAAAGTAGAAAAAGTCCCTTTTCTTAAGGTTATTTCGAATTGAATTGTCAAAGGAATTACATTTTTGAAATAAATTACAAAATATATTTTTTCACTTTTATTTGAATATAATTATTTTATTCAGTTTTATTTCATTTGAAAAAAAAATTAAAGATCATTTATAATTTTTTCAAACAATATTACTCTGACCAACCTCACTTGAAGGGTTATCTTCATTTTTATCAGAATCTTTTTTAACAGCATTTTTTGTACCAGCACTTCCTTGGCTTATATTTGACAAACTTTCAGTACTTTTAGCACTTAATATCTGCACTTGCGCCACCTGAAAAGTTAAAACTTAAAATTGTTTTTTTTTTTTATTTCAATGTTTGTTTACGTCACCTCAAGATTTTTCTTCTTTGTTCCTGGACTCGAAGTAGAGAAAACAACACTGAAAAAAAAATAAATGTTGTAAATATTTTTTTTAAATAAGGGACTGTCCTTGCCCCTGTCCAGGCCCGATTAAGAACAGTTACTAAAAAAATCTTTATCTGATTGATAATGTGGAAGATATTCTTGTTTTCTTTATCTGATTGATAATGTGGAAGATATTCTCGTTTTCTTTATCTGATTGATAATGTGGAAGATATTCTCGTTTTTCAACTTTTCGCCATTGCATCTATTTCGGCTTTCATAAAAAACCGACAATTTTGAAAAATAAAACATTTTTGACATAATTATGTAAAACATTAATTTTTATTATAAAAAGCTCTTTATACGAGTGCCGTTGTAATTTGGACATGAACTCTGAAATGGTAAATCACTTACATGTACTGTCACTATAGTTTCAGTAGAAGTAAATATTTCCATTTACCTTTATAGCACCAATATAAGGATCTATCTCTAATTGGATAATAAAATAGATAGAAAGAAAGATGTTACCGCCATGCAATTTCTATTGGTTAAGAATAGACAACAAACACATGACTAAACCCTGATTGGATCAGGCGCTAATGGATCAGCATACTAGAGTGGTACTGACCCTTTCAATGGAATTTGCTTTGTTGACCTACAGATTACAGATCGCCTCATTCTTTTTGGATAACCGTGTATCAATATTTTTCTACATAGGTAAATGGACTGAAGATGCAGTTTCATGTGATCCTCCATTATAGAGGGACATGTCCGATTAACAGCAGTATACTTTATAATTTTGTCTGATTAAGAATGAATAAGATATTCTTTCTCAGCTTTTCTTACAGAACATTTTTAATTTTAAGTATGGTTTCATTGCAACAGGGACTTGCGGATGATTCACCAGATACATTTAGGAAAACGACAATATTAACAGATGGACCTGCCTTAGCGTGTTGAAAATATTTATAACTTTTGGCCACTTCCTCCCTTGGTGTTCCCTGCAAACTTGAAATTATTAATAAAAAACTTTATAAAAATTTTTGCGTCACAACAAAGCTATTTTTCTAAAAAATTGACAAAAATGCTGGTACAAATGTTAATGTGAAGTGCATTTTAAAACAAAAATATTCATAATATCAAACATATAATTTTTCGTTACTTCTGTCAATAGAAAATATCGATAAAATAGGACAAAAAACTTGATAAAATTGTTAGTTATCTTTTTTGATATATAAATAACTTAATCAAGTTTAACCTCAAAGAATCAGTTTCATTCTTTCTTATCCTTTTCAAAACAGGAAGACGTTTAATCTAAACATGAGATTTTTTGATAAGATGAAATTTATAATGGTAAAAATGATTATACAGGACAACATGATGAAAATAATGATATTTATGTTAATGATAATCATAACATTTGTTATTGTGATATTATTGTTAATAATGCTGATGAAACTGAAAATATTGATAATCATGACAAAAATAAGATAATAATGATAATCATGATAATAATGATAATCATGATAATAATGATAATGATAATACTCATAGTTATGATTATGGTAATATTGATAGTTTTGTTAATCTTAATAATTATTGTTATTTACAACTACTTTACGGGGAAGTTAAGGGAATTTTACTTTACCAAGGGTTCCCTTGACCAATTTTGTAAACAAAATTAGTCTTGGGAACCCTTGCATTAATTAATTTTTTTAATTTCCCGAAAAAGTTTAGTTTTACACAATTTTATCGTCTTTTGAGATAAAGATGTGCGAATTTTCCCACTAAAACTTTGCAGAACAGGTGGTTTTTTTACATAACTGTCCCAAGGGACATTAAGTAACCTAACCTCTCTCTGTTGGTCGGTAATGTTGGTCAAAAGGCGGTGAAATATTTAATGAACATAATCATGATAATGTTATTATTGATGACAAAAAATAATATTGAAGATTATGATAATAATAAGGATAATAATAATCACCTCCTCCCAAATTGTTTTCTTAAAGACAAAAATAAGAAAAATAAAAACACCTCTGAGCTGGTTTAAAACATCAAAAATTCTAAAGAAAAAAATCTAAATAATTTTAAGTTATACATTTCGAAAACTATAATAAGCTTCATGTTCAAACTTCCTTATGATGGATTTCTAAATTATATTTCTATCTAATATGCATTGCTGCATAACCTAAGAGCCCGACATGTTTAACAGAGCATCGTAATGAAACCGGGTAATTTGTGAACGGGCAAAGTCTCATATTTAGGAATTTCTAAGACATATAATTTTATATTTTTCAATACTTTATATTTGAAATTTTGTTCATTTCTTTGAATTATCTGTTATATATACTTTGCTTGTCTGTCTGTCATGGTGTACGTCTGGGTGTTTCTTTTTTTTGTAAGCAATAAACGTCAAAACGGCTGAACAGATCGGGCCGAAATTTTTGTGGGACCTCGCGTGACCCCAGGGAAGGTTTATGGATGATCGAATTTTCAAAATTCGATTTTTGAGAATTTTGAAAATCCAGGAATTTTTTTTTATAAAATCCGCGAAATTTTTTGTTTTGTTTTACAATGTAGATATACTAAGAGAACATGTTCATAATTGAAATAAAAGCCTAGTATAAAATAATGCAGAACTGTGCAGTGCGACATTTTTAATGAGAATTAACGTTAATCAAGGGACCTTTTAGAAAAAGAATAATTAAATAATTAAAAAAATAGAATTCAAGGATTTAACAACTTCAATTATTTTCTAAAGAGACTGTAGACGTAATTTCAAGTGACCCTCCATAATCATAAACTTGCCGCTATAGTCTTTTAACCTTTCTCCTAATAACACTGAGGAAGATATTGTCGTTTCTACATTTTGAATAATATTGAACTTTGACAACGTCCTTCAAAATATCTGCAGAATCATTCGCACTTTTTCACTGTGAAACCACAATAAAAAATGTTCAATAAAAAAAATCTATAAAGGATATCTCATTCATCCTTAATCAGACAGTATTTTAAAGGGTACCGTTGTTAATCGAACATATCCCACTACAAAATGGAGAATCACATGAAATTGTAGTTTATGTCCCCTTACCTATGGAGAAAAAAGTTTGATACAGGGTTTCCCAAAAAGAATTGGATCTGAAATTGTTTAAGTCCCAAGATTTTGAATTCGTCTATATAAGTGCTAATTCTTGACAAAGACGATCTCGCAATGGTTTCTTAATTCACATTGTATCACCCTGTATGTAACTAACCTGAAGAATATTTCTGCCGCCATATCACCATGTTTTTCACAATTATTGGAATGATTAAAAAAATGAATACATTCTAGAATCCAGAGAACCCCAAGAACAATAAACATTTTAGAAAAAAGAATCTAAAATAAAATAAAAATGTTTAATCCTAAAAATTTCTAAAATTACCAAATAAGTATTAAAGAAAAAGATGAAACTAAATCAATTAATCCATGTACATTTCATGAAGACCGTAAAGCTCTTAGAATATGTTTTTTTCTCAAAAGATAGAAGTCTGTAGAAAACCAGTAGAAGATAGACTGAGTAAATTCCTTACAGTCTTATCCTTTTATGGGCAGCCCTGTATCTCCTTTAATTACAGGGTGTCCCACGAAACATGACAGTAGGTGAACAGTTTAAAATGTCTTCTTCCATAAATTGTTAAGATGTTTGATACCAAAGAGAAATATAAAAAATATCACATGGCAGTTATATTATAGTAAAATGGATTTCAAAATAAAGTGTATTTCAGTAAAAGACATTCAACATTTTTCACCAACTGTCATGTTTCGTGGGATGTGTATCATTTTTAAAAACGATTTTCAGACCTATCTTTAATCACTTTAAAAGTTTGTTTTTGAATTAGTTATGGTTTGAATCTGGTGAGATTTATTAAAAATTTATTAAAATAAAAATATCTTTTTAATAATCTCTAGAATTCTTACAAATTGTTCTTTGATGTCTTTATACTGATCTGTATGTTTTGAAGGTTTTGTCGTCTTCACTCCATTTGTCATAATCGTAGATTTCCTGACCAATTAATATATATATATATTTATATATATAAAGTAGTACTCTCTGTTTGTTTGTTTGTTTGGATGTCCCTGCATAACTCATTAATCCCTGGATCGATTTGACTCAAATTCTAATTTTGGAAATTCGGTATAACAGCGGGAATGCGGTTTAAAAATTCTCAGTTTAAGGTTTCAGAGGAAATGTGTTTTCAGGTTTAAGGTTACAGGTTTCAGGTTTGAGGTTTCAGGTTTCAAGTTTCAGGTTTCAGGCTTCAGGTTTTCAGGTTTTTAGGTTTAGGTTTTTTTAGTTTCAGGATATAGGTTTCAGGTTTCAACTATATAGTATATAGTGTCTATAGGTCTATAGGTATTGTTTTTTTTTTAATTCGTCGTTCTATCTTTGAGTTGTCTAGCTCTAAATTTCTTCGTTTTACCTTCTGGATTATCTAGCTCTGAATGTCGTCTTTTTTACCTTCTGGATTGTCTAGCTCCGAATGTCGTCTTTTTTACCTTCTGGATTGTCTAGCTCCGAAAGTCGTCTTTTTACCTTCTGGATTGTCTAGCTCCGAAAGTTGTCTTTTTACCTTCTGGATTGTCCAGCTCCGATTGTCGTCTTTTCTACCTTCTGGATTGTCTAGCTACGAATGTCGTCTTTTTTACCTTCTGGATTGTCTAGCTCCGAATGTCGTCTTCTTATGGTTCCAGAGTTTCCAAACAAACATGATGAACATGATGAGATTGGAAATAAGCATGAGAAGAATTGGAAGAAAGAAGTACAGCTCTAAGTATAAAAAATCAGAACAAAAATAAAGTATTTTATATACAGCCGAACAGGAAGACGACATTTCAGCTTTATATTGGTGTGTGTACGCTATACATACATACAACATTCCTTTTTCATATCACACAATTGTATGGGCCCCACTGTACCATTCATAATATTTTCTTTTCTTTTGTCATCTATTTTATCTTATTTTTAGCCCCTTTGTGTAAAGTAAAAGTAAACACTAAACAATCATTCTAATATCAATCTAAAGGTACAAATCAAATTATAAATATTAAAATCTTTTTTTTTTAAATATTTTTGTTACCTTGTTTTTCTTTGGTTTGTTGGATGAAGCAAACCTTAAAAATAAATATTTTCTAAAGATATTTAAGATTTGATGTCAGTCCTGAGTCCTGATTGATGTGCCGCAGTGGAACAACAATAATAAATTAAAAAAGTGCAGTTTAGATAAGTTTTGAATAAATTAAAAAATTATTGTAAAAATTTAGATAAATTAGATGAATACATCACTTAAGTTTGGCACCAGGTTAAAAGGGACTGTAATCGTAATTGACACTCAACTTTTTAATTGAAAGGTTCCCTTTAAACATTTATTCTCTACAAATATAATGTCAAAAATCATGACAAAGACTTCATTTTTTATTGAGATTGTGAATCGAACAAGCCAATTTTTTTTAATGGGGGTACTTTAAACTTCAGTTCTTGCCTAGTCCAAGAACAGGTTAACCCAAGTGAACAATTTAGTGACTTATTCCATGTACAGAGTATCCCAACAAACATGACAGTTGTTGAATGGTTTAAAATGTCTTCTTCCGTAATTTTTTAAGTTGTTTGATATCAAAGAGATTAATAAAAAATATTGTTTGAGAGTTATCTTTTATTTTTGAAACAAAATAAACTACAAAAAGTTTTTTTTTACAGTATATGGAAGAAGACATTCAAAATTATTCACCAACTGTCATGTTTCGTGGGGCACCCTGTATTTACCACATCATGCAGTGCAAATTTGACTAGAAACTCTCAAAATGTGAAGTTATTTAGGTTTACTTTATCAAGTACTTAATCGATGCATGTTAAAAGCTCTGAGAAAAGGAGAAAAAAAAAGTGTGTAACTAAACTGTAGGGTACTATATATATAGCAATGAAAGAAAAACGGCCCAAAAAATTCCGTCTTTTAAGCCTCATTCTTTGTGGGTCACCCGGTATTTGTGAAGATTCGTTTTTTCTGCACAGGGTGTTCCAATAAATGAAAATTTCTTACATCTTGTCCCACCATAGGTTTATAGATATTAGATGCTGGTAAAACATTATCAAGTATTAGAATCACCAGGCTGAATAGTAGAGGAGTTATCCAGCCAACTGAAATATAAAATTTGTAAACAAATACTGTCAAAACCATAAATATAAAGACGACTTTTAGTTGTGATTCTAAATAGTCCAATACTGAAAATACATTTTTAATAAGCAACTTTTTCAATTTCGATTATCTATACAACTTCTCCAGGGTTATGTGAGATACCACAAAAAAATAGAACCAGTTAAGCATTATTGACGTTTATTTGATAAAAACAAACAAACATACATGTTTCTATTATAAGTAGATTGTAGTAAACCTGTAGAATAAATGTTGAACTTCTTGTGAACTGAACTAGTGGAGTGGATTGATGGATTCATAAAGGTTAGAAGTATATCAGCACACATTATACTCATCCAGATAAACATACTTAAACTAGATATATCCAGATAAACATACTTAAACTAGATATATCCATATAAACATACTTAAACTAGATATATCCAGATAACATACTTAAACTAGATATTTCCAGATAACATACTTAAACTAGATATATCCGGATAGACATACTTGAACTAGATATATCCAGATAAACATACTTAAACTAGATATATCCATATAAACATACTTGAAATAGATATTTCCATATAAACATACTTAAACTAGATATATTCAGATAAACATACTTAAACTAGATATATCCAGATAAACATACTTAAACTAGAAATATCAATATAAACATACTTAAACTAGAAATATCCAGATAAAAATACGAGAAATATCCAAAAAAAAAAAATTATACCTTGAGTAGTATATTATATATCCAAGAAGAATACAAGATAAAGATCCACTAATATTTCCAACGCTTAAAGATAAGATGAAGAAGAACATGACCAGAATAACAGCAATACTGTTACTGTAACCAAACAAAATTGAATTATCAAAATTATCAAAATTATCAAAATGAACTAAAATGTATATTATATTATTATGCTTTTACGAAATGAAGATTAATGTACTGTAAGTAATAGGATATCCCAATCTTGTATACATTGTAAAGAAAAAGAAAGGGTACCGTTGTGAATTGGGTAACCAACTATTTAAATAAAGGGTGACTTAAGAAATTGCTTCTTTTTAAATGAATTCTTTGATTGTTTAAGAAGATATCCTCAAAATCGGCATGAGAAGAAATTCTTTTTTTTTTGATGATTTTATTCCTGATGATAATTTTCCCATGAATAGTTTGCAGAGATGGTAAAGATATGTAGACAATTATTGTCACAACCAAACAGACAATACTGAGAGTTCAAATCATTATCTAAAGAGAGAGGTTACATTCTTTGATACAAGGTGTATTTGAACAGTGTACGCTAGGAGTTAAGAGCAGATGCAAGAAATCTAATTCAATATTTAGATGTTGAAATTGAGGCAAACACATTCTCAAATTTTGTATGTTGCTTTTAAAAAATAAGAAAAAATGGTAAACAGCGTTAGAAATTGTTGAAAGCTAGATGAACTTATTGAAATTCCATTGATTAACTACAATAAGACTTAAGATTTGCAGGTTTACAATTGTGTTATTTTGTGGGGTTTTTTCCCCTAAAAATATTCATTTTGTTGAGAATTCATATATACATAACTTTCTCTAAATTATGCATTTTTTCCCTAGAACTCCTATTTTGTTTTTAACCCTTTATAACTTGAACGTCGGTGGACTTATTTACTCCCCACCCCCCACGTTACACCCATTCTCCGACCAATCTTCTGCTAAAAATAATTGATTTCCTAGCTGCGGCTAGAACACCAAGGAGATGTTTAAAGAAAACATGTTCACAGTGTCCAGTAATCAAATCTATACGTTAATCCATCATTTATATATTTTCATAGCGATCCGGTGGTTCTGAGAGTTTGGTATAACAAATAATAATTAACAGACAAAGGTGAAGATGAAGTCCAAATATTTTAAATACCGGAACTTAGTATTTTAGTCTGGAGTTTCTACTTTTATCATCTAAGCAACTTTATTCCATTAAAAGGATTTTGTCCTTCCGAAAACTGTCTTTACTGGAAATTGTCTTTTCATAACTTTGTCTTTTTTGGGATATAGTCTTTTCCGGAAAATGTATTTGCTAAACTTGTCCTTCCCGGACGTTGTCTATTCCAGAAGTTTTTTGTTCGGAAGTTGTCTTTTCCGGAACATTTCTTTTCTGGAAGATGTCTTTTCCAGAAGTTTTCTATTCCAGAAATTTTTATACCGAATTCGTCTTTTCCAGAAGTTGTCTATTCTGGAAGTTGTTTATTCCAGAAGTTTTTGTTCGAAAGTTTTCTTTCAAGAAGATGTCTCTTTCGGAAGGTGTCTTTTCCGAAAATTGATTTTTCCGAAAATTATCTTTTTTTAAAGCTGCTTTCTTCTGAAGTTTATTTATATTTATAATTATATTTATAATTTATATTTCTGGAAATTGTCTTTTCCGGAATATGTACTTCACTAAAATTGTCATTTCCAGAAATTTTTTATTCCAGAGGTTTTTTGTTTGGAAGTTGTGTTTCCCGGATTTTTTTCATCTGGAAGTTGTCTTTTTCAGAAGATGTCTTTTCCGGAAGTTGTCTTCTACGGAAGCTGTATTTTCTAGAAGTTTTCTTTTCCAGAAGGTAACTTTTCCGGAAGTTGGCTTTTCAGGATTTTGACTTTTCCGGAAGTTGTCTTTTCTGAAAGTTGCCTTTTCGGATATTGTTATTTTCAGAAATTTTTTTTAACTCGTAAATTGTCATTTAAGGAAGGTGGGTTTCCGGAACTTGTCTTTTACGAAAGTCGAATTTTCCTGTAGTTGCCTCTCTGGTGTTTACCGTTCCAGAATTTACCCTTTAGTTGTTTTGACCCCCCTCTATATAATAGTTTATAATGTTTATATCAACTTGTTAAAACCTGATATAAAAACCTGGAAGAAACAAAAGAAAACTTTTTGTTATTCTTTAATAAAGAAAACTTTGAAGGTCAAACATTTACTTAAAGGGAGTGACCGGCAATGTATTGTAGTTGAACTGAGAATGAAGTATTGCGGAGAAAAATTTGAGACCTATGAAACGTTTTTACGATGCATATTTGTTCAGCAAGAGCGCAAATTTAATCTTTATTAAATCCTCATAGATTGTTAATTTCAGGAAATCGGGCGCCCATGGAAGATTGTAAGGAACCCCGTGAATGAAGCTAGACCTCCTCTACTAGAAGATAGGAAAGCCAAGATGAAAAGAGCTAGATCTCCATCCATCACTTCCTCCCCTATTCCCCAGCTTGATGGGATATGTTCTGTTGTTTCTCAGCAATGGATGACGAGGGAGTCAGCTGCGAAATATTGCACTGGCATTCAAAGTCTAATCTGTTCTATCATATGAATCATTTATATAGAAAATAAATAATGTAGTTTTTCCATTTATGAAAGTTGTAAACTTGTAATACAATTGTAATATCTTAATCTCTGCTACAAAATAAATATTTAGATCTAAAAACAAATTTTTGAGGGATGATTTTGAGAATCGGTTTTTAAAAATTATTCAATAAAACGACGAAAAATGTAGTAAAAATTCTACAGAAAACTAATTAGTTGTTTAGGAAGAGGTTTAAAAAATAAAAATTAACTCTTATCATTGAAAATAAGTAATCTTATTCTGTCATTAGTTTCTGTAATGTCTCATTGTTCACGCATTCTGTAGAATTCCAGGAATTTTTTGAAAAGAATTGAAGAAATCTGCAAACAAATTAATAAAAAAAAAATATAAATTCAATAAAATGATGAAAAAGAAATTATTGATTCTAACATTGATTTGTTGAGAAAATCTCAATTGAGAAATATGTTCCAAAGATCTAATAAGTCTACTGTAGATTTTTTACTTTTTTGTCGTCGTTATTAAATAACTTTAAAAAATCGATTCTCATAGCCTAACCGCCCAATAGGATGATTTTGAACGTCGACTTTGCGCTCAAACTCAGAAATTATACAACATTAGAACGTTTTATATGTTTCAAATGAACCCTAAAAAATTTCTTCTCAATACTACATTCTCAGTTCAGTTCTCCCATTAATGCACTAAAAAATGTTCCACTTTGAAACTTAAGAGAAATACAATGAAAAACTTAAAGGAAGTGAAGACGTAATTTTCCTTAAAAACATCCTCTGATAAAAAATACATAAGATTCAACATATTTTCTGTTAGAATTGCATATTTTAAATTGTGATTTCTCGATATAGTGACATGCGCATTTCTACTCTAGAACTGGAAAGTGGTTTGAAATTACCATGACATTTTTTTAAAGTCCTACAGGGTGTCCAACGAAATATGACAATTGGTGACGAGGGTCAACCCAGACCGAAATATTTTTTCAATAAATGTGGAACTAACTACTTTTTTACTCTACAGAGGTTTGGTCCATCACCATCACCGTATTTTAAAAAGTTTAAAATGTCCTCTTCCATAATTTGATAAAGAGACTAATAACATTTTTAAATGACAGCTTTATCATAGTAAAATTGATTTCACAGTAAAAATATATATGAGTTAAACATTTTTTAAAAGAAATAAACTGCAAAAAGTCTTTAATGTCTAATATAGTATGTAGAAGAAGTCATTCAAAACTATTCACCATTTGTCATGTTTCGTGGGACACCATTTATATTGAATAAACCCCTCATGGGGTTCTGTAAATCTTTTGTAAAAAATCTTTTTTAGTATTTTAATTTTGATTAAAAAATGATGGATTTCCAAAAATGTGATTATTTAGGTCGTCTTGCTTGAGCCTATCCTGGGCGCAGAGAACTATTCCAATCTACGGCAGATTCTTGTTATATAAACTTCAGAGATTTAAAAAGAAACGGAATTTCTTAATAATTGAGAGAACCCGTGGAACCTTTGCAAAAATTTGCGGCATTTATTTGACAACCTAAGTTGAGAAATCATTTTGTATATAGTGATTTCAAAGTCATCAGAGATATAAAAAATGTTGTTTAAATTTTAATGTGACACTAAAAATAAGTATTTATACGTATTTACGTACTTAAAAATGAATCTATACATTTTAAGGATTTAAGAAACTTTAATGTTTTCAACATATATCTCATATTTAAATAGGACATTTGTTGGCCTTTTTTGCTTGTTCCTATTGATGTAAAATCCATATGGTTTTAGAAGATGTCCACAAAAATCTTGTGTTTTACATACAATGAGAACCAGAAAACTGTAGAACATGGAAGACGACATTAAACCAATACTGAATTATATTTAATGTTGTTACAAATCAAATAGTTTCAATACTAACTTATTAAATAGTATCAAGTGAACTTGGGTCTGATTACACTGTACAAAAACTGAGTCTTATGTTCATTGAACTATTTAACGTCATGACATGAGTGCAAATGTCGTCGTCCTATTCCAGAGTTTCATGGATATCACTGTACGATAAAAATCAAATATTGAATTAAAAGAGTCTGTTCCTGATTGTCTGATGTATCTGGCAGTCCTGCTATAGTGTCTATACAGTAGTTAGAGTAAATAGAAGAATTAGAGCGGACCTCACCTGCAATATACTGAACAGTCCTTTTTTTCTTCAAATCAGTTTATCTTGGTTTATAAAATCTTTGTTTAAGAAATCTTGGTTTAGGCATCATGGTTTAGAAAATCTAGGTTTAGGAAATCTTGTTTCAGGAAATCTTTGTTTATGAAATCTTGCTTTATGAAACCTTGGTTTAGGAATCCTTGGTTTAGGAAACCTTGGTTTAGAAAACCTTGGTTTAGGAAACCANTATATTAGTTATATTAGTTATATTAGTTATATTAGTTATATTAGTTATATTAGTTATATTAGTTATATTAGTTATATTAGTTATATTAGTTATATTAGTTATATTAGTTATATTAGTTATATTAGTTATATTAGTTATATTAGTTATATTAGTTATATTAGTTATATTAGTTATATTAGTTATATTAGTTATATTAGTTATATTAGTTATATTAGTTATATTAGTTATATTAGTTATATTAGTTATATTAGTTATATTAGTTATATTAGTTATATTAGTTATATTAGTTATATTAGTACACTTCTTTTCATTTTTTGTAATGCTTTTTGGGGTCAAATTTTTACATCTTTTTTCAACCTTCTACAGTGAGAACCAGAAAACTGTGGAATAGAAAGATGACTTTTAAGCTTAAGGTAGTGCAGTGTGCAGTGCAGTGTGCACAGATCCATTTCAAGCATTTAATGGTTTATTAGTTACTAGACTACTTGCTATCAAACAACATCAAATACAATTAACAATTGCTGTAATTTCGTTTTCCTATTCAGATAATTCAAAATTTCACATTTTTTTACAAATATATCCATAAGACGATGGGGGGGGGGGGGCAACGCCCCTGGGGTTTTCCATTTTTCAACTTCATGATTGTGAATAATTTTCTTTTTTTTTATGCATACATGATACAACATAGGGTTTCACATATACATGATACAGCATATAGGGTAGGGTGGAAGTCGGGGTGGAAGACGGTCAAACGGCTTGTCGATGGTTTAAAAAAATCTAAAGAAGTAAATAACTTTTTTATCAATTAAGCTGAATATCTAAAATTTATTTGAAAAGCCATCAAAAAAATTGATGTGATAACATGTGTCACATGTTTCTACTTGTTAAATGTAAAAATAATTATTTATTAACAGTTTCTGGCGAACTTTAATAGATTACCTTTTATAAATATGGTGTTGTTTTGGAGCAAAAATACATATTTCTTGGCCTCTTCTAATAGTTTTACTGAAATAGGGATTTGAATTTTATTATAAACATTATTATTATAATTAATAATAGTTCAAGTTAAATTAAAATTTAATTCAAACTTTTAGAAGTTAAAAAGAAATTAAACATTTTTAAAGCGCACCTTGACATCCCTCACCATATGTGAAACCAGATCTGTGAAACCCCAGAAGCTTTGTTTATAAAACATTGATGGTTTTATTTTGGTGTTAGGTCCTGTCCCAAAGCATTTTCCCAAGGGGTGACTTCCCAAATTTGCAATTTCCCAAGCGGCAACTTTCCAGAGGTTAAGTTAGCCACTCTAAGGCGCAGCAGGATGGGCGATGGGCCGAGCGCAGCGGCTAGAACAGGCTGTGATGCCGAGCACTGCGGCTAGGATTGACTTGGGTAGTTTCCGCTTGAGAAATTGCATATTTTAAGTACCAATAAAAACAAGATGCAAAGAAAACTACCCCCCCCCCCATCAACCTCAAAAAAATGTTTTTTACAATATTATTTTTTGTTTAATGGGGGATTTAATTTTGTTAAATAATCCCACTTAGAATAACAGCCGTTAACATCTGTTTCAAGGAAAATTACGATGAAATTAAATTTAAAATTAAATTTTAAAATCAAACTAAAATTTGAATTTAAAACTGAATTTAAAACTGAATTGAAAATTGATTTTAAAATTGAATTTAGAATTGAATTAATTTAAAATTGAATTAAAAAATTAATTTAAAATTAATTTTTAAATTGAAGAAAAAAGTTAAAAACTATTAATTGCTGTAGAGTTTTTCCTTGTGGAGAACCCTTCAATCGTTGACACTGCAGGACTAAATAAAGATAAAATAAAATGAATAAAAATATCCTCAATTAAAATGTAAACTTTTAAAATATGCAGACTTTACCTGGCATCATTTTCCAAGAGTCCGATGTAATCCTCACTGAAATTAAAGAAAAAATATTTATGTTTTTACCAAGAATTATATTTAAAAAATTAGGCATTTTCCACAAACCAAAATTTTCTAATCCTTAAATCTGTGCAACCTGTTAGCGAAACCTTCGATATATTTCAAACTTAGATACTTCAATCTAACAGAGTCCACAGTTTGAAATGTCTATGCTATACGTTTTTTGATTGCAAAGATATAGGGATAAAAAAATCAGAGTTTACGACAAAGACTCAATTCCTTTATAATAGCTAGAAATTTTTAAGATTTTATGGCGTTACGACACTATATTTATTCTTTACTGTCTTAAGGTCACAGGTCTAAGTTTTTTCACAAACTCAAATTTATAATCCCTCTATCTTTTGCAAAAATATATGTTTTTTTTTTGGCAAAACCCAGTTGCAAAATATACATTTTTGAAAAGCCCTTGATCATGCAATTTCATATATGCAAAAAAATAAGCAAAATTTTAAATAGCCTGATGTGTAATTAATAAAAAATGTTCAAATTTCTTTTGACAGATTGTAACTTGTATGTAAGTAATTTTCAAAAATTTTTTTTGGCAAAACTAGTGCAATCCGTTTCCTGATGTCCAAAAAGTTATCAAAATCTGACAAAACTGAAAGTGGGTCAAACAAATATTTACTTTGTTACAGTGTCCCTGAGGACTCAGGCAGTTCGTATAAAAGCCCGCTTTTAGACCTAAAGAGAGAGCTATGGGTACTCAGGAAAAAAAGTTAACAGCCTCAGACCAAAACTTTTTGAGTTATGTAAATAAACTACATTTGCGAAAAATATTCAAAGCTCTGACCTTCACTACATTGTAATAGTGTGAAATTGATTCTTCAAGTTGATTCAGTTTCAGAATTATATTAGATTCCACTGCTCCTCTAGATCCCATTCCTCTTCGCAAAGTAGAGATGAGTTGACTTGTCTTGTTCAGAGAAAGTTCCAGAACAATTTGAAGTTCCTTGACCAACTGAAGAGAAATCTGATTTACAGATTTTCTTTTAGATTTGTTATCAGAGCAACCAACTTTAACCTGAAGCTTGTTTCCACCTGTAGACAAGAGAAAAACTTCTCCTTTTTGTATACTCTCCTTATCCATCTTATTCTTGAGCAAACCTGCTGCCACTTGTTCAGCTTAAAGAGATCCGAGACTTATTTCCAAAAAAATCATATTCAAAACTGCAGTTGAAGGGCTGCAGTTATGAGTTATCCCTGGAGCTAGAGTAGTCAGACATTCAGAACAAAGGCTAGACTCTGAAGAAGCTTGAACAGTTGGTTCTGGCGATTGCTGGATTAATGAAGAGCTTGATGTTCTGGTCAGCATCTTCCATTGAACCTGCAATGAAATATTTTAAAACTTGCTTATAATTTTTTTTAGGATTACATCGTTTTTAGCAAATCAAAAACTCTAAAATGTAATTATTTGATATATATATATATATCTTATAAATGAAGACGACTTCCATCTCAGTTTTGATATATCAAGCTTTTAAACAGCAAGGATACACATTACACATAAACATGGAAACAATGAGAAGTTGTCGATTAAACTTCTTGTAAACTTTAATTCAAAAAAAGCTTGTAAATAATAAAAACTTAAATAAAAAAGTCGTCGTGCATAGATTTAGAACTTTGAAAACTAAAGATGTTTGGCGAGTTATCAGTTCTTTAATTGGATTAAGAAATGTAACTACTTTTATTAAACGAAATGTTTCTACCTTAGCAACCTTCTCACCCCATGCTCCACGAGATTGTTTCCCTGCTTTCAGCAAATATAAGTTTCTCCGACAACCAGAACAAACCATGCTAGGATAACTACAAACATCTACCGAGTAACCAGGATAAATGAAGGTTTGGACAGTCTTCTCAATGGCTGAATTCACAAGAGTAAGATGTTTAGATCTTAATCCAAAATATGCCCAACAACAACAACAAACAGAACTTCTATCAAAGTTCTTTTCCATGATTGAATGTATATTAGATGTTGAAAGTGCGAGATAAAACTGTACGAAAATTCGAAATTCGAACATTTTCTCCCGTTTTTTTTGCGGATTTCTTCAATTATAATATTATAATTTATATTTTTAACAAAATTATTTCTATTTTTTAATTTATTATTTTAACCATCTTAACACGCAGTGCAGATTTTAAAATTAGTTGTTATGATATCTCTAGACATGGATGTATCTACTGCAAAAGGTTTCATTCGAGTGACACGACTTTTAACCTGACGGTCTCAATGGAACAGTGATCTATTGCTGGTCTATGGTCTGGTACTCTACCTGAAGAGAGATCTAGGATCTATTGCTGGTCTATGGTCTGGTATACAACTCTCATCAGCAACACTAAGCATAGTATAATACACTGTCCTCCATTATTTTAACGTTTTTTTCATCATGTTTGTTTTATACAAATGTTTCATGGCTGTTTTGTCATATTTGTTTTATCAGACTTGTTTATGAGGCTTGTTTTTTCTGCTTTTTTAAAATTTAATTATTCTATTTAGGCAGAAGCCCAAAGGAGTTTCGCGCAGGCAGCGTTGAATCACAAGACAGAGAAATAATATGCACTGCCTACGGGAAACTCTTTTGAGGGTTTTTGTGCACTAAAAACCCCTAAATCTGAAAAAGACGACTTCTAGTGTCCTATCTGTTATTGTTAATCAACGTATGATTTGATTATTTATTTTTGATTAAAATAGTTTTTTTTCTGTTTTCTCAAAAGTTATATCCATAGATAAAGATAGATTGCGCATAAGACGACATTTTTCATCTTGAAAGATATGAATGTACAGAGATGTTTTAAAGATATTCCTATTATAAAGATTAACTAGGTCGGTTGTGAACATTGGCTGTTCTTATGTCATTGGGTACTTGTGGTGTACATGAGTTCTGTAGAGAGAAAGTATATGCTGCAGCGTAGGGCGTTTTGAAAATGTATTGGTGTCATGTTTGTTCTCAGTTGAATTTACAAAGAATCACTTCCTGAAAGGTTAAGAGCCAGGGGACATAACCCCCCCCCCTTATTTTTATCAGGTATCTCTTTTTTGAAAAAATCAACCTGACACTTCTTGACTTAATTTTATATTCTCAAAATAAAATTCACTCCTGAGTGGTTTTATTAATTATGAAATCCATTAAAACACCAAGCGGTATCATTTTGACCCCTAGAAGTATGAGTTCGCGGACTGTACAATTCTTGGTGATTTTGCGTACATAAGCTATCTATGTTTATTTATTTATCTATGGTTATATCAATGTTCTAAATTGCAGTTATTTTTTATCCCAAATCAATTCAAGTTTATTTCCATGACTGCATTTACATCCCTGTAAGGGCCTATCATCATTTAGTTTATAAAAATGTTTAAAAAATATATTCCTTTTTGTTAGAAAAATATTCCTTTTCGTTAGAAAAATATTCCTTTTTGTTAGAAAAATATTCCATTTTGTTAGAAAAAAAATGTTTAAATTATTTGTTCATGATTATTTTACTAACCTAAACATTTCAAACTTTGAGCAACATTTTGTCATTTCCAATTCTCTAGCCGGACTGGTTGTCTGAGTAATAATAAAAAAAAAGGAATTTTGCACTTCAGAAAATTACTTTTATTATGTTTCCGATGTTGAAAAAATAAACTACTTGTCGTCTGTTAATTATTACCATCCAAAGTTCGAATTTTCATTTTTCTAATAATGTGTTTTGAGTATTTTTGATGATATTTATTTTTTCTTTACCTGGTTTTTGCAGAAGAGGACTAAGGGGTCGGATATAGAGTTAAAACCATCCATCAAGAATCTAAAAAGATTTTTAGACGCAAAAATAAAAGATTTATTTAACGAATTGATTTTTTTTATTTTTTATTCCTTTTTATTTCAATAATGTCCCCATGCATATTGATGCCCCACCCCCTCCATATGCCCCCGCCCATGCCCCCTCCCTTGTCTGTACCTGTCTGCACAATGGTATTGTACAATTGTAGGAGTCACTTGTTCATGATGAAATGTAATAGCTTCTCCGTTCGTGAACAAGTAGGACGGAATCTTAACATTTCAAAGTTTATAATTTAAGAAAATAGAACAGAGGCGTTTTCAGGGGGAGGCTATGGGGGCTAGGCCTCCCAGGGACCAGTGAAATATATTGATTCCAGGGCCCAACTACGAATTATATATATTACTTTAATCTTATAATGCGTCAACATCATCCTTTCTAAGAACTCTAAATCTTTTCCTTTTTTACATTTCCGCAAAATTCCGTTATAGTTAATTTGGTTCTCTGGCCTCTGTTCACAAAACAGCCCAAAAAAACCCTTTTCCTTTTTTTTATAACGATAGTTTTAAAATATTTAAAGTTCAATTATTTATCTTATTACCATAGTTTCAGGTTGATCACGTTTTCCACAGACAAACGGAAATTCAGTTAATCTAAATATTCATATTGACATCAAATTTGAAATATTGAGAAATATTGAGAAATATTGTGAAATATTGAGAAATATTGTGAAATAATGAGAAATATTGTGAAATATTGAGAAATATTGTGAAATATTGAGAAATGTTGAGAAATATTGAGAAATATTGAGAAATATTGTGAAATATTGATAGTAATGAAAATAATAAGAAATAATGAGAAATACTGAGAAATATTGAGAAATATTGAGAAATATTGAGAAATATTGAGAAATATTGAGATATATTGAGAAATATTGATAGTATTTACACCTGACATGAATGGTTCCCGTTGCAGTTCCTGTCTCCGGGTTTAAGATATGCCTAGGAGGAATCCAACCCGTCCCATCATCCATATCTGCTCTTGTGCAACCATCTTAATAATTAATGATTAATATTTCTAAATATTTGTTATGAAGCCTGGTATCATGAATAATGTGAAATATGTAAGGTTTACGACCTTTGGATGCAAAGAAATTGAGTTTAGAAAATAACGGTTTGTGGCAAAGACTCAATTCCTTTATTTACCATCTTCCTATACCTTTCATATTGTTTAGTATTTCTCCATGTGGACAACATTTTTTGATAAAACCTTCTGTGGCTTTCATTTCCTAAAAGATATGCATTTTAAATCCTGATTTTTTCAAATCGTTATTTTTTTCCTTTTATTACTTGAAAATGGGAACCAAACGGAGGGGGGGGGGCGAGAAAAAAGTTTTTAAGTATATCAGTAGGCAACATTTCGATGCATTATTATTATCCTAAACCTAAAATTAATAAATAATGGTATTTTTTTAAAGAAAAGTAACAAAAATCTTTTAAATTTGGAGATGCAGCATTAAAATACTTTGGTTAAAGCAAGTTTTTTATTCATCACATTTTAGACAAATAGATGGTCGATATCATAGATTAATAACAATAAAGATAGAACACTAGATGTCGTCTTTTCAACATTTAGGGGTTTTTCGTTCACAATAACCCTGAGGCAGAAGCCCAAAGGAGTTCCGCGCAGGCAGCGTTGAACTATAACAAGACAGAGAGAGAGCATGCGAATGGCTTCTGGCTCAGAGTTATAGTGAACGAAAAACCTCTAAATCTTGAAAAGACGACATCTATGTGTTCTATCTGTATTTTTATTAATCTTTGGTGGATATTTAATAAGTAATAAATAAATACAAATTTCCATCTAACCTGTTCACAAACCAACAGACGTATATCAGAAGGAACCTCTAAACAACAAAAAAATCAGTTATTTAAAATTATAATTTATGAAAAAGAAAATTAATTTTTATCACCTTTTTCTGAGAGGGTTTTGTCCACACATTCATACTGAAAACTTGTGTAGTTATTACCCTGATGATCTTAAAAAAGAAAAAAATGATTATTCTATACAGTGAGAACCAGAAAACTGTTGAATTGGAAGACGACATTAAAGCAATACTTGTAAATTTGATGTTGTTACAAATCAAATAAGTTGTTAAATCATTTATTAAGGGAAATGGGTCTGTTTACACTACACATTTGCTGTGTCTCATGTTAAGTAGACTATTCAAAGTCATGACTTAAGTCTTTATATTTCCTAAAGTTTTCTGGTTCTTTATCTAATTAAAAATATTATGTTTTAAAAGATCAAAACTATTGAACTAGATCGGCTTAACTTAACTTACCACTGTGAAAGCTTCTAATTTGAAGCGATTCAATGGTAAATCCGTGAAAAGCTGGAACCCAATTTTGGGATCATTATCATAATTAAAAGCTTAATCTAATCAAGTAAAAATCAGATGCCATGTTTTTTCTTTCGTTTAACAGTTTATTTTCATTTGCGGTTTTTCTGCAAAGTGACTTATAAGAAGCAATTGAGAAATCATCAGACTTAAACACTTTCCAGTCCATGAAGAACGATACCTATAACAACAACGTCTCCTTCTTGATCAATTATTATGAGTTCTACCATAAACTCCTGGAGACAGATAATATTTAACAATAATATATCTTGTCAGTTTTGGAAATGAATGACATTTTGAGAAAAAGGGCTTTGTGAATAGGGGGGGGGGGTGACACTGGAGAGGCTTCTTTAGATTCTATCAGATTTCATTATTAATAAACTTATCGCGTTGAGTTTGACCATAGCTGAATCTCTCGTATTTTAGTGCAAAACGAATTTTTGAGAAAAAATGTGTAAATTCTAATCTCTTACTTTAATTTAGTTTAACGTGCTGTTTACTTTAGTTTAACGTGATAATTACTTTAGTTTAACATGCCATTTACTTTAGTTTATCGTGCTATTCACTTTAGTTTGACGTGCTATTTACTTTAGTTTATCGTGCTGTTTACTGTAGTTTAACGTGCTATTTAATTTAATTTATCGTGCTGTTTACGTTAGTTTAACGTGCTATTCACTTTAGTTTAATGTGCTGTTTACTTTAGTTTAACGTGCTATTTACTTTAGTTTAACGTGCTATTTACTTTTGTTTAATGTGCTATTTACTTTAGTTTAACATGCTATTAAATTTAATTTAACGTGCTCTTTACTTTAGTTTAACGTGCTATTTACTTTAGTCTAATGTGCTATTTACTTTAGTCTAATGTGCTATTTACTTTAGTTTAATGTGTTTTTTACTTTAGTTTAACGTGCTATTTACTTTAGTCTAATGTGCTATTTACTTTAGTTTAACATGCTATTTACTTTAGTTTAACGTGCTATTTACTTCAGTCTAATGTGCTATTTACTTTGGTTTAATGTGCTATTTACTTTAGTTTAACATGCTATTAAATTTAATTTAACGTGCTATTTACTTTAGTTTAAAGTGCTATTTACTTAAGTTTAGCGTGCTAGTTATTTTAGTTTAATGTGATATTTACTTTAGTTTAACGTGCTGTTTACTTTAGTTTAACGTGCTATTAACTTTAGTCTAATTTGCTATTTACTTTAGTTTAACGTGCTGTTTACTTTAGTTTAACGTGCTATTAACTTTAGTCTAATTTGCTATTTACTTTAGTTTAACGTGCTTTTTACTTTAGTTTAACGTGGACGATGTTTTTATTAATCTGCCTGAAGTTTCCTAGTAGAGCAGGAAGCAGGAGGACCAGGGACAGTTTCTATCTCTCCAAAATAGAACTCTGATATCTCCTAAATGGAATTCTGACATCTCTAAAATAGAATTATGATTGGGGGTTCTAGCCAAAAAAAGATCGTTTGTGAAAATTTATATTTATCGCGAAAAAAAAAATTCGCGAAAATTTTCGCATTTCGTTCACTTGCAAAAATGCAATTTCACTTTTTTCGCAAAACACGCGAAAGTTCCACGAAAATTTCGAGAAAAAAATTCGGAATTAAAAAAAAATGCTAAATCTTTGCGAAAATTCACCCAAAAAGTTTGCGAAATATGAACGAAAATTTTAGTATTTTTTGCATTTTTATGCGAAACGATTCGTTCGTTGGAAACCCTAATTCTGATATCTCCAAAATAAAACTCTAATTCGGGCTCAGCTCAGGTAACATTTTTACAGTTATATTATCCTTAAAGAATAAAATCGTAAGCACTGGCAATGTGTGTAAAAAAATTCATGTTTTTACGATTTAGATTGGATTGCAGAATACCTTTTTAATCAGGCGTCTAACCTTGATTGGAACTTGTCATCTCATGCATATAATTAATTCTTTTTGTAGACATGGATATCAAGATTTTTACTTTACAGAGTTTTAAGCTAAATCCGGATTTTCTTAATTGCCAAAATGTGCAATTTTTTGTAATAAAGCGGTAACATTATAATATAGTGGGAAGAAGGGTGCCCCCCCCCTTTTATAATTGTTTACCTACCCCCCTTTATAATTGTTTACCTACCCCCCCCCTTTTATAATTGTTTACCTACCCCCCCTTTTATAATTGTTTACCTACCCCCCCTTTTATAATTGTTTACCTACCCCCCCCCCTTTATAATTGTTTACCTGTGTGAAAGTATCATAGATGTCCTTAGTTTCTACACATCTATACCAATCATCTAGCACAGATCCAGGAGAGCAACATTTCTTCAGAACATCTTTAACAGAGGCCGAATGAAGATAATTATAACCGCGTCACTGAACCGCCAAAAACCGGTTCCAAACATTGAATACATTTTCAAGTGGAACCATCTCAAATTCTTTACATTCGGCCCCGCCTTAGATTACATTACAAATTTGTTGACCCAAATAACAGTCAAAATGTTGAGAAAGCAACATTTTTAACAAAATGGTGTAAATTCGAAATGATTTTGGTGGTTTGATATTTCAAACAGCATGAACGAAAGACCCAAATTTTCGACCGCGGAGTCCTTTTTTTACTAAAAAAGATATTATTTTCTAGGTTTGAAATCAATATTTTTTATCCCTAAAATTCGTTTCGTCACTTAGAAAAACTTTCATGATGTTTTTAAAATTAAAAAAATTAATTTAGGATTAGAAAACTTCGCAAGACTTTTAATTGAGGTTTATTGGATATTCTTGAGCTTACATAAATTTCTGAGCCGTATGGTGGGCTAAGTTGGTTGTTTAATAAAATCCCCATTTTTAAAGATTTTAGTGTCTATAATATGACAAATTCGGAATATTAAATCTAAACTATTATTTTTGAAGCATGTGTTTGGTGGCAGTAAGATCGATAGTAGTGAGATTTTGAAAACCGAATTCAGATGAGAAAAAAAAATTAAGTTTGTGGTAGTGAGATTTAACAATTAAATTTCTACTTATATTTTTAAAATTTTGAAGAAAATGAAAACACATTTGAACATATTATTGGTGGTCATGAGGTTTGAACATTCAATTTTCAGGAGAAAAATTGATATCAAAGTTTAAAAACAAGGCTTTTATGCTTATACTGGCTTTGTTGTGATCCTTGAATCAATGATTATAACTGTATTTTGTGTAATTTGAAAGAGGCGTATAATCATAGATAAAAAAATAATATAATCCATTTAAAGGGACTGTCAATGTAATTTAAAGGGACCCTCTATGCAAAGAATATAACAAGCCAATTCACAACGATAATAACAATTTAAAGTTTTGTCTGATCAAGTATGAATGAGAAATCGGATTCAAACATTATAGCAACAGAACATACAGAAATCTCTAGGTAACGCAGGTATAGCAACAGAACGTATAGAAACCTCTATAGGTATAGCAGGTATAGCAACAGAACGTATAGAAACCGCTAGATATAGCAGGTATAGCAACAGAACGTGTAGAAACCGCTAGGTATAGCAACAGAACGTATAGAAACCTCTAGGTATAGCAGGTATAGCAACAGAACGTATAGAAACCTCTATAAAGCAGGTATATCAACAGAACATATAGAATCCTCTAGGTAACGCAGGTATAGCAACAGAACGTATAGAAACCTCTAAGTATAGCAGGTATAGCAACAGAACGTATAGAAACCTCTAAGTATAGCAGGTATAGCAACAGAACGTTTAGAAACCTCTAGGTACAGTAGGTATAGCAACAGAACATATAGAAACCTCTAGGTATAGCAGGTATAGCAGCAGAACGTATAGAAACCGCTAGGTATAGCAGGTATAGCAACAAAACGTGTAGAAACCGCTAGGTATAGCAACAGAACGTATAGAAACCTCTAGGTATAGCAGGTATAGGAACAGAACGTATAGAAACCTCTAAGTATATCAGTTATAGCAACAGAACGTATAGAAACCTCTAGGTAACGCAGGTATAGCAATAGAACGTATAGAAACCTCTAAGTATTTCAGGTATAGCAGCAGACCGTATAGAAACCTCTAGGTACAGCAGGTATAGCAACAGAACGTATAGAAACCTCTAGGTATAGCAGATATAGCAACAGAACGTATAGAAATCTCTAGATAAAGCAGGTATATCAACAGAACATATAGAATCCTCTAGGTAACGCAGGTATAGCTACAGAACGTATAGAAACCACTAGGTAACGCAGGTATAGCAACAGAACGTATAGAAACCCCTAGGTACAGCAGGTATAGCAACAAGGTGTATTTTGCGGGAGAATATTTTTTATATTTTAGAGAAATTAAACTTCGTTGTAAAACATTGTAGCTTTTGATTATCATTATTATCATTTTTTTTAACATACCCTGGACATTAAAGGAGAGAACACTAGTTTAATTAATGTAAAAGAATCAAAATCAATTGTGGGTTCTTTACAAAAGTTACTTGCCCACTTCTACTGCATTAAACAATGGAGAAGTTATCAAACTTAAACACTTTTAAAATTACATAGATAACCGACAATATCTTCCACATTATTGATCAGATAAAGGTTTCAAGGGTACCCTTGTAAATTAGGCATTGTCATCTTCGTATGGAGGGTCACTTGAAATTACACTTACAGACCCTTTAATGTTTTTTTACTAACCTGCTCCAATAATCTGTTCTGTGGAGAGATGAAAGAAAGAAAGTAAAGGGAGTGTTAAGAAAATAATATTTTTCATATTTCAATCAACGCTTCATATTTGATGATAAGCCTGTACCTCTATTATGACTAAATTGGATTGATAAACTGAGCTTAACATTAGCTTCCGGTGTTTATATCAAACCATGATATTAGGTCTAGGGTTTCTAATCGAATTTCCGTTGTGCGGAATTGTGCGCGACTGTGTGGAATTGTGCGCAAGTGTTCTCATATTGCACGGCGCGAAATTAAGCGGATATAAAAGGGCCCACAATTGCGCGCGAGTAAAATCACTTGCGTGCAAACCCTAATTCGGTCACACCCAATTCTTAAAGTTGCATGATACGAGCCGGTACAGCATGTACAGTAAATTTATACAGTCGTACCGTCCAGTCTGGACTACCCGCTGTAAAGTCGACCCAGTATGTTTGATGCAAGTCTGGCAAGATCACAGTGGCCACATCACGATGTATTATCTAAAATTTTCATTGGACCCCGGATTTTCTCCAAAAATAAATTTAGGATATTTCTGAAAACTTTTTTTTTAATTAAAGATTCTTTAAAACAAAATAACATCTTATTTAAATGGCTGGAGAACAAAAATTTACAAAAGAGAAGAATTTTAGCATGATTCTTAAAAATGTATCGGATATTTTAGGGGGGGGGGGGTTAAATTAGAACATTCACTTTATGCAGTGCTTAGGAAACATTTCATATTGATGCAGATCCCTAAATGAATAATAAGTATCAATACTGATTTTTTCTTCTTGTATTGCATTCAATGATTTTTTTTATATCTCTGTAAACAAAATTTACTAAGTCAAAAAGTCTGTCAGTTAATGTTGCGATGAATTAAGTAAAAAAATGGAATTTAAAAAAAAACATAGTTATACTTACACAAACTTCATTTTTTTTAAAGGAACTGAGTTATTGCCAAAAATTTGAATTTCTAACATCTATATCTTTGCAACCTGATGGTGTAAATCTTTTGACTTTTTAATCTAAAAGAATGAATAGTTTGAAATATGAAAGGTCTACGACATCAGGTTGAAAAGATATAGGGATTAAAAAATCAGAGTTTGTTGCAAAAACTTACTTCCTTTATCTTCAAAATGCCCCCCACCCTCTCTTTCAATCAATTACTTTATGAACACTGAACAGTGAACAATAAACAATGAAAGGTATGTAAGCCTCCCCCACGGTAGGGTATTTTAAGGGGTTAGGGGCGTGACTGGTTTTTGTCACAATACTTCTCTTGAGTTTTATTGTGAGAATGAACAAAATGAATATATTCTTATAATCTTTTCATTTACAAACATTGTATCAATTGTGGCTTGCATTGATTTATAATGATTTCAATTCATAATTACTTTTCCCGTTCATATATTTAACCTGGAATGGATCCTGTAAACCCGCAATATGTTTAGAATTTTGTCTTTGTTAAAGCGAACTATTTCGTGGGGAAAACACATACTTACCAGCTTTTTTATGCACATTAACAACGGATTTAGGAAAATCTAGATATATACATTCCAACAACCATTATTAAAAGATGTGGGGGTGTTGGTTGCCCGCCTAATTATTAGTTTGGTCTTTTATTCGTGTTTAAAATACACATTTTAAGAGTTTTCGGAAATTACCAGTTTTCGGAACTTAAACACAAAATTACTATGACTCAGAGATTTTTCTCAAAAAAATTACTCATGGGACCAAGCCTTATTTGTCTCGAATAAGAGGTGTCTGGTGTAAACTCAATACAAACCTCACAAGTCTAGGGAGGGGCACACGACCCCTTACCCCCCTCCGCCCTTTCATGGCCCTCTGGTCCTTTTTACTTTGAGTTGAGTGACCGAAAGTTAGAAAAAAGCAAATTGCTGAAGGTATCAGGAAATTAATTACCCCTGTAACCCTAAACAGGCTGGCGAGGGGGCGTTCGACACACCCCTCCCCCTCTAGTTTTTTTGCCCTAGCACTCTTATTTTTAACACTGTCACTGTGAAGGTTTTTGACTTTTAATGAAAAGAAATTTAAGAGATTTTTTGTAACAAATTTTTTTTTTAGTGCATAGGGTTCAGGGTGCTTAAAATGCTGGTTCGTGCAAAATCTTATCAGGCTTTACATATATTTAGACCCCCCCACCCCCACAACTTTTATAGGGTTAAATTTTAAACCCATTGCCACTAATGAAATGTCACTTTAACACACAGAAATTAAGTCTTTGCTAAAAACTATGTTTTTCTGATCCCTCTATTTTTCAACCCAATGTCATAGATCTTAGTTATTTCAAACTGTGAATTTGGTAAGAACATTTTATGTTTGAAATACACCATCTGGTTGCAAAGATATACAGTTTAGGTAATTAGAGATTGTGACAAAGACTCAATTCCTTTATGAATTTTTTTCCTTTTCATGTATTTATAAATTTGGTTTGTTTGTCTCCTTGTTTTTCTTTATCCATTAAGCGGTAAAACGGCTTAAAATCCTAATTTATTTTTTGGAAACTCACATGACCACAGGAATGATTAATGAATGGTCAAAATTGCTTGAATTGACTATTTTTCATCCTTCTTTTCTTCATCTTTAGCTTCTTTTTCTTTGACTTCATCATTGTCTACTGTTTTATCTTTACCCATATTCCCATACTCCTCCTCTTCTTCCAGATCATTAACTGTATTTTCTTCCCCTTTAGACTTGACAAGAAGACCTTTAAACTCCAATATTCTCTCTGCTTGTTCTATTCCTGACAACATGGCACCGTGCATATACCCCCAAAATTTCTCATGTGTATGTTCACCGGCCAAAAGGAGGCGTGGTACTTCTATAGATGGCAGAGGGCGGGATAGTTCTTGATAGTCTATTGCTGTAGAATTGATTGATGGATAGCTGTAGGTACCTAAACTGAAGGGATCAGTAAGCCAGGTATGTCTGATAACCTTGGATATTTTAGTTATATTAGGATTTCCTGAAAATTGTTGCATAAGCTTAAACACTACTTCAGCAATTTCTGAGTCCTCCAGCTTATCTGCTACAAGAGCAGCTTCCCCAACCACCCAAATCATAAGTTTATCCGGGTTTCCTTCTACTTCATCCACAAAACTAATGATTTTAAACCATTCCTGGGGCATGACAGCAGACTCTTGCTCTTCCTTGGTCCAAAGAAATATCATCTGTCCTTCTCCTTCTCTCCAGAAAGGATTGTCAAACTGCAGAAAGATCTTGCTGGCTCGTCCTGGTCGCATGTTCTTAATTGCCTTCTTCTTCTTGGCATCTAAAGTAGGAGAGAATAGATCTGGATTACTCTGCAAAACTCCCAAGGGAATTGTGACTATAGCATGATCTGCTGTGTAAAAATCTGAGCTGGATCTAAGAGTCACTCCATCTTCAGTCCAAGCTATCTCTTCAACTACAGTGTTCAGTTTATATCGTTCTTCACCTAGATCCTCTTTAAGAGCATTTATAATGGTTTTTAAACCTCCAGGAACAATTACATTACCACCAGGAATCTCCTCAGTCTCAGCCCACAGTTTTAAACTAGTGTTATTGATGATGTCACCAATATCATAGGTTATCATGAATTCAAACCCCTCTAAGATATCAATCATCTCTTGTTTATTGTCTATGTCTAGTTTGTCCACTTCTGAATATACTTTAGACAAGTAGTATTCTCCAAGAGATTGATTTCTATGTTCAGGATCATCATAATCACTGAGCTCATTAATAGTTTCAAAGACGTTTAGAGCAAAATTTGATTTTTCTCTGTCTATTTTCTCCCCAGTAGAAGTAAAAGCAACCGCTGGCAGATAATCATCTGTCCAAGTGTCACCGTACCGTCTGATTTCATCTCCCAAAAGGTGATGAGACTTTGCGTACTTAAATAGTGGATTCTGGCTTTCACCCTAAAATATTGTAATGTCATATGTTGATACAATAAAGGTGATTTTAACGAAAAACTGTAGAAGTAAATTTTGAATTTTCATGTTTTCTTCTCAATAGTTATAATGAATATAAATTGATAGATTGATAGAAAAAAGTCAAGTTTGTGAGATGTTTAAAATTGAGAAATATCTTCTTTATTTTTAATTTATTCTCTGATGAATGCAAGAATTAGACGTCAGTAACCTGAATCCACTGAGCACCAAACTCAATAACATTATCATCACCTCCAGTAAACATTCTTCCTCCAAGCCTATCCCTAGCTTCGAGCACTAGAACCTGAATAAAAGAAAAGGTGTATAGAAGTAGAAGTAGAAATGTTTAAATACAAAGATAAAATTTGAGATAGTGAAATATAAACAAGATTTTCAAAATTCAACAAAAATCAAAAACTTTTGAACACACATTTTTGTAATTTTGAGCATCTAAAGACCTTTCCCAGGGTCATTTGAGGTCCCACACACAATTTGGGCCTGATCGGTTTAACCATTTTGACCATTATATATCAATATACTATGCTTTTAGGGTGCTTCGAGCCCATCTTCCATTTAAATTGTGAACATGTTCTGTTTGTGTACATTGTAAAATAAAAACAACAAATTTCGCAGATTTTATGAAAAACTTTCAGCCTTCTTGACGTTTATTGGATACAAACAGATAAACAGACAAACAAGCAGAAAGACAAGCAAGGTATATATGTAATAAATATCACATAATAAATATCGTGTAACACGATATCTGTAAACCTGAACTGTGTTGTACATTAATAATTATCTATGCTGTAAATAACTATGTAGCATGAATAAACATGTATTGTGATTAGCTTAACTATGTTTACATAGATCCATGCAAATCCTAGAAACATACATTCAAACTTAAACTACACTGTATATATGTATCGACCATTGGTTTGGCATTGATCACTTAAGAGCTTGTGTCCGTGTTGACATTTATAGGTGGGCTTGTGTTCCTGCTGACATTGATAGCTAAGACAATCATGCCCATTGGTTTTGCATTGATCGCTTAAGAGCTTGTGTTCCTGTTGACATTGATAGCTGAGCTAGTCCCCATATTGACATTGAGAGCTGACTAGCGGTATCTGGATATCTCTTCCCTAAAGCTTCAGACTATGGGGTGAGCAATTTGGCTTCAGGGGTAAGCAATTTTCCAAGGTTGAGTGGCTGATCCATGGCTCACCCCTGTATCAGCCCCTGGTTACCTTAAGTCCAGCTTTCTCCAGCCTGCCAGCAGCTGCAAGACCAGATATCCCTCCTCCAACAATAAGAACATCAGCATCCTTCCCACCCTCAACACTTCTACCAGAGGTTATTGTAAGAAAATCAAATAGTAAAAAAATACAAAGTATACTCATTGTGAGAACCATTCTGTCCACTCAGTTAAACAGACTGCTGATAGTGTAAACATTGGAATTATTTTGATGTAAATAACAGGGGGTGTCAAACATTAACAATAAATAAAATACAAACCTTTTCTGAATATCATAAAAATCAATTTAAATTTGACTGAAATTTTTTTACCCCCCCAAAAAATTTTAAATTTGAAAACATCTATAATCTACATATACATGCAAAGACCAGATTTTGCTGGGTTGATAAGCAAACATTCATCTGTTTACATATGTTCACAACTAACTATACTATATATATATATATAGAAGAATAAAATCACGATTGTAAATCCTTTCTATAAATAATATCATAAGCATAATTTTTAAATTTGCATGAATTTGAATTTTCTAAATCTTCTCGACACTATGTCATATTAAATTAGTTTAAAGTTCAATAAATTTTATAAAACACATGTTCTTTTATTGAAGTCTAAAGTATATATACATTTACAAATTTAAATAAAAATAGAGTTTCCTTAAATTTAGGAAGGTTAAATAGGACAAACCTTAATTAATCACAATTGCTTGAAATGCATGAAAATTACACCACCCTAAACTAAGTTTTCTGTGCGTACTTTATTGATCTGCAGTACACTGATCGAAGAAATAATGGCTTTTAGCAGTGAGTGACACAAAATTTGTTTACAAATAATTTGTCCAAAACCTCCTGGTCTTAATTTATGAATACTCTGATTAGGATTAGATCTGACAGGATACTAAGCATATCTTTCATTAATTCCATCTGGATCAATCTTGGATTTAGTTCTTCCGATCGAAACCTTCTCCGGCTCTTCATCCTCCTCCTGATAAAACAGGAAATAAGTATCTTATTCAATAAAGGAATTGTAAGTGAAATTTGAAGTGGTCCTATATGCAAAAATAACAATGCCCGATTAACAATGGTACCCTTAACAGCTTTGTCTTTTAAGTTTGAAAACATATTAGTTTCAATTGTAGTTTTATTACAAAAATGACTTGCGCATTTTTACTGCAAGAAAACACATAATTAAACACTTTTAAACCTAAAAAAGTTACAATATTTTTTACAGTTTTGATCAGATAAAGGTTTCCAGGGGGACATTGTGAATTGGACATTGCCTTCTTTGCATAGAGGGTTCCTTGAATCTACGCTTACAGTCTCTTTAATCTTAGAGAATCTTAGAGAACTTAGAATCTTTAAACCAAGCTGCTAAGAACATTTCCGTGGTACAAAACTTAAGACACACTGGTCAATGGTTTATGATTACTATTTATAATTCATATGACCGGCCAAAATGTAACGTCTGAGTTGAACAAAATTTTTACATTGCACCCTCCCCCCCGCTGGGTTACTTACAGGATATTACCCAGGGGGTAAATAATGTTAAAATAAAAAAGTTTACTAACCTGTATAATAATTCCATGGTTGGGTCTCTCTCTACCTCTTTGTTTCATGGTGGCTTTTCTCCTAGAAAAAAAAACAGATTTTTTTAGATTCAATAAGGAAAGGAGTCTTTGCCGCAAACACAAACTTTACCATCCCTATATGTTTCCAATCTGTTGGGAAAAACCTTTGAAATTTCAGACTTGGATCATATGTCATATACTAGAATTTATATTATGAAATATCTATGGGCTACGACATTGGGTTGCAAAGATTTAGGTAATAGAAAATCAGAGTTTGTGGCAAAGACTCTTTTCTTTGTAACCAATAATCTAGAGGTATTTTGATCTTTTATCTTTTTTTTATTTAAAGTAGAGAGGAAAACTTTTCTTTGACATATAAACTTGTTTCTTAAGAAGAAATTTTCTTGAATAAAAATTCGAAGTTTAAAATTAAATAACCTCCTTAAAGTAGTAACTTTAAACAGTTTTATTAATTCATCGAAATCCACCAACATATTACCATTTAGCAAAAGCTTTTTATTTCATAGAACATTTAATATTTATTTCGATACTTGATAAGAATGGTAATGACAGAATTATAAAATTTGTGTTTCTTACATCCAAGATAAGAGCAGAATATATTAGGTAATAAAAGAATTAAGTTCATTTTAACTGAAAATATTCCTTCCACAATATTTTTTTATTTTTTTATTAAGACCAATTAGACAGTGGAAAGAAGATACTTTTAATGTTTACTTAGAATCAGATTTCAATGCTACTGTTTTGGTGAATGGGCATCACCCTCCTTAAATGGAACTTTATTACCAAATGAAATTCCGTCTACAGTCCCTCCTTTAAAGGTATATTAAAACAAATTACATCCCATAAAAATAAGTCCTTAAATGCTAAATTTTGCTAAACTTACTTTCCATACTGAGTGTGTCTTCTCTTAAGTTCAGAAACTACCTCTGGTTCAGCAAACCTTCCCCCTTTCCTCTTTATGGTCTAATCAAACAAAGTAAAACATTTGGTTTACATTTACTAAAATTGTTTAATACTTACCCCTACATTGCTCAACCGACGGAGTTCATTGGCATCCCCATTATTGATATCTAGACATTTAAGTATTCCTTTAGTTTTAATTATAGTTTTTTAAGATTAGATTTTAATTAACCTTTAAAATGTAAAATTTTACAACTGTATAATTTCAGGGAAGGCATTAAATCCCCCCCCCCCCCGTATTTGCACTTGAAAATGAATATTTCTGGAATTTAATTATTTATTTATTTTGTTTGGAAAGTTCAATATATTTCTCAACTATCTCAATGCTGAGATCTGTAATTAACAGCAAATTAAGCATTTTTTATGTCAAAAATGTTGCTTCTGTTCAAGAGTGTCCCAAATCTTTTATGGTTGTACAGAACATCACTATTAGAGCAGCTTGTATCAAGTAAAAAATAGCCTTTGTTTCCACTTACTTTGAAGAGTTTGTTCTACTGCCTCTTCCATGTCTGTTGTTGCCTCTCCTTGACGTGTCCTTTGTATATCTCTGATGATTTGAGCTCCGTGTTCATCCAAAAACTCTGAGGCATTGTAATGAGATCTAAAAACAACTTATTGACTTGGATTCAGATTGATGATGGTTGAATGTAATCTACAAACCTGAGTTTAGTCGAAGATACGATGTGTCCTAGGGTCATTATTCTGTGAAGGATCATACCAATAACTTGAATGAGCATAACTACAGCAAAGAAAGCCATGAATACTACTCCTAACGGTTCAAGCTCTAGATAAGTTTGTTTGATCTCTATTTCACTAACCCTGGAAGCTGAGCTAGAGCTTAGTTCCCTATCAAACTCGATCATAAGATCTTTAGCTCCCCAAGGCCACTTAATAAACAGAGTATCTTTATTCTGTTGCAGCAGGAAAATAGTAACAACCCAGATACTATTCAGGATAAGGAATGACATTACCATCTGATTGCGTAGATCTTTCAAGCCTTCGCTGATCCTCTTCTTTTCTTCTTTGTCTTCATTCAGAGGTTTAAGATACTGTTCTATGAAACTATTCCAGAAAGAAAGTTCAACTGGATTTATGACTTGTTTCTTTGCCTTCATGAGTAAGGGGCATTTCTCATTGTTTTCCTTATTATTCTCCAACCAGTATGGGTTTACCATTTCATTTCTCTCCGGTTTTCTTTCCTCAAATATCTGAACCCGTTTCACAGCAGGGGCAGGATTATCAGGTTTACTTGGTTTCTCCGTTTCTTTTGTTAGATCTTTCTTGGGCATGTCTTTAATGTTCAGTGCTTTTTCAACTCTATCAAGTTTATCAGCAATCATCATAAGTTCTCTCTTGGTATCTTTATCATCATCATTGGTGAATAGAAACCAGGAACAAATGTTTCCAAATGAAAATTCAATTGTTCCTTTTTTCTTGGTATCATTGAGGGATTGAAAATAGCCAAGAAGTCCATTTTCTTTTGCTGCTGCTTGAGTTTTGGCCTCATTTAAATTGTGTTCTTGTTCTGCTGCAACATCAGCTGCAGACTTTGGAACTTCTCTTGTTCCCCAAGAAACATTGTTCAGGTTAAAGATGGAGTAGATCATAAGAAGCAAGTACATAGATGGTATAGTGATATAGTAAATCACTCCCATGGGTAGGCACCAAAACTCTTGAGGATGCAAGATGCCTGCAAGAATAAACGCTCCAGCTACAAACATTAGAGAAAGACTCGTGGGGGCCAAAAGTCCATCTTCATTCAGCTGAAGACACAGTCCTACCAGTACAGCCATCATGATAATTGCATACACTAAACTTAGCACCATAGCCACAAATACTTGATGATCAGATTTGAAGAATGCGCAAACCAAGATATAGATGACTACTATTATCAAGTTTATCAAAAGAGAATCCACATTAGATATTTTGAAGGCCACATTGAATGCTCCAACAAGCATGAGAAAGATACTCCCTGGCCCTAGGATTGTGCCAACCATCATCATAATCTGATACACTATATAGAAGAAAGAAATATCATCATTGTTCTTAATGACATTTCTGAAATCACCCAAAAGATCTGCAATATTGGCTATTGTGGATGGCATCCACCTTCTTCTTTGGTTGTAGAACTCTTTGAATCCTTCGGGACATGCAGTAAAAGAATCACTGGCTGCTGAATATTCAACTCTCCAACCCTTTTGGAGCATTAAAGTACACAACCACCTTAAAAAATGTATGTTGTTGAAAACAAATTCAGAAAAATAGTTATATTTTGCAATTGATACTTAGTACCTGTCCTCTCCTTGGTCATACTGGACATAGTGCCTAGGTTGGGTTGCGATGGTGGTGTACTTGTGCATTACATTTTCATCCATAACAGCCTTAGCCCGAAAGAGTGAAAAACAACCAGGGCTAAAAAAGAAAAGCATGAAAGCTTAGTCAATATTTATTGTAGAAAAAATTGCTTACCTACACAGAACACAGCCCATCATGTGTTCGGTTGCTTTCTGGAGCCAATGACCAATGGCATATTCAAACATCTGGTACCATTGCATGTAACCTAAGAAAAGAACAGAGTAAAAACTTGTGGCAAGTTTGAAAATAACTTCTTAAAATGTAAACCTGATCCAATGGGATGAATCCTTCCACATGATGCTCCAACGTCTGGATTTCTTTTCATTAGATCAACCAGTTTGATAATAGCTTCTGGCTGAAAGTCTACATCTCCATCCAAAGCTAGTAAGAATGTGTTTTCAGCTCGAACCTGTTTATGCATGCTATTAATGTCAATTCCTTATTTTAAAAAAAACAAAATACCTCTTTCTGTTGTTCTGTAAGGTTAGGGTTGTCCATCAACTGAAATCCCAAAAAGTAATACATGTACATACATTGAGACCATCTCTTTTTGTGCCTGATCTTGTTTTTGTCTTTCAGATGACAAATAATCTTAGTTTTTCCAGGTAAATGCCAAATCAGACGTCCGCCGTAGGGAGTTAAAAATACTTCGGGGGGATCCACCTGAAAGTTTCTTTTGCCATACCATTTCTTTGAACAGGCATCAACCATGTGAATCAGAAGACGTACAAACTGGTTTACAATTACTTCATCTTTAGATTCAGATGACCTTTCCATGCAATCATCAAAAAAAATGTGGGTTTCCCACTCATAGAAGTCAGGGTCATCTATGTCCATAACTTTCCTTGCCATAAACCTGGCAAAATAATCTTCATCTATGCGAAATATGGATTTCAGCATTTCAGACATTTCTTCTGTATTTTCATGCCACATGGTTGCACAGCCATAAATCCTTGTTGTTGTGTCTAGTTCAACTCCCTCAAAGTCCTTATTTTGGTCCGAAAATGCAGAAATTTTCCTTCTCTTTTGTTTCACCGGTTTCTCTGCTGGCGCAGCGTAGGACTGGTTAAAATGCTTTGTTTTAAAGTCAAATCTTCTTGTGTTTTTTCCATCATCACATCTCCTGTTCAGCATGAGGGATTGTTCCAGGACCAGGGAATTAAAGTATGGAGTTCCAAACATCTGTGGTGTGCTAGCAAGTCTTTGACTTTTGGGGAACCATATATGAACTGTCAACCAGCATTGGGAGATAAACCACAGTATCCAAGCCCAAGCATAGTTGGAGGAAATCCATTCAAAGGTGCTACTATTTTCTGGACATTCATAAAACATGTGAGAAGGAATTGAACCTTGATAAACACAACTGTTAGCCTGGCGGTCCACACACATCTTCGACAGAATGATTACACACAATGGTGTAATCAAGGTCAATGGGAATGAAAAGCTTTGTAGCTGGATTCCGTATTTACAGGCAAAGTCTGCAAACAAATAGCCTGCCCAGGCACAAATGGCTTGCACAATAAACACATAAGCAGGTTCATATGAATTGAGGGTCTGCTCAAAAATTGGGGAATCCATGTTATTTGAAGAAGAAGTAAATTGCTGTGTTGAAAATGAGTTTCCTATCTCAGAAAACAACTCACTAGAAAACCATTTTCAAAATAAAATTCCTGATAAATTTAGAAAGAAAATTAATTTCACAGAAAATAACTGATCTTCAAGCATTAATAGATAAATGGTTTTTCCTCAATGTAAAAATCTTTGAAATTGATATATACAGGATCATCCCCAGAAACATTACTCCGATCTTTATTGGTGCTATTAGGGTGTAGGTAAATGCTCTGGCTCCTCCATCACACATCTTTGTTTTCACTAACCAAAGTTTACTGAAATATATTTAAAATCTACAGTCGTCGTCGTATGTATATCAATACAATGAAAACAGCTTTCGATTTCAATTTTCGATTTCTACAGCATGGATACACATATAACATTAAAACAAAGAGAAACTGTCCATTAACAGTTTTTCTTTGCTTACTTGTAAACTTGTAATTTGAATAAAGCTTGTAAGAAATATATTTTGAACTTTCATGCCTAATTTCATGGAATTTAAGAGAAATGTTTGAAAATTAGGTAATTACAGGTCTTCAAATATTACACGAGGTTGTTTATAACTATTTACAGAAGCAAATGTATTTTATTGACTCTCTTCTTTTTTAACTACCTTGAGGGTGAGAAGGCCTTTTCATCCACGAAAGCCTCCCACCATCCGAAAGATGTCAGAAATAAACCAACCGGAAGCGCCCAGGAATACTCTAGAAATAGATGAACCTGCACTATTCACAAGAGTACCGTTGAAACCTTCATCTGATCAATAATATGGAAAGTAATATTGTTTTCTTTTTTAAAAAGTGCTTAACTCTAATCATTTATCCATTGTTGCTACAGCAAGAAATGGGAAAGTCACTTTTGTCGAAATCCCACAAGTGAAATAATCAGATTTCAAAACCATGAATATCTAATACTGGACCAGACAAAACTCTTAAGGGCGCTGTTGTGAACCGTACATAGGAAGGGAGGCTCCCTTAAAATTTACAGCCCCTTTAAGGCTGAATATTTTAAACAAAATTTGAATTGCTTTTACCAATTTCAGTCTGAGAAACTATTGGCCATATTATTAAAGCTGAAATCTGTAGAAGCAGAGATAACACTGTCAACACCTTGCAAGCAATATCTGGAACTCTAAACAAATATTCATTACAGTGGGAACCTTAAAACTATGGAATAGGAAGACGACATTCAAGCAATACTGAAGTGTATTTGGCGTTTTTTAAAGCAGACAGTTTCACTTTTAAACTAGTAACTTATCACTCATTTAATTAAATGTGTCTGTTTACACTGCACAATTGTTGCAACTTGTGTTCATTGAACTAAGTCATAACTTAAGTCTAAAATCTTCCTATTCCAGAGTTTTCTGGTTCTCACTGTAGTTTTTCAATTGGTTTAATTTGGAATTTTAGACTGAATTCTAACATTACCTGAATTTTCCTATTTTGATATCTTGTTTGATGAACAATTTCAATATTGCTGGAATTATGCATAATGCATTAGTAGCCATAATCCCTCGGATTGAATCCATGCCTTTAAAACATAATTTATTTTGCGATTGTCTAGTTTTAAATTAATTATTTGTTTCGCATTCTACAGTGAAAATAAAAAAAGATTGGAATTTTCATTGTATTATTTTTTCTTTTAGTTATGAAACGTCACTAAGAATTTATAACTTGCAACTGAACTATTACCTGGAAGCGCAAAGAAGAATAAAATAGTAACTCCAACTGCATGAAGAACTTCAAATCCAAGGCAAATAAGGAACTCTAGAACAGCAGGTGTTGAACTGGTTCTCATTGTTATTGTTCTCAAGGATGTGAGGAAAGTAAGGACTTCAGGCATGGAGTAACTAAAGAAAAGAGCCCAGACCCAGGCAACTTTTCCAGTAGGATTTATCTGTGATGTCCTGGTCACATCGTTTGAGTCACAGTACTCTAGAGGTTCTCCAGATATCTGACTTACTATAAAGAATGTTGCTCCTGAAAAAAAAAAATTATGATGATGTTTTCATATGTTGGTTTTCTAGATTTTATTTAAATCAGCTGCAGAGCTTAAGGACCCTTTGCATTGTGGATATCAAGATCAATACTTGATCCCGATATTTTGTTATTCTGCAGATTAATTTAATCTGTATTCTCTATATCTCATAGTACTATCGTTACCAATTAGGGGAGTGAAGGGAGCTTTGATCTGGGTAGGATTAATTAAAATGAAGATATGGAAAAGTATATTTTTTATAGATCCTCAAATTAAAAGTGTCTACTGTGAATATCATGGTCAATCTGGATTATGAGTAGTCATCACATAAGTTTCCAACTCAGAATTCGAAACTTTGTGTTGAGTAACACTGATCTTGAACACTTGATCTTGATATCCGATGTGGACACTTTAAAATTTGAGGTTCAATGACTGCAGGGTACTATGTGATATCGAAGAGTGATTAAAGGAACTGAGTTCTTGCCACAAACTATGGTTTCTAATCCCTATCTCTCCGGATCCTGATGTTGTAGACCTCTGGTATTTCAAACTATGAATTCTGTTACATCAAATAATCTAAGTTTGAAATATCTAAGGTTTATACCATCAATTTGCAATGATATAGGGATTAGAGAATTTGAGTTTGTGTCAAAAACTCAATTCCTTAATCCGTAAGTCTATATAAGGTTGAGATCAATGCTTGATCCCAAAATTCAAAAAACCAAGATTTGGATTTCAGGATATCTGTGTTAGGTTGGATATTTATACCTTTTGTGACTATTCCAGCTGTAAGAACCACAGCAAAACAGATGATGATGGTGAGAACCTTGAGAATTCTGTAGGCCTGCTGCCATTGCTCTGTTGTTGTTTCTGATGCTGAACTTGCCTAGAAATAAAAATGATTAATGAAAATTAATTTGTTTTTATTTTAATTTTTTACTTCGTCTGTTGAAGAATAGAAAACGTCCCATGGTTTCTTCTCTTTAGAACTCCTTTCGTCGTCTTCCGCCATTTTCTAATCCTAAATTATTCATCATCAATAAACAGTCATTTGTTTTCTAATCCTCAATTAATCATCATCAATAAACAATAATTGGTTTTCTAATCCTAAATTATTCATCATCAATAAACAATCATTGGTATTCATTGTAAAAGTTTAAAACTTAAAACTCGGCTTTTAGGGCGTTTCGTGTCCCTTTTTCAGTCAACAATTTTAGCATTTAACTTTAAAAGTCGCAATCTTTAATCGTTCAAAAATTTTCGCGGATTTTTCTGTTTAAGTTGGGTCATGTAAACTGCCTCAAAAATTGTGGGATCGATCGATGGACCCAGACAAACAAGCAAAATACAAATAACATAAAAGTATAAAATATATGATCACTTCTTAGTTTGAGTTAAATTATTTTAGAATTGGTGTGTTTTAGTAAATGTCTTAAAGCATTTATTCTCGTTTTCTTTTTATGGAGAAAACATCCGTACACAACAAGCAGAGGCGTACACAGGGAGAGAGGCTATGGGGGCTTAGTCTCCTCTTTAAAGGGCCATGGATCAATGAAATCTATTCAATTTTCATGGGTTTTTTAGGCCCCAACGGATGCTGAGCCCCACCGGAATGAAAATAAATTTTAAGCCCCCCTCCCTGACAACAAGTTTAATTATTGAATAGTCTGTATTGTTTGTGTACCTGGATCAGAATTGTTTCTGTTTGGCTAAAAGTGCATTTTTTGAGGTGTGGCAGAAGATAGGTTACATAAGTTCTGCAAAACATTTTGATATTAGATTTTTGTCTTGGTTTTCCACAAACTCTGATTTTCTGATCCATATATCTTTGCAACCCAATGTCATATAGACCTTAGATGCTTCAAACTACGACTTCTGTTAGATCAAATAATCTAAGTTTGAAATATCACAGAATATCATAGGTTTACATCATCAGGTTGAAAAGATCTAAGGATAGGAACATTTGAGTTTGTTGCAATTGCTCAATACGTTTGAATTATTATACTTTTCCAAATCAAGGGTAGCGTCCATGACCCTCTGTAGGGATTATAAAGGGAAATTTTCAGTTCAAAAACTTTTTTTCTAAAAATCTACAAAAGTTTTATGAGTTTTATTCTCTTAAAGAAAGTGATTACTCAGACTCTAATTTACTAATTTCTAAACCTTTGCAACATGATGGTGTAATGATTTTTTTATTATTTGATCTATCAGAAATTAAAGTTTCAAATATCAAAACTCTAAAACGACACATCAGTTTGCAAGTTAGTAGAGCTTAGAAAACTCAGGGTGGGTGTTTTTTTTTAAGTATTCCTGTCATTTCGCAAAGAGAAAGATAAAAATCCAACAAAATAAGATAAAAAATCGTCCAGTACTTCTTCAAAACTATACATTTGTAACAACTTTTTGAACTAATGGATAATTCTACAAAATAAAACACATCAGAATTACCAAGGTTATAATGCAAGGATAGTTATTTTGAACTGCAGTTTACTTTCTCTGGGCGGCAATGTAAACACAAAACGGATGTCGAAGCCTGACATGGGATCCATCTTTCACATAAAAAATCAATAAAATATTCTGGTCATAGGAAACTAATATGTGAATTATCAAAATTATCAAAATTAAATGCTTTTATCTTTTCGGATATTAAACGAACACTAATGCATCTATTCTTGTTTACAAATTCCGTCCAGAGAGAACTGGTTTCAATATGTACGCAGAGTACATGCAACTGCAATTAACTTTCCTTGCATTATAACCTTGAGAAACATCGTCTTCTATCCAGACCGGAAAACCAAGGTCAGGAGGAATTTCCGGCAAATTTAAGTTGAAGTTCATCCACTCAACATTAAGAATATTCCTTTGGTCATACCTAGCTTTCCAATTAATATTTGAGGCAAATCGGTTATGATCTGACATCCAAACAAACAGACAGACAGTTTCCAAAAATTTCTCCTGACCTTGGTTTTCTGGGTTGGAGAGAGAAAGAAAACGGTGTTCTTACGTTTTTAAAAGGATAGTTTATCATTTAAATATAGTTTTGCAAGTGTATATTTTTGAGGAAGTACTGGATGATCTTTTTTTGGTGGATTTTTTATGTCTTAATAAAATAAAAAAACCTTTTTAAAAACCAGATTGAGAAATGTTTTGTTGTTTTCCGGGGTCACGGAGAAGTGTTGTTCTCCGGGGTCACGGAGAAGTGTTGTTCTCCGGAGGGACGGAGAAGTGTTGTTCTCCGGGGGGACGGAGAAGTGTTATTCTCCGGGGTTACGGAGAAGTGTTGTTCTCCGGGGTTACGGAGAAGTGCTGTTCTCCGAAAATACGAAGAAGTGTTGTTCTCCGGGGGGACGGAGAAGACTGAAAGGAAAGATTTACATTCTTGTAAATATCGTTCTTATCTCACGGATGTTTAAACATGATTATTATAAACATTTTTCAGGATTTCATCTATATAATAAAACATATAAAACGTATATGTGTTCCCTTTAGCCGCCCAAACGGCTGGACCGAATGGGCTGAAATTTCTTTAGGGAACCCATGGCTGCCCTGGGGGTAGCAAAGGCTAACAAATTTTAAAATTTGTATTTTTTAGAAATCTAATTTTAACACATTGTACGGCCGGTGGCAAGGGTACCATTGTGTACCGGTTGAAAGGGTACCATTGTGTACCGGTTGAAAGGGTACCATTGTGTACCGGTTAAAAGGGTACCTTTGTGTACCGGTTAAAAGAGTACCATTGTGTACCGGTTGAATGGGTACCATTGTGTACCAGTTGAAAGGGTACCATTGTGTACCAGTTGAAAGGGTACCATTGTGAACCGGTTGAAAGGGTACTATTATGAACCGGTTGAAAGGGTACCATTGTGTATCGGTTGAAAGGGTACCATTATGAACCGGTTGAAAGGGTACTATTGTGTACCGGTTGAAAGGGTACTATTATGAACCGGTTGAAAGGGTACCATTGTGTACCGGTTGAAAGGGTACCATTGTGAACCAGTTGAAAGGGTACTGTTGTGAACCGATTGAAAGGGTACCATTGTGTACTGGCTGAAAGGGTACCATTGTGTACCGGTTGAAAGGGTACCATTATGAACCGGTTGAAAGGGTACTATTGTGTACCGGTTGAAAGGGTACTATTATGAACCGGTTGAAAGGGTACCATTGTGTACCGGTTGAAAGGGTACCATTGTGAACCGGTTGAAAGGGTACCATTGTGAACCGGTTGAAAGGGTACCATTGTGTACCGGTTGAAAGGGTACTATTATGAACCGGTTGAAAGGGTACCATTGTGTACCGGTTGAAAGGGTATCATTGTGAACCGGTTGAAAGGGTACCATTGTGAACCGGTTGAAAGGGTACTATTGTGAACCGGTTGAAAAGGGTACTATTGTGAACTGGTTGAAAGGGTACTATTGTGTACCGGTTGAAAGGGTACCATTGTGAAACGGTTGAAAGGGTACCATTGTGTACCGGTTGAAAGGGTGCCATTGTGTACCGGTTGAAAGGGTACTATTATGAACTGGTTGAAAGGGTACCATTGTGAACCGGTTGAAAGGGTACCATTGTGAACCGGTTGAAAGGGGTACCATTGTGAACCGGTTAAAAGGGTACTATTGTGAATCGGTTGAAAGGGTACCATTGTGAATTTGAGGTTTAAATTTGAAAGGTGAAATTACGTTTACAGTGTCTGTAACTGTCTATAATCTGCGGGGGCTTCTACTACAGGCCTGAATATTGGCATTTGTGCAAAAATTGCACTTTTCACATAGTCATCTATCTAATCATTAAATGTCCAAGGAATGAAGGAATGAAGAAGCATGAATACAAGGGACATTAGTTCCAAATTGTGATTTAACCCATTTCTTTATACATGGGCGTTATGAAAATTTCAAATGTTTATTTTAAGTATTTTTTTAAGTGACTGTATGGAGAAGTTTAGTCTTCACTCGGGGTGAGTGGAACGACCTTGCGCTCTCAAGATGTTCAAGCTTTCATTTTTCACTATAACTCTACAACTGTGAAATTATAATAACGGAACTGCATAGCTTCAGAAGATTGCAAATGCACAGCTGTCCGACAATAAAAATCTACAGCTTTACAACTGTACAACTATACAATTGTACAACTGTAAAAACTGGTTAACTGTACAACTGCACAACTTTACTATTTTACAACTGTATAACTGTAAACTGTACAGTTTAAAAATTGAAAACTTTACAATTTTAAAACTGGACAACGGTAAACTTTACGACTTACTGTACAATTTATAACCTTTTAATTATAAAACTGTGCAATCGTACAACTTACAACTGTGTTGTTTTTTAATTTCAAAACTGTACAACTGTACAACTGTACATTGCACAAAACAATAAAGCTCCGAAAGATCTAGGATTTACTTCAATGTTAGCTAGATAGATATTTTTGCTAAAATTAAACAGTTTCTATCTATGTAAACATTTTATATTAAATATACAATGTATATGCAAAGATAAACCTTTGCTGCAGTTTTGCAAATAAAACACTGATTTAAATCAATATTTACACTTTTTAAATGTTTAAAATAGCTTTTGTTAAATAATCTTTTCACTTGCAACTTAAAAGACTAATAATTTTTTTTTTCAAAATTATTTGTTCAGAAACTAATATACATTCTTAATAGGTCTCTTTTCGTTTATAGGTACACCCCCCCCCCTAATGGGTCCCCCCTCCTACCCTTCATATGTCCCCCCCCTCTCCCATTGGTACAGGGCAGGTTTCATCCCTTGATGGGTTTCATTTTAAAGGTACCATCCCTTGATAAGTTCATCCTTTGACAGGTTCCATTCATTGTCATATTTTATTCCTTGATAAGTGCCATCCCTTCAGAGATTCCTTCCCTTGATAGTTTCCATCCCATGACAGATTCCATCCCTTTAGAGATTCCTTCCCTTGATAGTTTCCATCCCATGATAGATTCCAACCCTTGAGAGATTCCATCCCTTGAGAGATTCCATCCCTTGAGAGATTCCAACCCTTGAGAGATTCCATCCCTTGAGAGATTCCTTCCCTTGATAGTTTCCATCCCATGATAGATTCCATCCGTTGAGAGATTCCATCCCTTCCGTATTCTCAGGTTTCTATGTTTCAAGATACAACTTACTGTAATTCCCAATCTAGTTCTATCTTTCAAGAGAGTGATTCAGGACGCTTCTAATATGGTAACAATTCAGAAATCCTTCCGTATTCTCAGTTATCTATGTTTCAAGGTACAACTCACTGTACTTGCCAATCTAGTTCTATCTTTTAAGAGAGTGATTTAGGACGCTTCTTGATTGCCAAACAAGAATTAATTACTCTCACATTGTAATGAAAGCAGAGTCTATTCAAACTGAATGCATTTTGGGTTCTATCTTACAAGTTAATTTAATCAACGTAATTACAAGTTTTACGGCGTTATATATACATGCGTAGTTAAGCTAATGACAATACTGGTTTTATTTACAGGCGTAGCTAGGTTAGGTTAATCGCAATGCAAGTAGCTATTTACAAACGTAAATAATTATTATTGTACAACTTAGTTCAATTTACAGATATAGTGTTACACGATATTCATTACATCCTTTGATAAATTCCATCCCTTGATGTACTTCATCCCTTGTTAGGTTCCATCCCATGACAGATTCCATCCCCTGCTAGATTCCATTCCTTGATAAGTTCCATCCCTTGATAGATTCTGTCCCATGATAAATTCCACCCTTGACAGATTCCATCCCATGCTAGATTCCATCCCTTGATAAGATTCATCCCTTGATAGGTTCCATCCCTTGATAAATTCCACCCATGACAGATTCCATCCCGTGCTAGATGCCATCCCTTAATAGATTCCATCCCTTGATAGGTTCCATCCCTTGATAGTTTCCATCCCTTGAAAGGTTCAATCCCTTGAAAAATTTCATCCTTAGAAAGGTTCAATCCCTTGATAGGTTCCATTCCTGGATAGGTTCCACCCCTTGAGAGATTTCATTCCTGGATAGGTTCCACCCCTTGAGAGATTCCATTCCTGGATAGGTTCCACCCCTTGATTTTTGATTAAACATGTTGCTTATTAGGAGTAATTAATTGATTAATTGATGATTTATAAATTAAGGATTGGTCACTCAAAATAATGATGATGACTGATGAGAGATATGCTAAATTATTGATTTCAATTGAAAAATTTTAAAGGGAGTGGTTGCAAAAATTATGAAAATTCAATGAAGAGAATTTGATGTCAACTGCCCTTCACGGATCTTGAAAATGCGGGAGAAAATACAGATTCTCTATATTCTGCTGGATAGACATGGCAGGCAGAGAATGTATGGTTTCCGTAAAATTATTTAGTTTTCCCTGAACTAATTTCATCAATTTGGTCTCCTCTTTTCATTTGTATTTCAAAATTTGATGATTCATTAGTTTTTCTTTTCCAAATTATCCGCCCCCATTTTCCTCCATATAATACCTTTAATTTAGAGAACCCTATTTTCAAAATATTCATGAATGCCACCGTCCAGATCTTTAAAACTTTTACGAAATTTAAAATTATGCAAAATTTAGCACAATTTTTGCAGTCCATATTGTGTAGTTTTAGAGTCATATTCTACACGTTATGATAAGCACTTTCGGAATTTTCTTATAATTTTGATATATCTAATATGTTTCGTTATTAGTGACTATAACAAACTATAATATTCTTTCAGTGATAACATATTTATAGTCAATGTTTCAATAATTGCATCTGATCCTTTGCATCCAGGATCATGGTATATTTATTTCGATCATCAATTGGTAATAATGATGAGGTTTACTGTTCCTTTAGAATACAATATTACAAAGATAACTTATTTTTCTGAAAACCATTTTTTTACAGGTTCTTCGTAATATAAAATCTTGGAAAACACAAACGAATTGGCATAAGCTTATAGACTGTTAATATGATTCCATATTTTTAATTATACAATCAATTTTTGAAAGAAACAGAATCTTGATCAATTGGACTTTAAACGTCAGGTGACCCTCAACTGAGTGGCATGTCTGATACACAACAGTACCTTTAAAAGCTTTATTGAATTTACTTTAAATTAAAATCACCATGTTTTTGTTTTGAAAACTTTAGTGATTATTTGCATTTCTAGCTGCTCCACAAAATGTGATTTGGATATTTCTTGATTCAGAAACGAGTTATCAAAATTTTGCACTTTTAAGTCAAAAAACAACTTAATCTTCCACATTATCCTCAGATTAATATTTTAATGGTACGCATCTCCTCGTAAAATAGAGGAAATAAAGGGGGGTCATTTGAATTACATCGGACAAGCCCCTTTAATGATGTTTGCTTTTTTTACTAAATAGAACGAATATCTCTTTTAACACTGCGATGTTGCTAGGCTATCATTTGTTGCATACAACGTGCATGGATCGCCTCTACACATGGGTAGCCTAAGCTGAAAACTTTAGAATGAGATATCCTTAATCTTGATTACTTAATCTGAGTATCCAATGGACACACTTTTGATTTTCTTCTTAAACCGTTCTTTCTTGGATATAGTAGAGAAAAAATCAAAACTGGTTTTTAAAAATTAGAGGGTCCCTCCCGTTTCTGTATATAATCTTAAATGGCGCTCAAAATTTCAAGTTTATCGGCTTCATATACGCGACTCTAATTGGTTAAATTTTATACACTTTTCAGAATACAAGTACAAGATTAGGTTAGTCTCGATAATAGGAAAAAGAGAGGATCAAGCATTAATCTCGATATCCACCATTCTAAAGTTTTCAGCTCTGGATAGACAGTAAGAAGGACTGCATATACAGTATGTGTTGCATACTGGCACGGATTATGCAACTTTTAGACTTTTTAAAAGAGAAGATGTTTGAACAAAAATGAATTAATGATTATTTTCAAATAAACAAATCGTATTTTTTGTTCCACAAGACTGTGCTTTAACTTCCAAAACCCTTCTTGTCAGTCGCTTCCTAAAATGGTATGCTGGTTTCTGGCGTTTACAATTTTTCTATATTAGGGCAGTACAAACAATCCATCTATATTAGGGCAGTACAAACAATCTTGTTCACAAAGCCAATAGTTCAATCTGCTCCTGATACCAGTTGAGAGATTCCATCCCTTCCGTATTCTCAGGTTTCTATGTTTCAAGATACAACTTACTGTAATTCCCAATCTAGTTCTATCTTTCAAGAGAGTTCCCCCCAGCGGGAATAGGGTTAAGAAACTCTGAACATCTTTTAAATAGCACGTTATGAATCTGAGTTCGGATAAAAGATGCATGTCAAAAATGTTGAGTTCTGGTATAAAACATGCATGCTTACCAAAAAGAGAACATTTGGAAGTTTTGCTCCTTAAAATATGGTGACTAACATGTTTTCACGATAATAACGTTGGATTCACTAAAGGCTGTATTTAATCATCTTTTATCCCAGGAATTATTATTCCAACAATTCCTAAAATGCGTAATTTTACAGCAATAAACTTTGAATTTTAAAAGATGAAACTATTTCATTAAAGCGTAGTTTCTTATCTAGAGCATTGCAATAAATTAGAAGTCTAAATAAACATATTTTATTTCTGTTTTATGATCGCAAAACTGAGAACTGTACAAAATTTACTGGAATTGAACCTTTGCCACAATCACACATTTTCTAATCCTTATATCTTTGCAACCTAATGGTGTAAACCTGTGATTTTATCTAATAGAATTTATAGTTTAAAATATCTATAGTCTACGCGCGACATTGGGCGGCAAAGGTAAAGGAATAAGAAAATCAGATTTTGAGACAAAAATTCAATTCCTTTGGTATGAGCCCTTTATAAATATGTTTTGAGTTCAACATCTTTGAATTTATGTTTTAACTGTAAAAGTAATTTCTAGCTACCGTCCACTTACAGAATTGCATGCTATGTATCTTTTAACATTTTTAATTCTCAGCAATAACGAGGAAGATATCGTCGTTCTTCTATCTCAAGAAGTGTTGCAGTCTGTCAATTTCCTTCCTTGTTTCTGCTCCATAAATCCACATTTTTTTCCTGTCTTTTGAATGGGTCTACAATAGCGACAACTCTGTTCTCAGGCCTGTTTTTACATTTCTCATAAGTGTCATGGTTAAAACATTTTTCCCGGAAAAAATGTCAGAATTATTAGAAGTACAAAATACTAGCCTTTTAGGGCGCTTCGCGCACATCTCATATTTTGATACTAACATGTTCTTTTTGAGTACATTGAAAACCAAAACAAAAAAAGTTAGCGGATTTTAACATAAAATTTCGAGGATTTTTAAAAGTTTCAAAGATTTAATCAAAATCAATCGCTATACAGGTTTGACATAGATATTTACAATCTATAAAATGACTGTAAGTATTACATGTCTATTTCTATGGAATGTCTAATTCTATGAAATATCTATATCTATGAAATATTTTTTCTATGAAACGTCATACCTATAAAATGAATGTTTTTTTTTTTTACCCCGCACCGCTCCTTACGTCGGTATTAGTAATAAGCTCTGATTATTTCTTTGCTTTAAATTCCTTTATCACAAATATTACAGAAAAGAATGTTCCAGAATTATTTCAAAACAGGGATGTTTCTTGTTCACATCCTAAACATTGGATTCGGTAATTATAAACATTGTTTATACATATTATTTTTTTTTGTATTTTTGAAGATAATATAATTATTTTACTGCATAATTATTCTGATTATGTTTATGCAGTTTTATTGTCCGCACTGAAATAATAACTCGACAAACCTTACGAAAACATTATATAAATTAATAATCAATTTTATTTTTAAGGTTTTTCTTGTGAAAATCCAAACGTAGAGGTAATTATTTCTAAAATTGGATCTTATATACAATTTTTACTGCATTTTCAATAAAATTAGCTAAAATTTTAATTTTAAGTGTTGGTTCTACTCCAACAAAAAGTAACATAAAAATTAAAGAATATGAGAATAAGTTCAAATTTTTACCCTAGGTATTTTTTTATAATTTTAAAGGGATATTTTATAAGTTTATTTCCTTTTTTGCTATTTGTTGTTAGATCAGAAAAAAATCTATTAATAACTCACTACTGACAAAGTTAAAGGCTGTAAATTGTATAAAATAAAAATTTCTAAGGTTTGGACCTCGGAGAAAGATTCGTATGGTGCTCCAATCCAGTCTTTCTGTAAAGGTAAAAACGAGAATGTTTTCAAGGTTTTCGAGAATTTGAATGCTTATTATTCTTATAACTGCAGAAAAAAACCTCTGTAAGATTTCTTGTAAATTTTACATCCTACTACTAATTGATTCCTATAGGAACTGAGTTCTTGTAACAAACTCAAATGTTCTAATCCCTATATCTAGCAACCTGATGGTGTAAACCTTTGACATTTCAAACTAAATCTAAGAGAATTTAATGCTTGAAATATCCAAGGTCAATTGTTCAAAATGTTAAACAAAATATTAAAAAAATGAAGTTTCTATTTCTAATCTTGGCAAAATAAAGAAGTTTAATGAAATAACTATGTTTATCAGCAGATTCCATGGAAAAAGATTGAGAAAGCAAGAGTGAACCGGAGCTTGCAAAATATATACATCCGGCTTCCTGCATGGAATTCACGAAAACATCTTTTCGTTCTTTTTTCAAAATTAGCGGTAAAATCGATAATATACAAACAAGAAGAAGAGAATTGAGACTCTGAAAATACATAGATTGCATTAACCAGCAGTTGTTATCATCTAATGACTAATGCAATTTTGTAAAACATTTTTAAAAGATAAATAAATGTTAAAAAAACCTTTGGCAAAATTTTCTATCGGCAGTTAGATTTTAGGTTTAGTTAATCCTTTTCAAATTTTTTATATTATATAGATATCACGAGCACGGTCCCAGTTTGTACTGTATCGCCCGGACATTGGGTAAATAAAGGGTCAGAGGTGCGTGATATATTTAATATATATATTATATAGATATATATAATATATATATTATATATATTATATAAATATATATTTAATATAGTGAAAATGCAGGTTTTCTACTATATGGAAGATACATTCTACTTCCAGCACACTGTTTAATATCAGCTAAACACCTTACTGTTCTCAAGGTAATTATTATAATAATAATAATAATAATAATAATAATAATAAAAATAATAATAATAATAATAATAATAATAATAATAATAATAATAATAATAATAATAATAATAATAATAATAATAATAATAATAATAATAATAATAATAATAATAATAATAATAATAATAATAATAATAATAATAATAATAATAATAATAATAATAATAATAATAATAATAATAATAATAATAATAATAATAATAATAATAATAATAATAATAATAATAATAATAATAATAATAATAATAATAATAATAATAATAATAATAATAATAATAATAATAATAATAATAATAATAATAATAATAATAATAATAATAATAATAATAATAATAATAATAATAATAATAATAATAATAATAATAATAATAATAATAATAATAATAATAATAATAATAATAATAATAATAATAATAATAATAATAATAATAATAATAATAATAATAATAATAATAATAATAATAATAATAATAATAATAATAATAATAATAATAATAATAATAATAATAATAATAATAATAATAATAATAATAATAATAATAATAATAATAATAATAATAATAATAATAATAATAATANATAGGTTGGTATCGTATGATAAAACAGATATAGATAGGATCTGATAGGTTGGTATCGTATGATAAAACAGATATAGATAGGATCTGATAGGTTGGTATCGTATGATAAAACAGATATTGATAGGATCTGATAGGTTAATATGGTATGATAAAACAGATATAGATAGGATCTGATAGGTTGGTATCGTTTGATAAACAGATACAGATAGGATCTGATAGGCTGGTATCGTATGATAAAACAGATACAATAAGATCTGATAGGTTGGTATCGTATGATAAAACAGATACAGATAGGATCTGATAGGTTGGTATTGTATGATAAAACAGATACAGATAGGATCTGATAGGTTTGTATCGTATGATAAAACAGATATAGATAGGATCTGATAGGTTGGTATCGTATGATAAAACAGATACAGATAGGATCTGATAGGTTGGTATCGTATGATAAAACAGATATAGATAGGATCTGATGGTTGGTATCGTATGATAAAATAGATATAGATAGGATCTGATAGGTTGGTATCGTATGATAAAATAGATATAGATAGGATCTTATAGGATGGTATGGTATGATAAAACAGATAAAAATAGGATCTGATAGGTTGGTATCGTATGATAAAACAGATAAAGATAGGATCTGATAGGTTGATATGGTATGATAAAACAGATTTAGATAGGATCTGATAGGTTGGTATCGTATGATAAAACAGATACAGATAGGATCTGATAGGTTGATATGGTATGATAAAACAGATACAGATAGGATCTGATAGGTTGATATGGTATGATAAAACAGATATAGACAGGATCTGATAGGTTGGTATCGTATGATTAAACAGATATAGATAGGACCTGATAGGTGGTATCGTATGATAAAACAGATATAGATAGGATCTGATGGTTGGTATCGTATGATAAAATAGATATAGATAGGATCTGGTAGGTTGGTATCGTCTGATAAAATAGATATAGATAGGATCTTATAGGTTGGTATGGTATGATAAAACAGATATAGATAGGATCTGATAGGTTGGTATCGATTGATAAAACAGATATAGATAGGATCTGATAGATTGGTATCGTATTATAAAACAGATATTGATAGGATCTGATAGGTTGGTATTGTATGATAAAACAGATAACGATAGGATCTGATAGATTGGTATGGTATGATAAAACAGATATAGATAGGATCTGATAGGTTGGTTTTGTATGATAAAACAGATATCGATAGGATCTGATAGGTTGGTATCGTATGATAAAATAGGTATAGATAGGATCTGATAGGTTGGTATCGTATGATAAAATAGATATAGATAGGATCTGATAGGTTGGTATCGTATGATAAGACAGAAAGATTTGTTAATGATCTTGCTCTAATAGCTCTTCAACATCCTACCACGAAACAGGAATGATCAATTTTGAATTTCCATCAGAAATTTAAATTTTAAGAAAAAAAATTGACATTTTTGTCATTAGAATAATTTTTTTCGAACTGATCATACTTTAAGAGAAAACATATTCAAACAAAAACAAATTACAGGAAAAATTAAATTTTCTCATTTTCAATAAAAATTATGATTTATAAATAAAACAATTTTTTTAACAAATTGGGAATACTTTGTTTATAATATTTAAAAATCATAATATTAAGCAACATTTTTTGTAACATTTATTCAATGCAGATACTGATTTTTATTCAGGGCGCTTCGTGCCCATCTTCTATTTCAACTTTTAAATGTGGCTCTATCTGTCAGTATCTTAATGAATGAAGCAATAAACAAAAATTAGAGGATTTAAAAAAATGTGAATTTTCAACATTTTATAAAAATCGAAATTTTTTGGAGACAAATTTGTGTAATTCTGAGATCCATAAACCTTCCCTGGGGTCATGTAAATGGCCTTATAAACATTGGGTTTGGTCGGCTCATTAGGCTAAAAATCTATTTTAAGTTTTGAAATTATATTAGCAAAAAAGTTTAACAAAACACACAGAAACAAGAAATTGCTGTACAGTACAAGGGACCTTACTGACCAGTACAGTGCAGTGAACCGTACCGACGAGTTTAGTACCGAGTACACAGTAGAACCTATCAATGAGTACAGTTGTACATCTCAAGGACTATCTCCAGGCCAGGTTTGCCTCAGGTTATATATCTTTATAGAAACATTGAGTAGATAAGGAAATAGAAATAGAAATAGAAATAGAAATAGAAATAGAAATAGAAATAGAAATAGAAATAGAAATAGAAATAGAAATTATTCTTTCAACAAAGTTGGGTTTAACTTAGAGGATCAGTCGTTGCAAGGTGACAATGCAAGGAAACTTAATTGCAGTTGCCTATACTATGCGTACATATTGAAACCAGTTCTCTATGGACGGTATTTGTAAACAAGAATAGATGCATCAGTGTTCGTTTAGTATTCTAGAAGGTTAAGAGCATTAAGTTTTTATAATTTTGATAATTCACATAATAGTTTCCTATGACCAGAATATTTCATTGATTTTTTATGTGAAAGATGGATCTCATGTCAGGCTTCGACATTCGTCTTTTGTTTACATTACCGCCCAGAGACAGTACACTGCAGTACAAAGGATGCGCACACCTCCGAAATAACTTTCCTTGCATTATAACCTTGGGTTGTTGTAATTCTATTCTTACTATTACAAGAACACCATGTCAGATTTACAACAATACTCTTTGAGATCTTTATCTGATCAATAACGTGAAAGATATCCTCGCTTTTCTAGCTTGAAAAGTGTTTAATTCTTACCAATATAGCTCCGTTTCTACAGAAGCAGAAATCCACAAGTCACGTTATATGAATCGAACATGTCACTTTAAAAATGGAGAGTCCCTTTAAACTATGTCTACAGCTAGTTCATTTTAAAAATGGAGAGTCCCTTTAAACTATGTCTACAGATAGTTCATTTTAAAAATGGAGAGTCCCTTTAAACTATGTCTACAGCTAGTTCATTTTAAAAATGGAGAGTCCCTTTAAACTATGCTTACAGCTAGTTCACTTTAAAAATGAGAGTCCCTTTAAACTATGTCTACAGCTAGATAATTTTAAAAGAAATTTAGAATTAGAAATAAAGAGACTGTTAATTTTTTTATAAAACTAGTGACAAATAAGAATCTTAAAACTCGATATGGCTTTAATTTAAGCCTTTTTAATATTTGGAAATGCAGATATCTTCTTCCTTCTGAAAGTTTGATCATTTGATTCCGTGGTTTTTTTTTAAAAAGTGACTCGTGGATTTCTACAACAGGGAAGAAAAAGAAAATTAGAAATCAATAATATTTTTTTTAAGTGCTTTACATTCCTTGGATTGAAAAAAAGTTTTGGTAATTGGCAGTCCTGAGCTGGGAACTTTAGAATGGTGGATATCGGGATTAATGCTTAATCCACTCTTTTTCTTAATCTCCAGATTAAATAATGCTTGTTCTCCTCTTGTTATTAATCTCCAGTTTAATTAACCGATCGGGATTAAGGACATCTCATTCTAAAGTTTTCAGCTCTGTTTGCATGAATTTTATCGTTAATGCTTTCGACAGAAAAAATTATATTTATAAGATAATAAAAGATCAGAAAATAATGAAGAATATTTAAATCAGGCTGAAGAGTAAAGAATCCTTGTTTCCAGAATATGATTGGGCAACAGACTATCCATCCTTAGACCCCAGACAAGGTGTAGAATATCATTGAAAGTCTTCCCCAGCACTTTATAACTCTTTTTCGCAGACTTAATTTGTCATTTAAGGAGCATTTTTAATTATTTCATTTTCAGAATAAAATAGATTGCGGATTATAAAATTGTGGGTAAAGGAATTGAGTCTTTGCCACAAACTCTGATTTTCTAATCACTATATCTTTGGAACCAAATGTTGCAGACCTTAGATATTTCAAACTATGAATTCTGTTAGATCAAATAATCTGAGTTTGAAATATCAAAGGTTTACAACATCGGGTTATAAAGATATTGAGGTTTAAATATTTTTTTTTGTTCCAAAGACTCAATTCCTTTTTAAGATTACAAGAAAAAAGTTGTGAATATTAGTGACATCGTTTTTTTAAATAAAATTTGACCGGTTAATTATTTATAGATTCTCCTGACCCTTCTCCTCTCCTCTTAGTTTGTTGCAATAAAGTCGTAAAATTTCAGAGATCTGTTTCAGTATAAATCAGTTGCTGGGGATTTAGAGCACTTCAAATATCTTAAAGTTTTAATTGTCATCTGATAAATGTCTATTTGTACAGTTTAAAACTATGTCTATAATAAGATAGCTTGGGAACCAAGCGCTGCCCAGGTTATTAAAAGTTACTCCCGCCGTTTACCCGCAGTTAAAAGATTTTTACCGAGAAATTAAATTTTCGCTATTAAAGTCGACCCGCTCAACTCAGAATCTCAAAACCAATCTAAGAATATGCCCGTGGTTATATCTATAAATACAATGTTGTAATCTCTGTTTGTCTGTCTGTTTGTTTGTCCGATCATAACTCAGGAACCCTGGACTGATTTGCCTCACATTTTGATTGGGGTATTCGGGAGACCCACGGGAATGTTCTCTGCTTGATTTTTGGATTCTTATTATATTAGGTTTTTACAAATATATAACAATGTATTGTATATTCTCTAGGTTTTTATAAATCTTCTTGTTTTGGAAACTCTGGAAAAGTACTGCGACATCGAAACTCAAGTAACAAAAAACTTTTAATTTTGATAATTCAAACATCAGTAAACCTTATTAATACCTAATTAAAAATGCTTTTCGATCATGTTAGCTATAAATGGCCGAAAGTTTGGACAAAATTGGGTAATATTTTTTAGGAAACCCATGGGTACCCAAAGAAAATTTAAATTAAATTCTAAAAGTGTTTTGAAAATTCCACGGGCAACACCTTGCACTTAAGCTAGTATCGATATAAGGATAAAAAGGCCAAGGTGTTAAAATATTGTAAAGTCAAGCTAAGCTTAAAGATTAATGCAAAATTTCAAAGATCTCCGATTTAAATATCAAGTTAATACAAAAAAAATTCATAATTAAATAATGTTTAAAGAAAATTTTACATATTTCTTATTATATCATTATTATTTTCATTATTATGCAAATTTATATTTAATATCATTATTTAATTTTTCATTATTAATATCATCATTATCATCGTCATTGTTACATACAATTAATGCTATAGCATGCTTTGTTACTTTTTTAGTGGAAAATTAAAAAGATATATTGTGGAAGACGATGCCTGGCCGCGTTAAACTAGTTCCACAAGATTCAACAGAATGAGATAGAACGGATACGGGGCATAGACTGATATCATCTCTACAGTCTACACGTGCGATATCGATATTGACTCTAGTTCTGAACCCTCTAGTAATAAGTTATAAGAAATATATATACTGGAAGTTATTTATGCGTTTTATTAGAGTCTGACTCACGTCCTCTATAATATCTTACATATGTAAACAATTCTCTTATTTCAGCTGAAACATGTCATAAGTCCACCATTTTATATTCATATTGTGTCAGAAATAAACCAATTAAAATAATAATTTTATATTTATTATTATTGTTATTATTATTATTATTATATTTATTATTATTGTAATTAATATTATTATTATTATTATTACTATTATTATTATCATAATTATTATTACTATTACTATTATTATTATTATTATTATTATTATTATTATTATCATTATTATTATTATTATTATTATTTTCTAGTAGTAGCGTATTAGTATGATTATTATTTTAGCGTCCTGTATTCCTGATTACCTGATATTGGTTCAAGAATGTACAAAATCTACTGCTATAGCTCTAGGTATGTAATTAAGCTTCAGAAACTTTTGAAACCTAGATCCAGACTTGAAAACCCAGTTTTGATAAAAAAGTTGAGCGACTTCATAGATTTCTTTTATTTGAACCTTTTAAGAAACTGATTACTTGCGTTAAACTCTAATTTCCTTTGCTTTTATCTTCAAGGCGATTTACACCAGCAGGTTTGAAAGATTTAGGGATTAGAACATTATTATTTGAGACCAGTAAAAAGTTCTTATAGGGTTTTTTCATTATTGATCATACATTTTTACTCAGTTTAGCAAACAATAAAAATAATAAAAATGTAATATGAAAATTATCTTTTTATATTATTTGGCACTTTCTAACTCGGCAACATAAAACATTGTCTCCAACCAGATTTTATCAGAGAACTGTTGGACTTTGAATCATGACATTAAAGAAATTGAATTGGTTTCTAAAAACAAAAGTTGAAAACTTATATTTGTTTGAACCTTTTAATTTGAAATTTAGGAGTTGCTTATGATTACGATAAGCATATTTAATATTCATTCATGAATTCTTGTTTATATATATACAAGCTCATAAATCATAACGCTGCCGGTGGTGAGCCATAAAAAAACCTAATAATTTCGTTTATGTAATTCTTTTGATTAGAAATCCCATTAAAGACTTAGTAATTTGGATTTGCTTTAAATGATACATCAAGAAATATTTAACGAGATATAACAAATACAATTCACATTATTTAAAGTAAAAAAGAAGCAATATAGACAGGTAAGGATGCATCACGATGAAAACGTGTATGATGCATTGCACAATTGCAATCCATGATGGATCCCCCTGTAATATTTTCAATAATTATAAAACATTTTATCACTCCTGCGTAGAAATTTCAAACAATTGAAGAATCAAATCTAAATAACACAAGAGTAAGGATTTTAAATGGCAAAAGAAAATTTTTTACTTTTTGATTTGTTTTGTTAAAAAGAAAAAGGTTCTATATAGTTTTATAGTTAACTATAAAACTATACATTTTCACATCTTTTATTTAAGAATTTAAAAAAATAAGAAATTTGCCTTTTACTTTTAATATTCTTTAAATCATCTATGGGGCCACGGCCCACGAGGCTCCAAAATATTGAGGGGTTGAACTGTTTATTGAGGAGTTGAACTGTTTATTGAGGGGTTGAACTGTTGTGATGTTTATTGAGGGGTTAAACTGTTGTGATGTTTATTGAGGGGTTGAACTGTTGTGATGTTTATTGAGGGGTTGAACTGTTGTGATGTTTATTGGAGGATTTCACTATTTGTCTGCATGCTCGTGTGTTAGCAAAGGGGGTAATAAAATGTACTGATAAGAAATATTTATGATAGAATCCAAATGCTGCTGAACCAAGGATTTTTGAAAATATTTTTCTAGATTTAAGTTTGTACAATTCATGGATAGAAAACACCATTTTAACAGGTAAAGTTTGGCTAATGTGTCAACTTTGATTTGATTGTAGTTTGAATAAGTTTAAGACCTAAGTATCTACTTACATATCGTGTCATACATTTTCATTTTTCTACGTTTGTCTATGTCCTACTTTTGTCTTGTCTCACGTTTGTCTTATTCACGTTTGTTTTGTCACACCTTTTCCTCGTCCCACATTTTCCTTGTCCCACCTTTTCCTCGTCCCACATTTTCCTTGTCCCACCTTTTCCTCGTCCCACATTTTCATTGTCCCATCTTTTCCTTGTCCCACCTTTTCCTTGTTCCACCTTTTCCTTGTCACACCTTTTCCTTGTCCCACCTTTTCCTTGTCCCAAATTTTCCTTGTCCCGCCTTTCCTTGTCCCACCTTTTCCTTGTCCCTCCTTTTCCTTGTCCCCCCTTTTCCTTGTCCCACCTTTTCCTTGTCCCCTCTTTTCCTTATCCCACCTTTTTCCTTTTCCCATCTTTTCCTTGTTCCATCTTTTTTCTTGTCCCATCTTTTCCTTGTCCCACCTTTTCCTTGTCCTTATTATAGACTTGATAAAAATACAAAAAAAAAATCAAAGTTAGATGAAAACTGCGTTTCCATATGCGTACTTTTATGCGTACTTTGAACTAGGCAGTAAAATTTGGATTGTTTACATAAACAAACATTGTTTTTTCTGATCGTAAAATGAACAGTATAATTACGTAATTTAAGAACGTAGAGAAAGTAAAGAAACTTTAGAATTGTTTTGACGACTTTTAAATCATAATTCATTCGGTAATCTTTAAATGTTAGTGACATAGGCTAAAAAATTTACACCATGTTGTGTTATTTTCAAAATTGCAGTTTGCCTTTTTTCAATACAAAATTAATTGAGAGTTTTAAAATTATTATCAAATCGTTCAACTCTAAACAGGCTGGGGGAGCGTTGTAAAGGAATTATTTGCAAAAAAACAAAACATTTTTTAATGCCTAGAGTAGGGTGCAGGGTGGAAAAATGTCCTGTCAGTGTAAAAAAGAAATCTAAAATAGCCTAAACTTTTATGTGACTAAAGCTACAAATCAAAAACTACATCTTATATATTTGCCTCATATAGTCTGTATTTGTACTGTACTGCTTGCCCTGGCTAGTTGAAATTCGGCCCGGTACATGAAATGAACTGGAATGTACCGTGAGCTGACCATGAAAAATTGGGCTATGAACATGCATATCAACCCAAAGCCTTTTTCTAAGGCGGGGGGGGGGGGGTATACATAGATTCAGACCACCCCCCAGTCTTTATAGGGTTAAAAAACTTTAATATAATCTGATCGAAATTAAAACTATTCGTATTTCAGATGTTTTAACAGTACAAGAATCGAACAGTACTGTACAATATGTGCCGAAAGTAAAACACTTACTCGGCAAACACATTAGGAACTTTTATATCATAAAATGTAAAATGCCATGATTTTTTTTTATGGTACAATGAAAGCCAAAAAACCAGGCATTTCCTGAAATAAAAAGTTTTCACGGTGAATATCGATATCAAACGTTGTAGATTAGCGATATCTTACAAACAAGTGTTGACCTCTAAAAAATCTAAAAGTCTTGTGAACAGAAAATCTCAAAACTGTCAGAGCGGATATTATCAGAACTATGAAGTTTACCACGCACAATCCAGGAATACTAACAGAAATCAATAAGCATAAAAAAGTTAAAAAGTTTGAAAAAAAAAAAAAAATTTAGGTTCTTTTCTAATAGTACAGAACGTACATAGGTACTCACAGACTACACCATAGTTTCTTTTTAAGTATTTGATTTACTCTACTGCAACTAAGTTCTTATTTTTTGATTAATTATTTTTACAATAGAACGAACTAATCTTTAAGATATCAGGTTTCTCTATTTGTTTCCTACGTTCTTTCTTTGTGAGTTGCCCCGTATCCCGCTAGTACATTAATAGAATATTAAATGCTGAGTTTTTATCTAGGAAAACTAGAGAAAACATTTTTATCGTTAAGTGATTTTTATTTACTTGATAAACACTAAGTATTTGCTTGTTAACGTATCAAAATCAAATGAAACAATGTAAACAATCTTAGACACTAGATAGATAACAATTAAGTCTAGGGTCAAATAATTTTTTATAGTTTCAATTTGTACAATTTTTGTAATTTCTATTAATATCTTATTTGTAAATGAACCCTGTAGAGAAAATCAAAAAACGTTGATGAAGATAATGTTGTTTTTCTAATAAAAAATAAACAATTTTTAGATTTAAGGTTTAAAATTTACTCAATTATCGAACTTGATGCTGGTTCAAGACCTTTAAAGCCCCTCGCGCTGTGGAAAATTAAAAATATTTCTTCTTGACTTAAAGATTTTTTCCAATCTGCGACGATAAAAATAATTTGTTGAATTTTATTTGAATTTGAGCTGAGCTGAAAATAGTGGATTTCATGATCAATGCTTGCTTTCCTCTTTTTGATGATTTTAAGACTGTTTTAATTTTTAGTTTGTATCCAGGATAGCGTATAAAATTAAACCAATCAGAGGGCCGAACAGCCAATCAGAAGCCGGGAAATTAAACACTTTGCGCTCTATTTAATGAAAGAACCCTCATTAATTGGAATCCGGGATATCCAAAAAGAGAGAAAAGAGCGTATCAAGCAAAAATTAAAAGTGTTCACAGTGGATATTCAGATTAAACGATCGGTATTAAGGGTATCCAGTTTTCAGCTCTGATTGTGTTAATATTGCGTATAGGAGAATAAAACCCTTGAACACAATTCAGGATGCAGAGCCACAGTTTAATCCTTTATCTCAGGTAGAGACAAAGTTACCACGAGGATAAAAATATTTAAAAAAAACATATTTCTCGCCACAAAATCTAGTTCTATAATAGCTGTCCTATACCTTTGCAAACTGATATTGGAGACCTTTGTAATTAGAATTTTCTTTTCAATGATAATGAAAATAACCTTTTAATGATAAAATAATATTCTGATTTAGAATCTCCGAGTAATAACGGAGTGTGGAGTAGAAATCCGCCTGGAGTCGGGAATAATTCATTCTCCCATACATTTCAGGTGGCATTTCATGGCATTTCATGGCATTTCATGGCATTTCATGGCATTTCATGGCATTTCATGGCATTTCATGGTATTTCATGGCATTTCATGGCATTTCATGGCATTTCATGGTATTTCATGCCATTTCATGCCATTTCATGCCATTTCATGCCATTTCATGCCATTTCATGCCATTTCATGCCATTTCATGCCGGGCCATTTCATGCCATTTCATGCCATTTCTTGACACTTTAAGCCACTAAATGTCACTGAATGGTATTTTAATGCACTTCTAGGCACTAGGATATATAACTAATTATTAATGGAACTGGATTATTATAACAGTCCTGTGTTGGGGGATAAAAAAAACTTTATGATTGTGTTTATACTTCTAGGGATATAAAAACTGGAAATGAACTGAAAACACTACAATATCTGAACTACAAGTATAGGCCAAATATGGAGTGCGAATGGGTGATTACTGCACAGTCTAAGGTTGGTTAAAAAAGATTTTTAAAAATTAAGAAAATTTTCATAAAAAAATATTATTTTACAGGATCAGAAAATTGGAATCAAATTTCTGTACTTTGATCTTCATCCTGGGTTTGACAAATTAGAGGTAACACATTTTTTTCATGATTTTCATGAAAATAAATATTTTTGTGTCGTCTTTAAATCAAATTCTGTGCCTGTGCATTTTTATAAAATCAGTACTTTTTGGGGACTAAAAATTTGGAACTTTTAGCGGCCATCTTGTATTGTCATATAGAAAAAAAAGTATCCATAGAGACAAAACAAACATTTTTATAAAGTTACCAATAGCACATATCTGCAATGATTTCATTTTATACAAACGAACTGATGGCTCGCTTCATGCTCTAAATTTTAATGCTGATCATAGCAACCTAGTGTCGTAAACCTTTGCTATTTTAAACTAGGAATTGGGCTAGCTCAAGTAGTCAAAGTATAAGATACTAGGCTTTTAGGGCGCTTCGCGCCCATCTTCTATTTCAATTGTAAACATGTTCTCATTGTGATATTGAAAAACAAAGAAAACAAAATTTCGCGGATTTTATAAAAAAGCTTTTCGGATTTTCAAGATTTTAAAATTTTTTACGAAAATAAAAAAAAAACTTTTAAACACAAATTTTTAAGATTTTTATCATTCATACACTTTCCCTGGGGTCACGCGAGATCCAACAAAAATTTAGGGCCTGATCGGTTCAGCTGTTTTGACGTTTATTGGATACAAACAAACAGTCAAACACCAAGACAAGCCAAATTTATATATAGATGAATGACTACCACTGTTAGTTTGTAAATTATGAAATTAGAGTTTAATCAGTTTCTTTATTATTAGATTGAGGATGAGGATGGAACAGAGATTGCGAGGTTTGGGGCTGGTAAACCTACCAGAACCATTATATCAGGAACACATCAGATTAGGTATACTAGCACCAGATTAGGTATACTTGGACCAGATTGCTGGTAAACCTACCAGAACCATTATATTAGGAACACATCAGATTAAGTTATTTTGGACCAGATTTAGCATACTTGGACCAGATTAAGTATACTTGGACCAGATTGCCGCAGTACACCTACCAGTACCATTATATCAGGAACACATCAGATTAGTTATGATAGGACCAGAGCTGGGAACTTTTGAATGGTGTATATTGGGATTAATGGTTGATCCACTCTTTTTCTTTATCTCCAGATTAAATAATGCTTGCTCTCCTCTTGTTATTAATCTCCAGATTAATCCACAGATCGGGATTAAGGAAGGATATCCCATTCTAAAGTTTTCAGCTCAGACTTGGTATACATGAACCGGATTGCTGCAGTACACCTACCAGAATATTATATCAGCACACACCAGAATAGGTATACTTGAACCAGATTAGGTATACTTATCCAGATTGCTGATAAGCCTATCAGAACCATTATATCAGGAACACACCGAATTAGGTATACTAGCACCAGATTGCTGGTACATCTACCTAACTACTTAATCAGGAACACATCAGATTAGATATACTAGCACCAGATTGCAAGTTTTGAAGCTGGTACACCTATCTGGTCTCTGGAGATCTAATTGCCGTTATCGTGATCATAACCAGTATTGATGTTGACTAACCGATTTACAATTATACCCTTTAAACATTTATCTAATCAATGCGGAAGATATCGTCGGTTTTTAATCTTGGAAAAGTGATAATTTTTGACGTTTGCTTTCCTCGTCTATGCTGCATAAATCTGCAAGTCACTTTTACGGAAAATTACACCTCAAATGAAAATAATTAACTTTCAAAGACCCCATGAGTCCACAGTTCCTTTAAAAAAGTGAATTCCCAAATCAATCTCCCTTTAAATGAGCTAAACCTTATCAAACAGTGTGTTTTAAAGTTTAGGATTAATAAGTTTAAGGTTTAGGATTAATAAGTTTAAGGTTTAGGATTAATAAGTTTAAAGTTTAGGATTAATAAGTTTAAAGTTTAGGATTAATAAGTTTAAAGTTTAGGATTAATAAGTTTAAAGTTTAGGAGTAATAAGTTTAAAGTTTAGAATTAATAAGTTTAAAGTTTAGGATTAATAAGTTTAAAGTTTAGGAGTAATAAGTTTAAAGTTTAGAATTAATAAGTTTAAAGTTTAGGATTAGGAAACCCTGAAATTTCTCTAAATAACAGATTATTAAAGGGACTGTTAACGTAATCTAAAGATTAACACGGTCCCCTGGAAATCTTAATCTGATCAAAAATGTGGCTCGAAGTGTGTGCAACTCTGATAATTTCTCCATTGTTTCTTATAAGCAAAGAATGAACAAGTCACTTTTTCATAAAGAGCACAAATGAACAAATACAGTTAAAGAAACAAAAAAAAATTGATATCTAATACATAATTGATCAGAAAAAGCTGTCAAGGATACCGTTGTAAATCTGGCATTGCAAATTTTGCATGTCAATGGAAGGTCACTTAAAATTACACTTACAGTCATATTAATAGGAAATTTGCGGAAAGAGAAATTCCATAATCCATTTTAAATATAATTCGATTAGAAATATTTCAAAAAAGTAAAATTTCCGATTGAAAACATGAAAATTCTGAATTTTATACACGTACACAAGTTCACAACAGTTCATTGTTCCTAATTTTGCAGGTTAAGGTTTCAGACTGATTATGAAGGAGAGAGGAGAGGGTTTTCTTTATCCTTCCAACCCGTCCAGGTTCCAGACTGTGGAGGAGATTATTTTACTCAGGAGATTTAAACTTGAAACAGAATTTGTTTCCATGGGAACCCAATTTTATTAATTTGAGCTACGTCACTGAATTTCCTCCTAACGGTTCAAATTTGAGCTACGTCACTAAACTGCCGGTTCAAATTTGAAGATTAAAGGGGCTGTAAGAGTAAGTTCAAGTGACCCTCCATGTTATGATGGTACAACGGTATCCTTGAAACCTTTATCTGATCAAAAATATAAAAAATACATTCATTTTTCTGACTCGTAAAGTGTTTATTTCTGTAAAGGAATTGAGTCTTTACAACAAACTCCTATTTTCTTTCTCAATATCTTTGCAACCCAATGCTGTAGACTTAACAAATTTCAAACTATAAATTATGATAGATCATATGATCTAAATTTGAAATATTAAAGGTGTACGCCACTGTATTTATACAGATATAGGGATTAGTAAATTTGAGTTTGGGGCAAAGACTCAATTCCTTTCTGATATCTAATGTATGCTTGATCAAACAAAGCTTTTAAGGGTACCGTTGTAAATCGGGCATTGACATCTTTGCATAGGAAGGGTCACTTAAACATTACGGTTAATGTTCCTTATAGAAAGAATTTGAATCGACGCGTTGATTTAAAGAACCGGAAGAAGCTAGGAGATACAAACATTAAACAGAATTCGTTTCCGCTTTCTTTAATCTTTATTTCAGGGTTTGAAATTCATATTTTATATTTTACTTGGAATGAAAAGACCAGAGCTGAAAACTTTAGAATGAGATATCCTTAATCACGATCGCTAATCTGAGTATCACACTTTTGATTTTATTCTTATAATCTTTTTGGATATTTCTACTGTATAAAAGTTACTTTGATAACAATTACAGATACAATGCTTTATCGATCGGACTAATATCTGATTTAATTAAAGTAGCTGTTCACAAGCCGGCTTTTAATTAATCAAACATTAATCCAAAACTTTCGTTCGTTCAATCGATGTTTATAGTTTAATTGATAGGACACCATCAACACCAGAAATCAAACCCGGTTTTTCAAAAGTTGAAGAGTACATCTTAACATGACACGCTGATTGGTTAAATTTTCAACTTCTTTCTTGGATATCGAATGCGTATTAACATAATCTAAGGTTAAGTTATAGTAAAACCAAGAGTTTAAGCATTAATCTTGATATCCACCATTCTAATTTTTTTTTAGCTCAGAACGACTTTTTACAACCAATTAGATTTACATCTTGTATTCCATTGAGTAATTTCGTTTTTTTTTTAACTAATCTTGTTATTTTTTTGTTCGATATTATATATTTAATCTGGCCCTATCTAAAAATTCTGATATCTTCATAGGTCTTCAGATGAATATTTATGTGATAACGTTTAAATCGTTTTAAAAACGAATAATTAATAAATTTTATTGTTGAATTTTATTGTTACTGCTTAATGCTTATTGACGCCTCCTTATTTCTTTGTATTTCAAAATCATGCCTATTTGATTTTGTTAGAAAAGAAAATTTCTTAATCTTTACTAAACAAGTTTGATTTAGTCGGGTACAATACATTCTCCAAATTTTCCGTTCTTCTATCCTCCTGCTACAACCTGTACCTGGAGTATAACAGTCCCAGGTTAGATATTTTCCGTTCTTCTATGCTTTAACCTGTACCTGGAGCATAACAATCCCAGGTTAGATATTTTCTGTTCTTCTATCCTCCTGCTGAACCTGTACCTGGAGCATAACAGTTCCAGGTTAGATATTTTCCGTTCTTCTATCCTCCCGCTACAACCTGTTCCAGGAGTTTAACAGTTCCAGGTTAGATATTTTCTGTTCTTCTATCCTCCTGCTGAACCTGTACCTGGAGCATAACAGTTCCAGGTTAGATATTTTCCGTTCTTCTATCCTCCCGCTACAACCTGTTCCAGGAGTTTAACAGTTCCAGGTTAGATATTTTCCGTCCTTCTATCCTCCTGATACAACCTGTACCTGGAGTTTAACAGTTCCAGGTTAGATATTTTCCGTTCTTTTATTCCTCCTCATACCTAATAAACCCCTGAACCAATTTGCCACAAATTTTGTTTAGGGAACTCGTTAGTTTGGTTTATAAATTCTAAGATTTTTTGATTTGCTTTTTTAGAGAAAATTTAGTTTCATGCAAATCTGCGTTCCCGAGTTGCTAGACTTATGGAGTAGTAATCTCTGTTTGTTTGTCAGATCATAACCCATGAGCCTCTAGACCGATTTGACACAAACTTGTATTTGGAAACTCGTTAGAACAACAAAATTGTCCTTAGATCGATTTGTAAACTCTGAGATGAGTGGATTAGCTTTTACAAAGATTTTTTTTCCAGGACCTGGGACGATTAAAGTTGATTTCTCCGTGTTAAACCTTCATCAAACAGATAATATAGAATTTAGGAAATTTATTATTTTCATTATGTATTTGATAAACATGAAGAATAAGATAATAATGAGTTGGACGGGTTGCATCTGCTCCATATATCAGATAAACTTGAAGAATAAGATAATAATGAGTAGGACGGGTTGGATCTGCTCCGTATATCAGATAAACTTGAAGAATAAGATAATAATGAATAGGACGGGTTGTATCTGCTCCATATATCAGATAAACTTGAAGAAAAAGATAATAATGAATAGGACGGGTTGTATCTGCTCCGTATATCAGATAAACTTGAAGAATAAGATAATAATGAGTAGGACGGGTTGCATCTGCTCCATATATCAGATAAACTTGAAGAAAAGGATAATAATGAGTAGGGCGGGTTGTATCTGCTCCGTATAACAGATAAACTTGATGTATAATATAATAATGAGTAGGGAGGGTTGCATCTGCTCCATATATCAGATAAACTTGAAGAATAAAATAATAATGAGTACTGAGTAGGGACGGGTTGGATGAATCTGCTCCATATATCTGTTCTGTCTCTGGTAACTTCTCCAACCCTATCTACAGTACTGGGAACAGTATACAGATAATATTCAAGACAAATGACTGGGGCCAGGTACTGATAATTTTCCAAAACTGTAAAAGCATGAATATCTGATTTTATTCCATAGCTCAGATTGGTCTTTTCTTTTTTATATTACTAAGGGTGAGAGCCGTACAATAAAGATAACTCAACTCCCACCTGATTACTAGCTGACAACCTTTTCAAAATTTAAAATGTTCATCTTCATGCAGATCTATTTTTATACCGCTTTATTTTTATTTTATAATTGTAGAAAAAATATAAGACATTTCTAGAAATAAATTTTATTCTGAAGTATTGGGAGCGGCAAAAAGAAACATGGAAAAATATCAAACATGTTCCCCCCCCACCCAAAAAAAAAATAAAAAACTCTGAGAATTATTTTATTCTAGAGTGAAGGATTTCGAGCCAGATTTCAAAGCCAGGATAGATTGTGTGGAGGGAGAGAGATCTTAAACCAGAACTCAATCAGTTTATCCCAACCTAACCTAGACCAGCAGGGACAGTACAGGTACACTGTACACTAGACTAGCAGGGACAGTACAGGTACACTGTACACTAGACTAGCAGGGACAGTACAGGTACACTGTACACTAGACTAGCAGGGACAGTATAGGTACACTGTACACTAGACTAGCAAGAACAGTACAGGTACTATATACATTATGCCAGCAGGGACAGTAAAGGCACACTGTACAGAAGACTAGAAGGTCCAGTACAGGTACAATGTACACTAGACTAGCACGGACAGTACAGGTACACTGTAAACTAGACTAGCAGGGACAGTACAGGTACACTGTACACTAGACCAGCAGGGACAGTACAGGTACACTGTACACTAGACTATGCCAGCAGGGACAGTAAAGGCACACTGTACAGAAGACTAGAAGGTCCAGTACAGGTACACTGTACACTAGACTAGCAGGGACAGTACAGGTACACAGTACACTAGACTAGCAGGGACAGTACAGGTACACTGTACACTAGACCAGCAGGGACAGTACAGGTACACTGTACACTAGACCAGCAGGGACAGTACAGGTACACTGTACACTGTACAATAGACCAGTAGTAAAGGTACTACACAGGTAGATAATGAAATACAGTAATGAAAGTTACAATTAACAATTTAATATCTAATATTTTAGACAAGGATATGTATCGTGTAGATGGGAGGTAGTGGCTAAACCAAGACACTTTATCAATCTACAGTTTGATGCTTTATCTTTTGGTAAATACAGGGGGAACAAGTTCTGAACTGTATATAGTCCAGAAGTGATACTTTTAGTCACTTCTGCGCCAATGGTTAGGTTTTGAACTTACTCCTCCTGAAACAACTATAGAAACAATAACAAGAAAAGATTGAGTGCAAAAGATGAATATAAATGACTAATTTAGAGCCATCAACAAACAGTGATTCAGATATTCCACGGTCTGATTTCAGTTTTAATACTTTTTATTTCAGTTTTGATTGTTAACAAGCTTTTTTTCGAATTACAAGTTTATAAGTAATTAAAGAGAAGCTTTTTAAATTGATAGTTTCTTTTGACTTCTATGTTTATGTGTACGTGTATCCATGATGTTTAACAGCTTGATTTAAATCAAAATTAAAATTGAAAGTCGTCTTCATTGTATTGATATAAAGGCCTGCCACTGTATATTGTACTTGCCTCATTTCTGGACCTTGGTTGACCGCACTATTTCGGCTGGGTTAGCTGGGTGAATAAAGGGTTACCCACAAAGAATCAGACGGTACAGAGTTGTGAACCATACCCCATAATCTACTCTGTTGTAAGGTCGTCTCTGACAAATTGAACCTCCGCTAGACTTTCCAAACCAAACATTTTCAAGGTCTCCGCGTAAAAGCAAACAGAAGCCTCATGTAGCTAATAAAACTTAAAGTTCATTAAAAGAAACAATTTAAACATAATTCCAGTGTATCATTTGCAAACAAACAGTGAAATTCCTTTAACCAAATGAATATTTATTTCAGAAGATTAAAATTGCTTTAGACTACAATTCAAACAACTATTCCCATGCTATGCAATTCTAGATCGTAAGTTCCTTATGTTTAATTCACAACAGTACCTTTTAAACCTTTTATTTACCGATTCACAACAGTACCTTTAAACCTTTATTTATCAATTCATAACAGTACCTTTTAAACCTTTATGTATCAATTCACAACGGTACCTCTTAAACCTTTTATTTGTCGATTCACAACAGTACCTTTAAGCCTTTGTTCAATTCTCAATGGTACATATTTCTTTAACCAATTGTTCGATTTACAACAATACTCATTTATTTATAGGTACACCCAACTGGTTTAATCTTTATTAACAATCATTATTTATATACATGTACGTCAATAACAATTTGTATTTTTTTGTAGGAATCCTCGTTACTGAAATATATTTTCAACAAGAAGTTATGGTCTATGCGTGTATGGGAGATTAGAGTGTTTTATCCAGCCTATCCGCCTTTGGATTTGCCATACCTTGAGTTGCATTTCCTTAGCTCCATTTCCGCCGCCCATTTCGAGTCTATATCCTTTTGATTGGTTTACCAGAGTACGGTACAGAAGGCACAGACGGTACAGACGGTACAGACGGTACAGACGGTACAGAAGGTACAGATGGTACAGAAGGTAAAGAGGGTACAGATGGTACAGAGGGTACAGACTGTACTGACGGTACAGACGACCTAAACTCTAGAAGTATGACGATCCCAAGGTTGAATTAAGACTTCTGCCTTGAATAAAGTCTGCTGATTGATTATTTGATGATTTGGCAAAGAAAGAAACAAGATTACAGTTGCAGGGAATTGTGAATATAAGGAAACAGACAAAATAAAGTCCGTACAGCCGTCTCTGAAGTCTTATCCTTTGTGGGTAACCCTGTAGAGTATAGGAGACCTAGTTTAGCTGGGTTAGCTTGGTAAATAGATTCTAGGCGTGCTGGGTCTGTATCTGGATTGTTTATAGGTTCAGCTTCAACCCAATGTACAACTGGGTACCTGGAGCTAAACGATGCTGCCACGGATTCAGATCACATGCAGAGATTCTGTCAGGTATCCATTAGGTCAAGTTTAGACAGGACAAAATGTCGTCTTTACGTAAAATGTAATTAAGATTACCAATGAATATGTGTGAAGGGTATGGGTGGAAAGGAGTGGAGAAGTTTATCCAACAAGATTTACCTGGATTACTTTAACAACATGGAGAACAACAAGTCCAAGTTATCCATCAGGTAAAATATTTATTCATTTACAATTCACGAAATTTACCGATTTATTTTTCAAATTTGATTTTGTTTCTTTTTTTTGTTGTATGCAAAGCACTATTTGAAAGCGTTGCCTGTCTGATAAGCTCCTGGGTTGAGCTAGTATTGACATGATAGCGCTGGGGTTTGCCTATCTGATAAGCTCCTGGATTGAGCATGTATCGACATGGCAGCGCTAGGGTTTACCTGTCTGATAAGCTCCTGGGTTGAGCTAGTATCAACATGGTAGCGCTGGGGTTTACCTGTCTGATAAGCTCCTGGGTTGAGCTAGTATCGACATAGCAGCGCTGGGGTTTACCTGTCTGATAAGCTCCTGGTTGAGCTAGCATCGACATGGCAGCACTGGGGTTTACCTGTCTGATAAGCTCCTGGGTTGAGCTAGGATCGACATGGCAGAGCTAGGGTTTACCTGTCTGATAAGCTCCTTGGTTGAGCTGGTCGACATAGCAGAACTGGGGTTTAATTGTCTGATAAGCTCCTGGGTTGAGCTAGTATAGACATGGTAGCGCTGGGGTTTACCTGTCTGATAACCTCCTGACATCAGCTAGGATCGACATGGTAGCGCTGGGGTTTACCTGTCTGATAAGCTCCTGGGTTGAGCTAGTATCGACATGGCAGCGCTGGGGTTTACCTGTCTGATAAGCTCCTTGGTTGAGCTAGTATCAACATGGTAGTGCTGGGGTTTACCTGTCTGATAAGCTCCTGGGTTCAGCTTGTATCGACATGGCAGTGCTGGGGTTTACCTGTCTGATGAGCTCCTGGGTTGAGCTAGGATCGACATGACAGAGCTGGGGTTTACCTGTCTGATAAGCTCCTTGGTTGAGCTAGTGTCGACATGGCACCGCTGGGGTTTACCTGTCTGATAAGCTCCTGGGTTGAGCTAGTATCGACATGGTAGCGCTGGGGTTTACCTGTCTGATAAGCTCCTGGGTTGAGCTAGTATCAACATGGTAGCGCTGGGGTTTACCTGTCTGATAAGCTCCTGGGTTGAGCTAGTATCAACATGGTAGCGCTGGGGTTTACCTGTCTGATAAGCTCCTGGGTTGAAGAAAAAAGACTGAACAATTACCGTACAGTCGTCTGTGAAGTCTCATCCTTTGCGTGTAATTTTGTACCATAGTTATTCTCATAGAGAAAGGAAACGAAGAGGTAAAGCTGACCTCAGATGTACACAACCGACCGCCCTATTAATTGATTAGTAGGGTGGTCGGTTGTGTACATCTGAGGTCAGCTTTAACTCTTCATTTCCTTTCTCTATGTTTATTCTAGGTTGGATCAGATAAGAGGTTGCGTTATTCCTGGTCTCCCCTCTCTGGGTACCAAGATAACCTGCCAGTATTCAGCAGTAAACAGGAACAAGTTGACCTGCATACTGGACTGCAAACTAGGGTTCAGGTCATATTTTAAAGGGACTATAGACCTAACTTTAAGTGACTCTCCATTTATATAATAGCATTTGCAATTCACAGTGGACCCTTTAAACCTTAACCTGAGCAAAAATGAGAGATATAGGTGTTCTATCCAGAAATATATTGAATGAGAGATGTAGGTGTTCAAATCCAGAAATATATTAATGATAGATGTAGGTGAACTATCCAGAAATATATTGAATGAGAGAAATAGGTGTTCTATACAGAAATATATTGAATGTTTACAAAATCCTTCTTTTTCCTCCGACTGAAAAAATACGCATGTCAAACTTTCAGAGAACAATTGAGAATAATCAATTTTAAGAAAGGAAAAAGAGGATATCGCTGTGAATCGGTCTTGCTCTTCTCCACATGAAGAGTTAATTGAAGTTACGTCTGCAATTTAGAATTTATCAGTATCTAATAGAGCTCAAATTTAGAATTTATCAGTATCTAACAGAGCTCAAATCTAGAATTTATCAGTATCTAACAGAGCTCAAATCTAGAATTTATCAGTATCTAACAGAGCTCAAATCTAGAATTTATCAGTATCTAATAGAGCTCAAATTAAGAATTTATCAGTATCTAATAGAGCTCAAATTTAGAATTAATCAGTATCTAACAGAGCTCAAATCTAGAATTTATCAGTATCTAACAGAGCTCAAATTTAGAATTTATCAGTATCTGACAGAGCTCAAATTATTTTTTAGCAAAATTCTGATCATTTTAAAAAGAAATTAGACGCCTTCAAAACAGAATTCACAAAAGTTTTTGTTGACAGTTAAGACAAAAAAGTCAGCTTTAAAGATAATTAACATCTGTCCTCTATATTTTTTGGGCCAGCCTTTATATTTATGTTAGCTATAGCTGGCTAAACGGCTGAACCAAATTGGCCGAATTTTTTTTATGGAACCCATGGGCAACCTGGGGGGGAGGGGAAGTAAGCTAACATGTTTTGGAAACTTTTGAAAATCCAACGACTCACTGGGCACTTCAGATAAAATCATGATTTAATACCAAGCGCGGGTAAACGGCGGGAGTATCTTTTACTTTGAATAATAATATAGACCTGGGTAACGCCGGGCACTTCAGCTAATATTTTATATTCTTGTTTGTTGATATAAGTTTGTTGATTTTGTTTTTCTAGAGGTATGAGTTCCGACTGTTATCTTTACCATGGAACATGGAACATGAATCTTCATTGCTCCAAGATAAATAGGAACCCTTCACAGTTCCAGAGGGGGAGGAAGAACCCTTCACAGTTCCAGGAGAGTATGAGGAACCCTTCACAGTTCCAGGAGGTTAGGAGGAACCCTTCAACGTTCCGGGAGGCTAGGATGGAAGGATTATCTAGAAGTCAGAACAGTACGCGGAACGCAAATAGAACCCAGGGAACACAGTACAAGAGCGAGTACAGTAATCGTTCCCGAGTGAAAAAGTACTTGAAAGGTAAAGATAAAGATCTAAAACTAGTTTAGGGAGATTTCACCAATATTTTTTGTTGTTGTTATATAAGTAAAATAGTTTTATCACTAATCATTAAATTTTCAATGAAATAGGTGTGTGTAGGATACACAGCATATATCAATATTACGATATTACAATATTTATTTCAAAAATATATGTTCAAAAAATTCATTTTATCATATACGTCTAATATTAGTTTTCTTTTACTAATGATATTATTTCAGAGTTTGTTGTTGGGAGAGAAATCAGAAAGGTCAAGGAATATCGGGGGAAAAGGAAAAGGAATATTATGAATAAATTACGAAGAATGCGGAAGGAAATATCAAATGTAGAGTCAAAGCATAAAAGAGATCTGAAAGCTAAAACCAAACGAATGAGAATTCGGAAAAGGTTACTACAGAAGGTGGCAAGCTGCCGGCATGAAGAGTTAACAGGTAGAAATCGATAATCTTTATTAATTACCATATTTTATTTATTTTTATAAAATAGACTTGATCATTTTATTTCTTAATTTTTTAATTCTCTGTTCACACGTGTGCGATTTTTCTTAACTTAACCTGTTCATTGTTCAGTGTTCAGTGTTCAGTGTTCAGTGTTCAGTATTCAGTATTCAGTGTTCAGTGTTCAGTGTTCATTTTCTCTTTACTTAATCATTAATTACCGTTGTAAATCGGTCACTGCAATCTTCGTAGGGAGTGTCATTTGGAACTACGCGCACAGTCCCTTTAAACTTAGAACTGCATCATATCGATACATTTTTTACATTTCCACTGCAAACTAGACAGAAAAGATACGTTCAAATTTATTTTATTTTATTTCTAGTACGACGTTGTGACCTCATAGCTTCTCTAGTTTTGTTTTAAAGCACAAGTATGCGAAAACTAAACTAGAAATTATAAATGCAAAATATTTTTGTTCTTTTAATCTTACGTGGAATTTACTTTAGCTTGCCGTGTTTCAGGATGTATTATGCCTCCCCCTGTAGAAAATACAGGGGTTGAGTGTACTGTGAGTAAAGGGGGAACAGAGTGCAGGGTTTCATGTTCAGGGGGTTTAGTTTCACCCTCAGATTATACTGTTTGTCAGAGGTAACTTTTATTCGGTTCCACCGTTCCAGCCTAAAAACTGCTGAACTTTTAAACCTAGACTTTTAAATCTAGGAACTTTAAATATTTGACGGTGTGATTTCAAATCTGCTAGTTTGTTTTTAAATATTTTTAGAGATCGAAGTGGTTGGGAAGGAAGGTGGAGTCGTATTATTCGTCCTTGTCAACCGGACTGTAGCCAGGTATAGGTTTAGGACAGGACTGCAGCCAGGTAAAGGTTTAGAATAGAAATATAGCCAGTTAAAGGTTTAGAATAGGAATGTAGCCAGGCAAAGGTTTAGGACAGGACTGTAGCCAGGTATAGGTTTAGAATAGGACGAAGCCAGGGATAGGTTTAGGACAGGACTGTAGCCAGTTATAGGTTTAAAATAGGACTGTAGGCAGGCATAGGTTTAGGACGGGACTGTACCCAGGTATAGGTTTAGAATAGGACTTTAGCCAGTTATAGGCTTAAAATAGGACTGCAGCCAGGTGTAGTTTTACGACATGATTGTAGCCAGTTATGGGTTTATGACAGGACTGTATACAGGTATAGGTTTAGGACAGAACTGTAGCCAGGTATAGGTTTAGGACAGAACTGTAGCTAGGTATGTTTAAAGATCAAACTGATTAAAGAGTACATAAGTACACAAGGGCTATCCAGAATGGAGGAGACTGTAAAGACGACCTTACACTATTAAAAATCGGTTTGATTTAGTCTTTGCCCTTAAATAAACTCTTTTAATGGGTTATTTAATGATCTTACAAAGAATAAATCAAGTTTGCAGAAGCATCTTGAATTAAAGAAAAGAGACAGTATGAATTCCGTACAGTCGTCTCTGAAGTCTCTTCCTGTGTGGGTAACCCTGTATATTTATATTCATATATTCTAGACTGTACCAAGGATACCTGATGGGAAGGTGTCCTGTACTGCATCAGGAGAAACTAAACTTAAATGTACAGTGTACTGCAGGTATCAGTATATCATCCAACCTGTACAGAAATATTTAACATTTTTTATACACTAGTAACCATATAGCTCTGGGGTAGAAAAATTACTTTTGGCTCAAATTATAACTTTAAATATTCCAAGGAACATGAAACACATGAATTGTGAAGCGTAAACAGACCAATTTCACTTAATTAGTGAATAAATAATTTACTAATGAAACTATTTAGTTTGTAACAACATCAAATACTCTTAACTATTGTCTTAATATCGTCTTCGTATTCCACATTTAACGGTACATCTCTAGTTGTTGTTTTTAATTCTAAACTTGAAAAGCAAATAAATTGATTTGAATTTCTTTATTCTACTTGGTTAAAGGTATTAAGTCACTGCCAAAAATTCTGATTTTCTAATCCCTTTATCTATATGCAAACTATGAATTCTGTTAGATCAAACGATCAAAGTTTGAAATATCAAAAGTCTACACCGTCAGGTTGCAAAGATATAGGGATTCGAAAATCAGAGTTAGTGGCAAAATTCAATTTCTTTAAATAATACACTTCAAAAGAAAAGAAAAAAAAACATTTTGTTTGTTTTTAGATCTGGATTTGTCGGTAGTTTATACTCACAGCCAATGGAAAATCCAGTCACAACATTCTCATGCTTTAGAGGAGATTGGATAGGAGTACCTAGCTGTATACTCCTACCTAGCTAGATGTATGGGAGTACCTAGCTGTATACTCCTCCCTAGCTAGGTTTATAGGAGTACCTAGCTGTATACTCCTACCTAGCTAGGTGTATAGAAGTACCTAGCTGTATACTCCTACCTAGCTAGGTGTATAGGAGTACCTAGATGTATACTCCTACCCAGCTAGGTGTATAGGAGTACCTAGCTGTATACTCCTACCAAGCTAGGTGTATAGCAGTACCTAGCTGTATACTCCTACCCAGCTAGGTGTATAGGAGTACCTAGCTGTATACTCCTACCTAGCTAGGTGTATAGGACTCAGGGTCTGACCCAATTGGCAATTTTTTTAGGAAACCCAAGTTTACCCGAGGGCAAAATAGGATAAAATAAAAAATTCGAAATAATTTTTCAATTTATATATTTTTTTTCATCTTCAAAATTCGTTTTTTAATTCCACGGCCTACGCCGGGCAATTCAGCAAGTTATATGCTAAGATGTTCCCGATTTGATGAGATATTTTTATATATTCAAACAATAGTATATCTAGTATCTACGTAACCAAATACATACAAATATAATGGTTATTTTTTTTGCCTAGCTGGATACCTAACACGAAAATGCATTATATATACCATGATTTGTATATATTTTAAAATAAAAAAGTTAATGAAAATGTTTGTGTTGCTTTTGTAAGAAAAAGGTATAAAATAAAATACACGTGTAGATGAAAAATAATAATAGCAAATTTTCTTTTTTTGCGTGTGAAAGCAAATTGATAAAAAATATTAAGATTTCGATATTTAATTTAAAATAGCAGTTTAAGTTTGCAAGTGACTATCTAATAATTTGTTACAATGTACAATGTTTTTTTTACATTTTAATGTGAATCAACGTTTTTTTTCTTACATGATGAGAGAAACAAATTTATTTGGTAACATGCAAGATTTTTAAATCAGTTTTTTTCTCAATAGCTCATTAATTGTAAGAAGTTATAGTTAAAAGCGTGTAGGATTTTCAATCTTACGTGAAATTTTGTTTCGTTTATGTGGCTCTAGGAAGTTTTGTTTAGTTTCACGTGGCTATAGGAAGTTTTTTAGTTTGACGTGGCTCTAGGAAGTTTTGTTTAGTTTGACGTGGTTATAGGAAGTTGTTATATTTCTGGCTGGATAGGCCCCAGGGTACACGTCAAACTAACCTAAAATCTGATATATTGCTGGCTGGGTAGGCCCCAGGGTACACGTCAAACTAACCTAAAATCTGGTATATTTCTGGCTGGGTAGGCCCCAGGGTACAAGTCAACCTAACTTAAAATCTGATATATTTCCGGCTGGGTAGCCCCCAGGGTACACGTCAAACTAACCTAAAATCTGATATATTTCTGGCTGGGTAGGCCCCAGGGTACACGTCAAACTAACCTAAAATCTGATATATTTCTGGCTGGGTAGGCCCCAGGGTACACGTCAAACTAACCTAAAATCTGATATATTTCTGGCTGGGCTGGCCCTAGTGTGCACTTCGAACTAACCTATAAATCTGATATATTGCTGGCTGGGCAGGCCCCAGGGTACACGTCAAACTAACCTAAAATCTGATATATTTCTGGCTGCAGGCCTCAGCGTGCACGTCAAACTAACCCCTAAAATCTGATATATTTCTGGCTGCAGGCCCCAGCGTGCACGTCAAACTAACCCCTAAAATCTGATTATGTTTTCAATCATAATAATAAAAATAATGATATCTGCATAAATAAAAAACTAGGAGCTAGAAGGTCACAAGTCTACCTTCTCCTTCTGTCATAGTACACAGTGGGCGGGCTTGAGAAAAAATAAAATTAATAAACAGTAAATCTAGTCCACATTTGATCAATGCAGTTCTTTCCTGTGTTTTCCTTTTCCTTTCCCCTTCTCCTTGCTTATATCTTTATTGATTTAACTTATTCACCATACCCCCCCCCCCTCCCGGATACCGGCATCGCGTGAAGTATACTTCGTAATTCTATGAGTAATTATTGTACCTGACTAAGTTATTGGTAGAAAGCAGGGAAGTAAGAAGTATAGACAACAAAATTTAAATCAATAAGAGATACACTAAAAAATACACATGATTATGATTTATATGAAATCGTGAAAAATATTTTGAGAATTTGAAGCCAAGGTTTACGTTCATTGCATAACATTTCTTTTTATCTCTTCGCTGTTTTCCAATGTTTTTTATATACTCCAAGTGCAGAAAGCCTTTTAAACCATTTGGTATAATTCTTTTTATCTTACAGAGCTTGGTTCATGTGCAGTTGTTCTTTTTATCTACAATTGTTTATGACATCTATCGATTATTGTTATAATAATAATTTATCACTAAATTAGTTTAAAGCCCCAAAGTTGCGGCCAGGGTACTCATAGTCACTCCCGCCGTGCGTTGACCTGCGTTTGGGCGTAATTTCCGATTTTAACTATTTAGTGGACCCACTCAACTTAGAATATTAAAACCAAGCAAAGCACATTTTCATGGTTCTTCCGAAATCACCAATTAAAATTTGAGGCAAATCGGTCGAGGGGTTCATCAGTTATAATCGGACATTCTTACAAACAAACAAAGCTTCCGATGGTAAGAAAAGTTTGTATCATTTTAATTTTTATTATTATTTATACAATAAAACAAGACATTCGATCGTATTCGTATAATGTTGCATATATCCGGCCAAACGGGTGGACTGATTGAGCTGAAATTTGTTGTGGACACTCATGGGTAGCCGGGGTGTTATAGGCTAAAAAAATCAAAAAAAAATTTTATTTGATTTCATTTTTTTGGATTTTTTTCAAAGAAAATTTTTTCACGCGCAATGCCGGGCCCTTCAGATAGTTATTATTATTATCATTATTGTTATTTTTATTATTTTACAATACAATACAATACAATACAATACAATACAATACAATACAATACAATACAATACAATACAATACAATACAATATAATACAATACAATACAAAATTGTTAAGATGAATCTGAGCTGTATGCTGACAAACTCCAACGTATTCTTCCAAGCTTAGCATACTGCAGGTAAAATTGTGTTATTATTATTATTATTATTATTATTATCGTTATTATTATTATTACTATTATTATAAAAGTATAATTTTTAGTTTTAGCTAAATCACGCAGCTACGTAAAATAGTGAAAATTTTACAAAGAAAACTAAATTATGAAAAGTTATAGTTTATTAAAATGAAAATGATATTCAAAATTACAATAATAAAAAGTATAACGATGTAAATAATATAATAAGAATAATTGAAATTGCAAATAATATAAACATTAACAATAATAAATCTTTATTCAGATTAGAATCTGAATTTGACCCAGCAGAATTAAACAAATTGCCTGGAGTGAACAAAATTTTCAGGATTCAAATTTGGAAATTTTTGAAAGATTTCAAAAAGTTCGTTCATCGTGCGTGAACGAACAATTTCGTTCGTTCTTAAATTATCGTTTAATTTCCATGTATTTTGTTCGTTTTCTCAGGTAACGATTTTTCAATAAAATCGTTGGTTTAATAAAATAGTTCTTTTATTAAAAAGAACTCTAATTTTTTTTCAAAAGTTTGTAAAAAAATCGTTCATTAAAAATCGATGGTATTATAAAAATTTCAAAGTTTGATTTATTTAGAGTGTTTCAGATGATAATACAATATTTACTTCGTTGCCAGGTAATGAATATTCTTTTTTAACAACATCTTTATTTATTTAATTGAGAATTGAGATGTAAGTATATCATTGTCTAAAGTTATATATATGCATATATGGCACCAGTTGGTGCGATGAGAGCCGGGGCACAATCAAACCAGCAGTCTGCAAAATAGTGATAACAAAACTCCGGTTTCTTTTATTACTCTGTAATAACATCCTTTTTATTCATTTAATTAAGTTTTCACTGTATGTAACACTGTTTTAAGTCAAACTTCTTTTAAACAGAACAATGGAGTTTGTCTTAAAAATTGATGCAACTTTTTATAGCATTCTGGATCTAATATCATATAAATAGTTGTATTTAAATTTCTGTAGGATGAATTGAGTAAGATTGAGGTTGAGTACAAGGAGAAGGATCTAATCTCCACCAGGGACCTGGAGCTGGCCAGGGGGGAGAGGGATAGGTTCAAGACGGAGAATAAGTTACTGAGAAGAGAAATCAAGTAAGCTTGAATCAGCCATTATCTTTGGAATATTTTCTTGCTTATATTTGCTGTTTAAAAAAGGGCTCTGGGAACAGATTAACTTGGTTAGATAGAAAATAAAAGAAATCCCAATTTTTTTTTGAAAAAATGATAAATTTACCAATTTTTAAAAAAAGTAATAGTTCTCTTTAAGGTATTTTAATAAAGCTGCAATCACCTTTTGCCATTGGATGATTTAATTTTTCAATTACAAAAATAAGACTGTTTGCTCAAATTTTTTCTAATCACTGTCATCTTTGCAACCCAATGTTGGGTATTGTTGACATTTTAAACTATTATTTCTGTAAAATCAAATAATCTTTGTTGAAAATATCAAAGGTTTACACCAGTGCAGTAACTTTGTTAATTTTAAAAGAATTTACAAATTTTTTTAAAAAATTTAGTTATTTAAAAATAAAATATTATTTTTTTCTAAAGAAATAGCAGAAGAGTTTTTGCCGAACAGCAGGGACCTTTCCTGAAAGGGACTCCTCCTGGCCTTTTACAAAAGGTATATTAAAAGTAAAAATTCAAAAATACTTTTCCAAAATTTTAATTTCAATATTTCAAAATATTTTCTCTAACATTTTTCATTCTATAAGAGCTGTTGATGTAATTTTAAGCAAAAGTGACTTAATGACGTTTTTGCTCAGATAAATATTTCAAGTGTACTGTTGTGAATCTGGTATGCCACTTTTCAAGTAAAGTGTCATTTGAAACCACGTCTGCAGTTCCTTGAATGATTTGTTTCTATTATCCTTTAACAGTTCCTTTTATGATTTGTTTCTATTTTCCTTTAACAGTTCCTTGAATGATTTGTTTCTATTATCCTTTAACAGTTCCTTGAATGATTTGTTTCTATTATCCTTTAACAGTTCCTTGAAAGATTTGTTTCTATTATCCTTTAACAGTTCCTTTTATGATTTGTTTCTATTATCATTTAACAGTTCCTTTTATGATTTGTTTCTATTATCATTTAACAGTTCCTAGATTTGTTTCTACTATCATTTAATATTTCCTTGAATGATTTGTTTCTATTATCATTTAACAGTTCCTTGAATGATTTGTTTCTATTATCCTTTAACAGTTCCTTTTATGATTTGTTTCTATTATCCTTTTACAGTTCCTTTAATGATTTGTTTCTATTATCCTTTAACAGTTCCTTTTACGATTTGTTTCTATTATCCTTTAACATTCCCTTGAATAATTTGTTTCTATTATCCTTTAACATTCCCTTGAATAATTTGTTTCTATTATCCTTTAACATTCCCCTGAATATTTCTAAATGGAATTGCTGATATTTCCATAATTGCTTCTTTTCCATATCCTATTTCAGTATTTAACATTTATGCTTTTCTAAAATTGCCCTTTGAGAATTTCAAATGGTTTCTCCTATTCATTCAATATTTCCTCTTGATACTGAAAGAATTGATTTTTCCACATTTCTTTTTATACATTTAGGGTTTAATGGTTTTCAGGAGACTCGACAAAATCTAAGAAGTTTAACATATTTCAAAATTGTTTACTCTGAAAATTTGATAATATTACTTTATTTAAAAAGAGTAAACTTTTAGCATGTAGAAATAGTAATCTTTGCTTGTCTGTTTGTCTGTATTTTGTATAAATCCCTGGACCGATATGCCTCAAATTTTAAATTAAAAACTTGGTAGAACCACGGAAATGTTCTTAGCATACAGTTTAAAAACTCTAAATTGAGTGGGTTGACTTTATAGGGAAAACTCCAGACAAAGCTGGATTTCAGATTTCTAATCACTATATTTTTGTAACCCATTTTCGTAGACCTTAGATATTTCAAACTATGAATTCTGCTAGATCAAAAAATCTAAGTTTGAAATATCAAAGTTCCACCAGGTAACAAAGATCAAGGGACTAGAAAATTTGAGTTTGTGTCAAAGGCCCAATTTCTTTTGTATAAGGCTTTGCAGATTTTTGCGAAGCCGTTATAGCCGATAGCAAATAATTGTTTATTGTTTAGTGTCTGTTCTGTTCTAATATTTGTTTATTGTTTAGTGTCTGTTCTGTTCTAATAAATGTTTATTGTTTAGTGTCTGCTCTGTTCTAATAATTGTTTATTGTTTAGTGTCTGTTCTGTTCTAATAATTGTTTATTGTGTAGTGTCTGTTCTGTTCTAATAATGGTTTATTGTTTAGTGTCTGTTCTGTTCTAATAATTGTTTATTGTTTTGTGCTTGTTCTGTTCTAAAAATTGTTTATTCTTTAGTGTCTGTTCTGTTCTAATAATTGTTTATCGTTTAGTGTCTGTTCTGTTCTTATATATATTCTATTTATTCGTACACAATTATAATGGTACAATTTAAAATCAACGAGAAATGAGATATATAACATATAAAATATAGAATTAATATATAGTCGAAAACAATAAAATGAAAAATAAAAAATAAAAAATTAGTTAGTTTTTTACATATATCATCAATAATTACATCTATTTCATCATAGTAAAATCCTTCTAAAACATTTGGATTTGACCGTATTAATAGTAAATCTTTTAACAGTGGAATTCTCCACGCATTTTCAGTTGGATTTGCGTAAATCATGTTTGACTTAACTAGAGACTTGTTCAAGGACAGTTTATCTACATAGGTTTCATTTGCAATATTAGATAAATTCTTACATAATTTTGTTCTTTGGTCATTTTTGCATAAATCAAACAATGGTCGGATGCTGAGCTTGCGACTTTTACACATAGATTCGCAAAATGATACAAATCGGCTACACAACATAGTTTTTAAATGAATTTGATCAGAAATTTGTTCAATAAAATATCTATGAGTTTGTCGTGGCAAACCAAATAAAATACGAATAGCAGTATTCCAAGAAGTATACAATTTTACAGTGTTAACACAAAACAAATACCATAAGTTGGAACCATATAGACTAGATGCATATATGTTATAAAGCTTAACAACCATTGTTGGTTCAGAAAAATGAAATTCTTGATTCAAAGAGTAAATTATTGATAAAAACTTCGCACGTTTCAAATTACAATCTCTGGTCATAGAATTATATGATTGAAATAGATTTCCAAGATGTTTAAATTCATCTACATATGGTAATGGGACACCATTTAGAATAATCGGACATACATTATTACTATCAATATTAGATTTATTGAAAATAACACATTTAGTCTTGGATTTGTTTATGTCCAAGTTTGTACTAAACTTCAATTTACGATTTAGTGCAAATTTCTCACATATATTTGTCATTTCCTGTAACCCATTCCTACTTGGGGACAGAAGAATTATTGTTTATTGTTTAGTGCCTGTTCTGTTCTAATAATTGTTTATTGTTTAGTGTCTGTTCTATTCTAATAATTGTTTATTGTTTAGTGTCTGCTCTGTTCTAATAATTGTTCATTGTTTAGTGTCTATTCTGTTCTAAAAATTGTTTATTGTTTAGTGTCTGTTCTGTTCTAATAATTGTTTATTGTTTAGTGTCTGTTCTGTTCTAAAAATTGTTTATTGTTTAGTGCCTGTTCTGTTCTAATAATTGTTTATTGTTTAGTGTCTGTTCTGTTCTAATAATTGTTTATTGTTTAGTGTCTGTTCTGTTCTAATAATTGTTTATTGTTTAGTGTCTGTTCTGTTCTAATAATTGTTTATTGTTTAGTGTCTGTTCTGTTCTAGTAATTGTTTATTGTGTAGTGTCTGTTCTGTTCTAATAATTGTTTATTGTTTAGTGTCTGTTCTGTTTTAATAGTTGTTTATTGTTTAGTGTCTGTTCTGTTCTAAAAGCTTCTTGAATCCTAGTTTTCTTGTTTCTCACCTCAACAGAAGGCACAGGTATAACATTTCCTGAAATTACAAAATCAGAGCATTTCGCTCCAATTTTTCTAGTATTTTGTTCATTTAAGCCTGATCTTTTCTATTTATTTAGACAATCAACACTTTATATCATTTGTAATATTTCATTATTTTCTTCTGTTTCGAGGTTAGGTTTCAACCAATAGCTTGATCCATTAGGTTAAAATATGTTTATACTTTTAAAGATAAGCTCGATTAAAAAATAATTAATTTGATGTTTTTGAATATTTTTTTTCCAGTTCTCAGATGATGGGAGAGCATATTACTGAAATTCAATGGAGAGATTTTTTAACCTTTGCATCTAAAAAAGGTAGTTTTGTCAAACATAAATTAACCTTTACCTGGCCTTTAACAGTTTGAAATATTCAAGGTTATAATGGAAGGAAAGTTATTTCAGAGGTGTGCGCATCTTTTGTACTGAAGTGTACTGTCTCTGGACTGTAACGTAAACGCAAGACGGATGTAACAGCCTGACAAGGGATCCATCTTTCACATAAAAATCAATGAAACATTCTGGTCATGAAACTTTTATGTGAATTATCAAAATTTTCAAATTCAATGCTTTTAACCTCCACGGCTACTAAACGAACACTGATGCATCTATTCTTGTTTACAAATTCCGCCCAGAGAGAACTGGTTTCAATATGTACGCAGAGTATACGCAACTGCAATTAACTTTCCTTGCATTGTAACCTTGGAAATAAGTATTAAAATTAAATCAATTTAAACCTAATCACAATTCTGAAAAGAATGTTGACGCAATTTCAAAAATTATAAAGTGACATGTCCAATTTACAACGTTACTCTAATAACCTCTGTCTGATTATCAATTACGGAGATATCCTTATTTTTTCTAGCTAAAATAGAGTACCAAGACACCCGATTTCAGACTGGCATACATATGTTTGAAATGTCTGTACACTTAAGTTTACCGACACTCAACTTTCTCCCAGTCATCCTTAACCTTTTGTAATGTTAGCTAAGAAAAGTTTTTCAGTCTTCTTTTCTATACGTAGAAGCCTCCCGGAGCATCACGAATTTACAAAATGATATCTACAATCAGATTGGGCAAACATTTCAACACACCAGGTTAATAAATCAATCCATAAATCAACCAATCAATCAGTCAATCAAAATAGTCCTAAAATTATAATTATTAAAGTAAAAAGAAAATATGACAAATCAACCTAGATCATGATCAGTTTAAACCAGAAACCAGAAAAAATTTATAAAAAGTCGTCTTGACAATTTTTCAATGGGTTTTGTACTTCTATGCCTAAATCTCAGTTGTAAAAATAAATCAATATACGCGAACAGTTTTAAAGAGCTCCATATAAATATTCAATTGATAAAAAATCTGTAGTATTTCATTATCAGTAGGTTTAGAATACAACATTTTATCAAATCTTTTAATATGTCTCCAAAGTTCTGGGTTAAACTGTATATTTATGAAAATAGTAATAACAATTTTTTATATTTTTATGTAAATAACAATTAAGGTTTACAATCTTTTCCAGATTCATTATAGCACGGAAATTTCTTATGGCACTTTTTCTGACGCGGAAAAGTATGCAAAACTATCAAAATCCTTGAGAAATAAAGGGATAAACTTAGCTTTTTAAACAAAATATACTCCTGTAGAAGCTATACAGAAATACGTAGGGACATGCTGAAAAAATGTGCGTTTCAATTACAATGGAAAATCGTTCCGTGTGAGATTTGTTCACCAATCAGCATTCAGCATGACGTGTCAAGTTCTTTCGAATATTTGAATCAAAGCAAACAATTTAAAATTTGATAGATTTCAGTCTAAGTATCAAGTAAACCTTTTAATGAAATTATAAGACTTCTAATATTTAACAGTGTGCTCGCAGAATTAAATAACAGGAATTAAAGTTTGATTTATTGACATATAATATTTGCGAGTTAAAAATTTGACAAAATTCGAACAAGTATACAGTTCTGTGTATAGTTTTTACGGAGTAAATTTACAGTTCTGTGTATAGTTTCTACGGAGTAAATTTACAGTTCTGTGTATAGTTTCTACGGAGAAAATTTACAGTTCTTTGTATAGTTTCTACGTAGTAAATTTACAGTTCTGTGTATAGTTGCTACATAGTAAATTTACAGTTCTGTGTATAGTTTTTACGCAGTAAATTTACTGTTTTGTGTATAGTTGCTACGGAGTAAATTTACAGTTCTTTGTATAGTTTCTACGTAGTAAATTTTCAGTTCTGTGTATAGTTTCTACATCGTAAATTTACAGTTCTGTGTATAATTGCTACGGAGTAAATTTACAGTTCTGTGTATAGTTTCTACGTAGTAAATTTACAGTTCTTTGTATAGTTTCTACATAGTAAATTTACAGTTCTGTGTATAGTTTCTACGGAGTAGATTTATTCATAATTTGGTTAATGTCTATAATTTTTAGGTTTTTCATTATTTTAACAGCTTCAAAAAAGGTTCTAAAAAACAGTTCAAAAATTACTCGGATGCGAAAAAAGTTGAAAACCCTAATTTTCAGAGAATCTGAACTCCAGCGAGAAGTGTCAGATCTCAAGAATGAGATAAACTCCTTGAAAAGCAGACTCATGTAAGAAATATTTTTAAATAAAAAAATGCATTTCTCTCAAACTTTTGGTTTGTAGTGTGAGGACGGAAACATTTTCTCGTGAGGACACTCGAGGACTGGAGGGGAAACTGGAGGCTCAGGAGAGGTTCTGGAGAGGACGAATGAAGGAATACCAAGACAGCTTAGAGAAAGAGAGGATGGAGAACAAGGAGAGTTTGGAACAGCTGAGATTAGAAATTGCAGAGGAACGTGGCAAACTCGCCCGACAAGCTAAGCGAAGACGAAAATTAAAGAAGAGGAAAAAAGAATTTGAAAACCAACATGACCCTAAAATTATCCAACCTCCTGCTGATGATTCTGTAACTGAAGAGAACCTGGAGAAACTTGATCCAACCCTACTCAAGGAAATTTAAGCTTGATTATGAACTAGCCATTGGATTTAGTTATTCCAAATTTTCAATTTGAAGATGTTATCCCATCTTAAATTTTGTTCATGAGCTTAGATTCTTATGAGTGACTGTTGTTGTAGATTCAGATAGAAAAGCACTAAAATATCTCAATAATTTTTCCGTTCAGATGGTACTGTTGTGAATCTGGCATGTAATTCTTTGAGTTGATGGTAGATGTTGATTAAACAAAATAACAGATAGGACACTAGATGTCGTCTTTTAAAGATTTAAGGGGTTTTCGTTCACAATTTAGGCAAAAGCCGAAAGGAGTTTAATTAATCTATCTCTTTTATATACTCATGAACCAGCCTAACATGCTTTTATATACTCATGAACCAGCCTAACATGCTTTTATATACTCATGAACCAGCCTAACATGCTTTTATAGGCTGACACAGAGAAGAGGAAAGAAAGAGCAAAGAACAAAAAGCAAAATCTCAAGAATTCAACTCATCATGAAAATAAAGATAGTGTTAAAACCGGCAATATCAGTAAGATGTATGAGAGTGAGATAATCAAGAAAGAAGAGAATGAGGAGAAGGAGGAGAAGAAGATTGAGAAAGATGAGATAAATGATGATAAAGATGCCAAGGAGTCTAGAATGCACAAGCCCCAGTCTGTATTATCATCTGGTACTTTTCAACTTTACAAAGAAGATGATGATGATGATAATGAAGAACATCTTAAACCTGCTAAATCAACACTTTCCATCCAATCTGAGCATCAATATGCATCCCCACAGTAATAAGAATAATAATAATAATAATAATAATAATAATAATAATAATAATAATAATAATAATAATAATAATAATAATAATAATAATAATAAGGATAATGATAATGATAATAATAATGATAGTAAAAATAATAATAATAGGCATGATGATAATAATATTTTTTTAAAGATTCCGAAGTATGGTTGGATTGGACAGATTGGATGCTCTGGGTAGCCTGGAGAATATTATAAATGAGAATCCAGCACTATTAAACAACTACAGGCAGAAGGTGTAGTATAGAAAGGGTTACCTACAAAGGATAAGACTTCAGAGACGACTGTACGGAATTTATTGTTGTCTATTTCCTTATATTTATGATACCCTACAATTGCTGCAGTAAAAAATTTTTTCTTGTAAAATCCTTAAATAAGCCAATTAAATGTAAGGCAATAAGGGTTAATTAAATCTATGGATTGTCGTATTTGAAAAGTTTCAGGTCGTCTTTTATTCTCATCCTTTGTGGGTAACCCTGTATATCATTAAAATGTTTTTTTGTCGAATTAAACCATAACTCACGGATAGGTTCATTGGTTCAAATATAGCAAGGTGATTAGGGTTTTCAGGATTATTAGTCAGAAGGCCTTCAATTTTGAACCTATTCTTACAAATTAGACTTCTGAAGATATCAGAATTCAGAAGTATGCATGAATTGTTTAATTCAAAATTCATCTTGTACAAATACCAATGACCCGTGGCCGAATTTGAAGAATTTGAGCGGCGGTTTAAATCTAAGCCGCGGCTTAAATATGGTTGGTTCCACTTAAAATTGTATCAAATGTTTCAAGATTTAAGCCGGCGCTTAATTTAAACCGGGTTTTGACAGATTTAAACCGCGGCTCAAATTCTTTAAATTCCATCTCCGGTTTCCCAAGTCTATAGCATCCGCTTTAATTCTACAAATCTACAAAGGGAGCCAAATTCATGTGCCCTTCCCTTAGATTTAAATTCATGAACAGTTTATTTATTGTTTTGTGCACAAATATTACTAAACAAATACAATCAAGGTTGATACACATAAACCCCCAATCTTAATATCTTTGCAAGATTACAAGAAAAATACAATGTCTGGGAGAAACGTAAACTAACTCAGTGTTGTTCAGATTCAAACTAAGTATAGGTTATACAGGGTGTCCCACGAAACATGACAATAGGAAGTCGACTTGAAAGTCGTCTTTGGTATTTGAATTTATTTGTGACATTTAGTCTTCTTGACGCGGTCTAATTTGATGTGGGACACCCTGTATTTCAAAAAATTGATATATGGAGGTTTCCAGGGACCTGGACAGTAAAACAGAGAGAAGGGCTATGGGGACTGAGCCCCCCCCCCCCCTGGAAGATAAAAACACTTTGGTACCCACAGTGGGTATTCACTATATTCAGCTCCTAACGGGGTGTGAGCTTCCCACTTCCCCCCCCCTGGACAATACCTATATCCGCCCCTGGAAGTTCCAAAAGTATCTCCTCCACTAATTGAAACTGTTCCTCTAAACCCTCTTTTACTCCAGGTTGAAGAAGAGCTTGATGATGAGCTGAGAGCCTACGGGTTGGATCCCAGGGTAAACAGGTTGACCCAAACCCAGCTCAACCAAGCCAAAGTAAAGGTCAAGACACGACGAAGAAGTCTTCCTAATGTAAGTTCCTAAACATTTAGATTTTTTTGTTAATTATAAATATTATTTTTATCATAATTACTATTATCTTTATAAGATGATATTCGTTGTTTTTCTTATTCTTATTATACCAAAAATTCATGTTTTAACTTCTGTTTACAGCTGTACACCCTGTTTTTAAAACTCAAGTTTACAGCTTTACACCCTGTTTTTAAACTCATGTTTACAGCTGAACACCCTGTTTTTAAAACTCATGTTAACAGCTGAACAATCTTTTTTTGAAACTCATGTTTACAGCTGAACATTCTGTTTTTGAAACTCATATTTACAGCTGCACACCCTGTTTATAAAATTCATGTTTACAGCTGTACACCTTGTTTTTAAAACTCATGTTTACAGCTGTATACCCTGTTCTTAAAACTCATGTTTACAGCTGTACATCCTGTTTTTAAACTCATGTTTACAGCTGTACACCCTGTTTTTAAAACTCATGTTTACAGCTGAACACCCTTTTTTTGAAACTCATGTTTACAGCTGAACACCCTGTTTTTGAAACTCATATTTACAGCTGTACACCCTGTTTATAAAATTCATGTTTACAGCTGTACACCTTGTTTTTAAAACTCATGCCTACAGCTGTCACCCTGTTCTTAAAACTCATGTTTACAGCTGTACATCCTGTTTTTAAAACTCATGTTTACAGCTGTACACCCTGTTTTTAAAACTCATGTTTACAGCTGTACACCCTGTTTTTAAAACTTATGTTTACAGCTTTACACCCTGTTTTTAAAACTCATGTTTCCAGCTGTACACCCTGCTTTTAAAACTCAAGTTTACCTGTACTGTGTATACCCTGAATTTTAAAACTTTTTTACCCGCCTGTTTTTAGCTCATGTTTAACTGAACACCCTTTTTAAAAACTTATTTTTACCTGTACACCCTGTATTTCAGGCTGGAGAGCTTCAATGCCTCCGAGCCCAGTGCAGGGAAGAGGTTGATCGTCTCGCCACTCAATCTAACATGAGGCGCGGAGCGTTCAGGAGAAAAATCTCATCCTTCAGGAAGAAAGTATTCCAGGGGCTTATGAACGTCAGGAGTAAGAGGACAGGTGGAAAAAAACGGACTGCTCCGCCTCTTCCTTCTCATCCTTCTCAACCTTCTAATCCTTCTCGTTCTTTGATTTCATCTCATCCTTCTCAACTTTCACAATCTTCTCATCCTTCTTATCCTTCTCGTCCTTCTCGTTCTTCCCCTTCCTATCATCCTTCTCATCCTTCTCGTTCTTCTCTTTCTTCTCATACTTCTCATCCGTCTCATCCTTCTCATCCTTCTCATCTTTCTCATCTTTCTCATCCTTCCCATGTTTCTCGTCCTTTTCATCCTTCTCATCCTTCTAATCCTTCTCCTTCCTTTAATCCTTCTCACACCTCTCATTCTTCTAATTTCCCTAAAACGACTCATCCTAATCTAACGTCTCGTCCCCAAGATCAATATCTCCCTTCCCAACCTTCTCCAGCTTCACTGTCCATCCAGGATCCCATCCTGTCCTTCTTGGCACGTGGAGAAGTTGGGACGGAGAAGGCTGAAAACCTTTATGTTGGAACACCCAGAGAAGAAACATCCTCCGATGAAGGCAGTTCGTTTACTTACAATCCGGAGAAGGATGAAGGATCAAGGTCGGATCCAGGACGGATAGTTAATCCTAGAGTCTCGTTGGTTCAGTGTAGAGAACACCCGGAGAGGATTATGCCACCTCGTCCAGTCCCTAGAACATCTTTACTTGTCAAGGTTCATGTTCAAACCCCACAGGTAAAATTCATATTTTAGCTCAAATCAACGGCGCAACTAGACTTTTTTTTTGGGGGGGGGGGGGGGGGGTGGAATTTTTGCAAGATTGAAATATAGTTGTATGCAAAATGCAACTTTTTAATTTTAACTTTTAGGAACAGCAGAGCTCTGATATATCAGAAGATGAAGAAGAGGAGGATGAGCATGAGGATGAAATTGAGGATGAGGATGAAGATGAGGATGAAGATGAGGAGGTGGAAGAGGATGAGAATGAGAATGAGGAGAGATTAGTGGAGTCTATTAAACCTCCGAAATCAATAAGGTAATGTGCGATCTTATCTGGGGCGCCCTTAAACCTATAAATTACCAAGAAGCTTGTTAAAAATTCAAAAAAATTAAGGGGCCTAAAGGTACATGAGGGTGCTTGGGGACTCAGCCCTCCTTGCCCTTCCCCTCACTTAAAATATTAAGATGTTAAGGCTCCTCCTCCCTGCCTGGAAAATTCCTGTATATTCCCATGGATTGAAAAATATCTTGTTTTAGAAGTGTGGTTTCGAAGCCCAGTATTCAGGATAGATTTAGCCTCGATGAGAGTGAAATAGAAGACTCAGATCACCTTGGGAAGGATGGTAAGAAGAAACTTTTTTAATGCCCCTCATTTCGTAAAATTTTGCAAATTTATTTCTAAAAACTCTTTGTTTACTTTAATTTAAAATGTTTGTCATTGTCAAAAATTATTGTGTTTTTAAATCCATGTTCATAACTTATAATCTTATCATTTTCCACAATTCTTGTTATAGAGTTTCTTTTTTCATGGGCAGTTATTCAGTTTCATTCTTATTTTTCACTTTTCATTATTTTTAGACTTCCTTTTTCCAGTTTCAAACGTATACTTTTTCCACTTTCCATTTCTTCGCGTTTTTACTTTGAACTTTTAATTATTTTTAGTTTGAAACTTTCGGTAGGCTCAGCTACATTTTGCCTAGTCACAATTTGCCTAGTCACATTTCGCATAGTCACATTTTGCCTAGTCACATTTTGCCTAGTCACATTTTGCCTAGGTAACAGTTTGCCTAGGTAACATTTTGCCTAGTAACATTTTGCCTAGGGTAACATTTTGCCTAGAGTAACAAAAGAGCGAATTTTTTGCCAAGTCAATAATTTTTTCACAAAGAAATTTTCATCAATCCGAGATTTTTTTACTATGCCGAAAGCTGATTATATCCAAACCCTTGCACATGACCAGCAGAAGATAAATAATGATAAATAAAGATCACCTGTATGAATTCCTATGTATACTCCATGATTATGTAAAATGTATTTAAAAAATATATATATATATATCTGATGCTTAACCATATTTTATCTTTTGTAGAGTGACAGGAATGTTAAAATTGCTGTACAGAATACAATTCAATTCATTAATTTTAATTCATTAAAATTTATCTGGTTAAACTTTTAAAAAAATGTTTAATTCTTGACAAAATTTGTTTTTTATAAAAAATTATTGACTAGGCAAAAAACATGCTCTTGCGTTACCTAGACAAAATGTTACCCTAGGCAAAATGTTACTAGGCAAACTTGAACTAGGCAAAAAGTTACCTAGGCAAAATGTTACCCAGGCAAAAGTGAACTAGGCAAAATGTGACTAGGCAAAATGTGACTAGGCAAATTGTGACTAGGCAAAATGTAGCTGAGCCTTTCGGTACTTTTCACATCCCAAAATTTCATGTTTACATTTTTCACTTACTATCATTCTAAAACTTTCACTAATTACTTTTTAAATTTGTTCAATATTAATGATTTTAATTATATTTTATCACATGCTAATTCTCCCATTTTTGTTTTAGACGATTCTGAATCCTTTCAGAAATTTGAAGATGAATTAAAAGAATATCTGGAGACTGAATTCAAAATGGAAGAAGAAGAAGATTCAAAAGAAGAAGAAGAGAGAACAGGAAATCATAGAAAGGAAATGATTAACAGTAAAGAGAAGAAAATGGAGGAAGAGATAAAAAGAAAGGAAAACCTAAGAAGAAAGGAAGAACTAAGAAGAAAAGAAGAACTAATGAGAAAGGAAGAATTGAGGATAGAGGACGAAGAACTTAGAACAGAGGATGAACAAAACTCAGAGTGGGAATCAGAAAGGTATATTTTTCCTTTTTACAATAATGGCTTATAAGGATGATCATAGGTTTCGATGGAACTGAAAGAATCTATTAAACAAAATAGATGTTTAATTTGATCTTAATGACCAATTAATCCTTATTTATGATAATCTAATTCAGAATAATTTAAGCATTAATTGCTGATTTTTTTTATATATATCAACATTTAATTTAATTTAAATTGTGAAGAAAATTTTTCTAAAACAATTTTTTAGTTTTTAAAGGGAGTGTTTCGCAAAAAATGAAAAGTGTCAGGGATAAACCACATCGAATTTTTGGGGTCAAAATCTCCTATTCATATTTAATTTAAAAGAAACATGAGATAGAAATAAAGATATTCTAAAAGTAATTCCTGTTTTCAATACCAGTGATACAGATTATGAGAAGAGGAGTGAAACTAGAAACAAGGATGATGATGAGGATGAGGATGAGTATGAAGAGCTTCTCCAAGAAGAGATTAGATTAAGGAAACCAGCTCCAGGTTCAAAGATAGCAGATCTCACAAATATTATCGAAGCACAGGTAAAAAGGAATTGAGTCTTTGCCAAAAACTGAAATTTTCTAATTCCTTTAACTTTGTAACTTGATAGTGTACACCTTTGACATTTAAAATCAGATTATATGATCTAAAATAATTTATAGTTTAAAATATCTAAGGTCTACAACATTGGGTTGGAAAGATATTGATATTTGAAAATCAGAGTTTATGACAAAGACTCAATAGTCAATTCCTTTATAGGTTTTCTAAAATGTATATTGTTGTCAACCATTAACATTAAGACCCCCCCCCCTCCATGTAATGTCGTCTTCAACCTAAAAGCTCCTCTCGGAAATGAAACCAAACCAAACTATTTCAGCCCGCTTCTCTTTGTTCTCCGTCAACGGAGTATAAACACTTTTATTAATTGTGAACCACTTCAAAGTTAAGCAAAGAATATTTTCATATAAAGAATTAGTGACTTTCCTTAACATTTAATTGTCACTCTTTTCAGAAGTTTTAATGTATAATAAAGCGTCTTAGGACTCCCCGACAGTTTAACCCACAAATACTCTAATAGATCGTAAGAATCTTTTCATTATAAATTCGTAAACCATTGTAATAATTATTTATCATTATTCATTTCATTTTTTTAGGAAATAAAGAGTTTTCTGCATTATCGATTTTGATTTGAGGGTTATTCCTTTGTCTATCTGTTCATCGTCAGAATCTTGTTCCTTTGCGACAACAATTGTATATGCTTTTTGGGCACTGTGCGCCCATCTCCTATTTCAATTGTGAACATGTTCTCTTTGTGTACATTGTAAAACAAAACAAAAAATCTCGCGAATTAAAAAAATATTCTGGATTTTTTTTTAAATTCTCAAAAATCTAATTTTGTTTGAAGCAAATTTTTGAAAATTCGATCATCCATAAACCATAAACCCCAACAAATTTGAGCCTGATCGATTCAGCCGTTTTGACGTTTATTGGATACAAACAGACAGACGAGCAAAAAAAATATACGATAATCGTATATATATATAACTATAAAGCAATAATCAGAGAAGCTTCACAGTTTTCATAAATATATATATATAAAAATACGGGCTCAGAAACGGTTGATGAAATGCTTGGGGTGGAACTTGGGTTGGGGTTTGGGAATAATTTACTGTTATACCGTTATAGCCACATTTTTAATTGAGAATAAGAATTTCCAAAATAACTCTCGGTCCTTATTATTATTTTTTAAGGGGGCTGAGGCTGTTAAGCGGTCTTTATCCCTAAAAGATTGTGACTTAGTCAACGTTAAATATTATAATTTTTATTTAATGATTTAGTTGAGAAGACGACCTGTCAGCGTACCTGTGGGAGGACTTGACCCCCTTCAGGTTTGGCATCTAATATTATAGACAAAAAATATAAGAGTCAATTGTTAAGTCTTACCTTGGTATATCAAAAATAAGGCTTAATTTTTCTGAAAAATTCTGAAATAAAAAGTCTCTCAAAATCGCTTTATTTATTTAAGTTTCTTTGTCAAAAATGATTATGCTGTGTTTCTAGAGTTTACACAAAGAAAAGTCAAAAAACATTTTATTTGTTTCTTCCAACCGAATAATTTTGAACCATTAGAACTTAGAAAAATATGCAGTGGTCACCAAAACTAAATGGAATTTTTTACTTTATACGTTTTAGAAAGTGAAAATACACTGTGCATTGTTTGATTTTAGCACTACAGTGATAACCAGAATACTGTGGAATAGGAAGACCACATTAAAGCAATAATTGTTTATTTGATGTTGTAACAAGGCAAATAGTTTTACAAAAAAACTAATTGAATCACTTATGAAGTTAAATGGATAACTGCTTGAAACTAATGCGTCTCATGTTTTATAGTTTATTTAAAGTCATAACTTGAGCCTTAAAGTTGCCTCTATTCAAGAATTTGCTGGTAATCACTGTATCACTGTATAATCAGTCTGATATTGTTTTTAAAGTTATTGATGAAAATATAAACTTTTGCTTGATTTCATTTAATTCTCTTTCTGGATTTCACAATCAGATTTATTGTAACTATTTCTTTCTAATTTAACTTTTAATTTTTTTATTTTAGATCATTGATAAACTAAATAATGATGAAACTCGTGCACAATCCGTTCTGGACGAGCGTGCACAATCCTCCCTGGGAGAGCGTGCACAATCCGCCCTGGGAGAACGCGCGCAGTCTAGTCTTGGAGAACGCGCGCAGTCGGGTCTTGGAGAGCGTGCACTATCTGGAACAGATATGTCGAGCAACACCCTTGGGACCAGTTTATGGGCAGATAATGGCGTTTGGGTTAGCAGACCTGGATCTGCTGTTAGCAGACCTGAATCTACATGTTAGCAGACCTGGATCTACACGTTAGCAGACCTGGATCTGCTGTTAGAAGACCTGGGTTAGCAGGCCTGGATCTGCCGTTAGCAGACCTGATCTGCTGTTAGCAGACCTGGATCTGCTGTTAGCAGACCTGGATCTGCTGTTAGCCAACAATCTGTTAATGTTACCGGAGTCTAAGTCGTAATAAATGTTTAATTTCAGTGAAATATTAAATTACTTCAAATATTTCCTTAATTTTCATTGCCTCTCATTGGTCTTTTTCAGCAGTCAATAATTAAACCTTTTTCAAAACAAGTAAACATATATATCGAATTGATATAAGGACATCATGAAATATACCAGGACCACCATATACGGGCCTGTGTCCCACTTTTCACATCATATTAGATCGTGTATAGTTACAAAATTGGGATTTTCGGGACTTAGAAAATTTTGAAACATTGAATCATTAAAAAGTATAAGGCTAATTTAATAAGTAGCATCATTGCATCAAGGGCGTATACAGGGGGGGGAAGTGCCCCCACCTATACCTGTAAAGGGAGGGGGGCGAAGCCCACCCCTAGAACTCCGAACTATCACACTTTTGAAATCTGAAACTGAAGAGTGAAGAGTATTAAAATAATCAATTTGCTTTTTTTCTGCTAGTTTTGTTTGAAGGAGAGATATAGTAGTACTTGTATTAGGTAATTGGACTGTTTGTGTACCTTTACAGTATCCAAGAAGCCAAATGTTTTGAATTTACGGTTCAAATTTTGCCCCCCCCCCCCATAGATTTTTTTCTGTATACGCCCTTGCATTGCATGCAGAAAATAAAAGGTTCTTTGAGTAATTTGTGCGTTAAAGCTTGGAGATAATCCATTGATATAAGACGCTCTGTATTTCTTCGCAAATCAAAGGTAGAAATATAAACAAAACTCGGACTTAAAGTTTGTTTACATATTACTTCCAGACACTATAGTACAGAGCGTCCCATATCATATTAGACTGTCTCCAATCTTTAACGCCAAAATACACATATAATACTCGAAAAATCTAGCATTTTCTGCAAGAAAAAATTTCTATTAGCCTTATTAAATTTTTCAAAATGATTCATTCTTCTTAACTTTTCTGATTTGTCCCATAAATCGTAATTTAGACCCATTGACGCGGTCTAATTTGATGTGGGACACCCTGTATATACTTTCTAAGAAAGAAAAAAATTCATTGTAATGTAATTAAAGAAAATATCTTGATTATTGGCAATATACAGGGTTACCCACACAGGATGAGACTGTAAAAACGACCTAAAACTAAAAAATATGACGATTTAAAGCTTGGTTCTTGGTTTCTGCATTTAATTAGTGTATTTTGATGATTTACTAAATGGTCAAGGACAGAAATATGCAAATTTTATCCTACATTAACGGTGCTATCTCATTTGAACTACTGCCGTTTGAACTATTGTTCATTTGAACTATTGTTCATTTCAACTACTGCACGTGGGACCACGTGAGTAGTTTAAATTAACAATAGTTCAAACGAGTAAATATATTGCTCATTTGAACTATTTTTTAGTTCATTAAACTATTTTCATTTGAACTATTAAAATATTATTAATGAAATAAACAAAAAATAGTTCAAATGAACATAAAAATAGTTCAAATGAACATAAAA